TTACTATATAAGGAAAGCGCTATTTCCCTTAAAGGGTCTTCTATTAGATTCTTATAAGTCTATAGTATTTCTCGGCGTTATCTTCTTAGCCTCCCTAAGATATAATATCTTATCTAGTATTACTTTCTTAATTTAGTTATAAAAGGCTACTTAGTTATCCTATTAATCTATAATAAGGGCTATAAATCTTCTTACTTTATCTTATACCTCTTTAATAATATCTATCTCTAAATAGTTAATTCTTATCTATTTAGTTAGCGTATCCTTTAGGCGGTTATAGAGTTTAATAAGCTTTAAGGCGTATTAGTATATATCCTAGTACTTAGCTTACGTTATCTACTACTAGTTATATTTAGCTTCTCGCTATATCTTAATAGGGTTAGTAACCTAAACGAGCGCTTATATTTTAAAGACTAACTAAGTAAACGTTATACCTAGATTATTCCTATAGTATTCTATCTATATTATATTAATCTTTAGCGCTAAGAACTTAGTTACTTAGTCTACTTTATATATATTACTAGTAAACTAGTTAGGGTATCTATTCTAGAAGACTTCTTAGTTCGATTTAAAAAGATTATATTTACCCGAACTCTTAGCTCTATATATTATTATATTATAGAATATATATAGTTCCCTCGCTTTCTTCTAATAGAATAAGTAGCCTTTAGTATTTTCTTATAATATAATTAAGTTTATATAGATAGTATTAAATAGTTAGTAAGTAATTTAGTTAGTAATACTATCTAGCGAACCCTAATAGATCCTAGATCCTTATATTCTTACCTATAGGATTACTACGTTTTCTTCTTTATCCTATAGCTCCGCATAGATCCTATTTTTCTCCTTTACTAGAGCTAGATATCTTTTAAGGGTCTCTAACTCTCGGAGTTCCGCCTTCTTATCTATCTTAGTCGGGGTTATCGGGTCCGGCGGGTTTCCTCCCTAAAGGTTATCGTCGACTCCCTATATCTCTACCTCTTCTAGTAGGGGTTATAGGGGTCCTAGGACGTCGTTCGTTTCCGCGATCGGGGCTAAGATTCTCCTTAGGCGGTCGCTTATATATCGAGCTCGAGTACTAGACCGAGTTATACGTAGCGTAGTATACTTACTTTCTTTAGTTAAATAGACCGAAGAACCCCGAGATACTATAGTACGGTTTAGTAGCTATATTAGAGGATTAGGTTAATTATATCTATTCGCGGGATTAAATATACGTTATAGCTTTACGATACGTTTAGCTATAGCGTTACGATCTTATTTATTTAGATTATAGTTAGTATTAGTTTAATATAAACTAGGTATATAATAAATTAACCCTTTTTTCGAACGCTTTTTATAATCTTTATAATATAATTCTAATTCCTCTATAATATTAGAAGACCCTTAATAGTTTTTATATATATATAGTCCTTAATATTTAGCGTATATTTTTTTAACCTATTTAGATATATTAGACTTATATTAAATATATATAAAAGAAAACTTACCTAAGAATTATAGTTAATAAGGCCTACTTTTAACTTACTACTTTATTCTCTTAGTAATAGCTACTTTTACTAATTCTAGTATAACGTTAAGTGTTTATCTACTAATAGATAGGAATTTTCGATACTTCTAAAGTAATACCTATAAAAATCTAGCTAGCTAATTTATTTTTAAACTAAGTCTTAGTCTCTAGCTACTCCGCTATAGTATTATCTATAATCTTAAGGACTTCTTATTTAGACTTTACTTTATAGATAAGCTTAATTATAAGGGTTACTAGATATCTAGGGTATACCTTATTAAATATATATTAGATATATATATAGTATATAATTAGTATATATTAAAGATACTCTAACTATATTAGACGAGGATTAAGACTTATAAGATAATCGCTAAAGCCTTAGAATATAAATTTAAGTTAATATAGCTATAATATATACTTTATATATAATTAATATATTAGGGCCTTATTTTATATATATATCGATAGTAATAGTTCGGATACCTTATATTATCTCTATACTACTACTAAGTTAGTATAACTATCGTATAGGCTTTCGCCTTATATTCCTAAGGACTATAAAGAGCTTCTTAAAAAGAATATAATAGTATTCGCGACTTTTAGTATTAATAAGAGCCTAAGTATAGGTATTTAGCACTAAATATATTAGTAAAATAATCGTATCTTTAATATAATATACTAACTTCGGGCCTCGTTATTATATCTAGTAATTAAAAAGACTATAGTCTTTCCTTATACTATCTTAAAAGTAAGATCTATTTCGATATACTATATATTTTAGAAAAGCTTAGCTTAGCTATATATATAGTATATAATTAGGAAATACCCTTAAGCCTTATCTAGTATATAGACTTTACGGATAAATTACTTATCGTTATCCTTTATTCTATTAAATTCGAACTCGCGGAATATATCGGTAAGATATATTCCCTATAGGTAGTAAAGGATCCTTTACTTAAGGATTAAAGTACTAATCCTATTATAAATAGTAAAATATCGAGTAATAGTTTTATATATAGATCTAGTACTTATATAAAGAAGTTTAGCGAATTCCGATAATTATAAAAATTTACCTATAGATAGAGTTAGTATTTCCTAAGCTTAGAGGTGAAATACTTACGGTATATAAGGCTAAGGATATCCTACGTTTTAAGTACCTTTATAATTTCTTAGCCTATTTTAAATAGTAACTTTATTAGTAGTAGTAGGAAATAAGAATAAGATCCCTAGTAGATAATAAAGTAATATAGGAACCGCGCTTATAAGACTAGGATATAAAGATCGACTCTAGCCTTATATATAGTCGCGGTTATCCTACTAATCCTATCTATATAGAGTAAATCTATTATATAATTAGTATATATCTAGTATATATTTAAACGTAGTAAATATACTATATATTATAGTCTTCCTTATTTATTATTAAATAAAATAATAGTTATTAATACTAATAACTTTTATATAATTACCCTATTTTAAATAGAGGACCTATAAAATATCTAGATCTAACTAGTTTATAGTCTTTTAGAAACTCTTTAAGTAATATTAGTTACTAGAAAGAGAGCTATAGGAATAGCTAATAAATATAAAACTATTTTTAGTCTATATAATTAGATATATACCTTTATATATCCGGATATCTAAAGAGTACTTATATAGACCGTCTTTATAGTTCTATACCTCTATAAAACTAAAGTAAAATCTATATTATATATAAGCTTAATATATATTAAAGATAAAAAGAAAAGTATATACTCTTTTATTCTATCCCGAATTTCGTTAGATATCTTACTCTTATAGTTAGGCTTTATAACTTTAGCTTATAGATTAAGAAAGAGCTCTAATATAACCCTATTATATTATAGTAATAGGCGTTTAAGCTCTAAATATACTTAATAGTAGTATCGAATCCTAAAGTAGATATAAGATCGGTAGTAGGCTTTTAACTCCGGATCGTATACGACTTTTCTAAGAAATCTTATATAGACTAGTATTATTAAAGTCTTAGATATATCGATTAAAAATTAATATTATAATAAAAGTTAGACTTATAATAAGTATATATAGTATATATATAAATATATAGCGGATATAATTTACTTAAATACTATATTAATAGCCTCTAATATTAGAGTTATATCTTAAATAGGATTCTTCGCTATATAAATAATATATAGAATCCCTTTATTACTAATATTAGGGTAGTTAGAAAAAAGAAAATAGTCTTAGGTCTTAGATATATAGACTTTCTTTTAGTCTATAACGTTAATAAGAACTAGTTTAGTAAGGATAACGATTTAGTTAAGGGAGGAGTCTATATTACTACTAGAATAATTCTTAGATAGATCTTAGTCTAGGATAGATAGAGAAGACTAGATATCCGTAGTTATAGGCTAGGGAAGCTTAGTATATATTAAGTATATATAAAAAGTAGAAAACTAATAGGCTAAACGCGAGATCTAATAGTTTAAACTATAGGTAGGGAAGTTTAAACTATAGGTAGGGAAGTTTTCGGAGGGATTTAATACCCTAGAAGATTATAGAGTTACCTTTAAATCTTAGCTTCTTCGAGGATCTCTAGGAGTGGGCGTGGTTTAAGGAGATTAGAAAATGAGGGTGGATGAAAAAGATTTCGAGGATAATTAGGTGGTAATAAGTCTATTATTTAAAGAAAGGTACTAGATATACCCGAATAAGGAAGCGGATAGGGATGCTATAGATAGGGATCAATAAAAAAATTTTAACATAAGAATGGCTGATATAATCACCTAGTTTAGAGTCCCCCTGAGATATGGTATCTGTAGTAGACTCCAAACTAGGTGCTGATATAATAATATTTCGAGTCTACCCGAGAGAATTTGGAGTCTACCCGAGCTGCATGCCCTCGACTTGTCTCTATATTTCTGTATCCACTATTCTAGCAGGAAATATAACTTTCTGACTAATATCAAAAATACTGCATAGACAGGATAAACTAAACTTCCGGTATACCGATCTCATGCTCCGACAGTCCTTGGTGGCCTTAATATTATGGCCTCAACCAGAGGTGGGATAGTTGACAGCTTTGGGTCAAAACTGCTTGCTCCAAATCAAAAGTCAATAATTATACCTGTATATAACATACAATATTACTCTAGTTAGTTATCTCGAGATCTAAAATATCCATCTGTGGCGTATAAGCGTTTATTTTCCCAGGCCATGCTTTAGTTAACAGAAGCATGATTTTCCATCCCGTCAGTCCCGCCAGCTCTATATAGCGCGGCATATAATTGGAAGTCCGACGTCGCATATAAGACATTATGTAAGATAGGCTCCCTTAAATAGACCTATAGCATGCATACAAAATGGTGCTTAACTGAGTCATTTTACAATGACATCCAGCTCGCTTGTATAGATCGGCATTTTGACTCATTTGAATTCCGCCGATAAATCCCCCGCCCACCCCACCAACTCTGCTTCCCGACTTCTCACATTCCTCACAACCACAATGGCCTCACGAACCTCTCCTTTCAATCTGGCCACATGCGCCCGGCCTAACATCCTCGCATTGCAACCTTACCGATGCGCCAGAGAGTATGCTGCTCTTTCCCAGTTCCCGGCATCGGCGAGCTAATGAATCAGTGACTACAAAGATGATGGGACAAACGTCCTTCTCGATGCCAACGAGAATGCCTTCGGTCCTTGCCTTGCCCTGAATAGCGAGGGTGCATTGCAGGCCTCCTCGTCTGGCAATGCCACGGGAGCCTCCAAGCCGGAGATTGACTTTCTCGGTCTGAACCGCTACCCCGATCCGTGAGTGCAATCCTACCGCCGGACCTCAATAGAGACCAATCTAACAATCAATGCGCATGTCAGTCACCAAATCGAGCTCAAGCAGCTCTTCTGCAACCTCCGCAATACCCACCACCACACCCCCAAGACCCTCCTCCCCGAGCACATGTTCTGCGGTGTCGGCTCAGACGAAGCCATTGACGCACTACTGCGTTGCTTCTGTGTGCCCGGCAAAGATAAGATCCTCACCTGTCCCCCGACCTACGGAATGTACAGCGTCAGCGCGCAGGTCAACGATGTCGAGATCGTCAAGGTACCACTTGACACCACGAACGGATTCCAGCTGCAGGTGGATAAAGTCAACGAGGCCCTGTCTGCCGACCCATCCATCAAATTGGCGTACATTTGCTCGCCGGGCAATCCGACCGCAAACCTGATCCGCAAGGAGGACATCCGCAAGGTCCTCGAGCACCCGACATGGAATGGCGTGGTGGTCGTTGATGAGGCCTACATCGACTTTGCGCCCGAGGGATCTAGCTTGGCCGAGTGGGTCACCGAATGGCCCAACCTAGTTGTCATGCAGACCCTGAGCAAGGCATTCGGTTTAGCGGGCATCCGCCTCGGAGTGGCCTATGCGAGCGTGGAGATCGCGCGTCTACTGAACAGCCTCAAGGCCCCATATAATATCTCCAGCCCCACAAGCGCGCTGGCCTCCGCCGCACTGACAGCACCCAACATGGCGGTGATGCACAGCTATCGTGCGCAAATCATCGCGCAACGCGACCGTTTGCTCCGGGAGCTACCGGCAATTCCCGGGGTGGGCCAGTTCCTTGGCGGCAGTGACTCGAACTTCTTGCTCGTGCAGATGCTTGATGCCGAGGGCCGACCGAGTAACGTGATTGCGCTAGCAGCGTACGAGGCCATGGCAGAGAAGCGTGGCGTGGTGGTCCGTTTCCGTGGCAAGGAGCTTGGTTGTGAAGGCTGTCTTCGTATCACGGTCGGAACGGAGGCTGAGGTCTCTAAGTTCCTCCAGGAGCTACGGTTTGTACTGGGTGGGCTACGTGCTGGGGCTGGGGTTGAGTCGCTTCGGGACGAGACGAGGCGGGAGGATGCGGCGGCGGCTGTGGTTGGATGAACGTCGCGCCATTAATTAGTTTGGGTTTGTTGATTTGTTTTTTTTGGTTCTTTTTGGGTGGGATCGTAAGGTTGATAGATAACATTGTCGCATTTGGGCCCCTGAGGGCTAGAATATATCAGATAGAGCGAAAGGGGGTATACGGAATACGGAGGACTCCGTACGGGGTCCTCTATGGATTATAGAACCTGGAAGATTCACATCTCTCTCATTTCAGCAAATACACCTTCCTAGATTGGAAATATGACTCGCTTATCGGAAGGATCGTCTTCTATATCCCTGCTCATCCTCCAGATGACATGCGAATATCTCCCAACTCAACAACACACACCGCTTATTTCGGGGAATTCCAGCGTGTAGTACGGAGAATTGACACGCTGGGTATATACGGAGAAAAGAGGACGGAGGGCGGCTTATAGAGCCCTGGAGATAATCCGCACAGGTCATCATAGGTCACGGGCTCCTCCACCAAGCTCTCTTCGTATATCTGACATCAAATGGTACCCATGCACTGAGCCAAGGCCGTTCTCCTCCGCCTGCTAACCGACCTAAACAGGGAAGTCCCCCGCATACTGCTCATTAGCGCAGATTATCGTGTCAAAGCTATTGTCGCTTTTGTCTTGGGGGCTAGAATGGAGTCCCCTTATGTCCCTTTGTGTCCCTTTGTGTTGGTGTTTTCTGCGCCGAGATCGAGGCCAGATCTACGCAGTACTCCATACAGATCCAATAGTCCAACCAAGCTACTAAACCGTGTGATGTGATGCATATATTCCCACCACAAATGACGAGATTAGCCAGTCGAATGTCACTGGCTGCTATACGGTGAACGGGCTTATCTGGGAGGGTGGCTCATCTTTTGACTCCCCCTCTCTTTAATTTTCTGAATCTGAAACTTATATCACTTGCTCCGGTGGCTTTCCCCCTATATTGCTCGGCTCCGACCCTTCTCAGAGTGTACTCCCCTTTGGAAGATCTAAAGATCGCCCATCTCCACGATCAGCCCCATACGCGTTAACCCTCCCCACACTTCGGCACGTGTGAGGAGCAATGTAAAGCATTTCGTGAATCGCTTTCTGCGACTGTGGTTCTTTTTCTCGCCCAATTTCCCTCTGCGGAGGAGAGAATAATGGTTTCTGCGACCATGTCGCTGGCCACGCGTGGCATCTACACCGATGGCCCACCAGCCATGCAGACCAGAGATGAAATCAATCCGACGCTCATAATGAGCTGGTGGGCTACAATATTCTCGCTGGCTATCATCATCGTCCGCCTATTTGGTCGCTATGTACGAATCGAACGCTTGTTCCCCGAAGACAAGGTCATGATGATCAGCATGATTCCCCTAGTCATTCGCATGGTCCTGGTGCACTATGTGCTCGTTTTGGGGACCAACAACACGACCACCACGGAATTGACAGAGCAGGACATCTCAAATAGGGAACTGGGCAGTAAGCTGGTACTTGCTGCACGTATCTTCTATGCCCTCTTGTAAGGCACACATCCACACCGTATCCTCATCTTCGCCTGAATATGCCAGTTCAAGGAAACTGATGAACATACAACTATAGCATCTGGACAGCCAAGGTGGCAGTCTGCGAATTCCTGAAGCGAGTTACAGGCTTAACCTGGCGTCGATCAACAACCATCTTCGTCCGCTTCATTTCCTTCTTCCTGGCCTCGACACTATTAGCCGTGGTCATCGCAACCCTAGCTGAATGCCAACCCTTCCACCACTATTGGCAGGTCATCCCAGACCCAGGCCCAACCTGCCGAAGCGGCTACGTCAACCTCATGACAATGGGAACCTGCGACGTAATCACCGATCTCCTACTCGTCGCCTTCCCAGTACCAATCATCCTCATGGCCCAAATGCCCCTAAAACGCAGACTCGGCCTATCAATCCTCTTCTGCCTCTCACTAATCCTCGTCGCAATAACCTCCTACCGCGTCCCCTCCGTAATCCAACACAAAGGCTCCCAACAATACCGCTCCCTCATCGCCTCCCTCGAAATCCTCGCCGCAACAGCCGTCTCCAACGTCCTCGTAATCGGCTCCTTCGTCCGCGACCGCGGTCTCAAAAAACCAAAATACAAGCCCACCCAAGGCTCCTCCTCCGTCTCTGAAAGCATGGACAAGTCCTACGAGCGCAGAAACACCGTAATGCAACACCAGTGGGGCTCCGACTCCGAACTTGCCAACGGCCTATGCATCCGTCTAGATCCAGATATCTATACATTACCAGGCTCCTCGGACGGAACTCGTCTTACCCGATCAGCACCCTGCCGTCCTCAGTCAGCCCTCGCGCGAACAGGCACTCTCGACCCCTCATGGTCATTCTCCACGACCCGTCGCTCGGACGATTCCCGCACCTCGGAAACAGACAGTCTGGACGAGATGAAAGTCTCGCCGAGGGAGTACCTACGCACGAACCAATCTCCACGAGAATTCTCGCCGCCATCAGAGACATCACGACGTGTGTCGTTCTCCGATGTCGGCGGTTTATTGACCAGGACGATGCCGCAGACTGGAGCCCGTCATGTCCGGTCGCAGACTAGTGTAACTTCGCCGGTGGAGACGACACAGCGCAGCGGCAGTAGGGCTTTCCTGGAGGATCTGGGTATCATGGCGCCACAGGCTGTTCGATCACCTCTCTCTGGGGCTGGGCCGCTGCATCTGTCCGAGGCTGCTTTTCGCAGTCAAGTCCGCAGACTCTCATTGCCTCCTTGTCCTTCTTCGTCGGAGGTCTCGCTCGATCCTAGTGTTGAGCTTCAGGATGTTGGTGGGTTGTTGTCGAGACATAACCCGCAACCTTAATTTGATGTGATATGACGTGCATGACATGACGGCCTTTTGTTTTCTTTCTTTCTTTCTTTCTTTCTTTCTTCCTTCTATTCCCTGGTCATTTTGGGGGCTGCGGTCTCTATCTTTTATATTTCGGATACCTGGTGGACTTTCTCGTTTGTCTATGTTGTTGCACGTCTGGAGTTAGCACATATCACATACCCCTGTACCTACTGCGCTGGTTTCTTCTTGCTGCTTTGTTCTATTCCCCCTCGAGCGTTGGTTAGCGTTGGCGTTCGATATGTTGCTTCCCGAGGCATAAGGGCATGGGCTTGACTAGCATTTTTCTTTAGCGCTCACGCGGCTTAATAATATATTCTATTGGTGAGGTCTACTGTGGATATAGGTTCTTGACATAAAGTGAACCTTCAAGGCCATTTTGAAAGTCAATACCAACCTTGTAGTCGTTATCAGTCACATGACGCAGTATAACCCTGACAAGAGGTGGGTACATGTACGCCGTACAGTACACCGACGTAGACAAATTTTGACCATGATTTGCATCATTCTATGTCAGTCAAATACCATAGAGTGACAGCCATTCATAGATAAATTGGATTCGTCTAGACACACAAAGAAAGGGCCATTATGTAAATCACAGGTAAACCCCCCATCGCAATCTCCCAAAGCAGGAGAAACTTCGCGCCCGTACGCCATGCTGCCCATAATACAAGGGGGAGACCAAAACTTTTTTTTTGTTTGTGTAGAAAATGAATCAGAAGAAAAAAAAGTAACTCCCAGATGTCCACTTTCTGCCTGAGATGTGCTGCGCGTTCTCGACCGCCGTGATATTTCCTTGCACTGCTTCATAGCTCGTGGCTCGGAAACTGGTCATATCAGAGGACAGTGAAGTGGACCGGATGCGATTCGGATTTGCGAGATTGATGTTTTGTGGCGCAAACCGATGTTTAACTCTTCGGGCGTGCAAAAAACCCCATGAGGAAGCGAAATCAAAATGAGAAATTCACCATCAATGCTGCAGCGTTGCATATTGATCTTCCTTTTCCATCGTTCTCACTTACCTTCTTTTTCAAGCTTAGATAACCCAGCGGTAACTAGCATAGCGGCCTGCAGTCTCAGACTTGCGAATAATCTTAACAACCTGACCACGGCGCAGACCAAGGTAGCGGGCAACGGGATCAGAGATCTGTATACGGGGCAACTGGGACTCCTTCAGACGGTAGCGCTCAAGAAGCTTGCCCTTCTCCTCGGGGCTCAGCAGGACGTGCTTGGGGACCAGCTCGTGGCGAGTGATGTTAACAAGCAAATCCTGTTCCTGGAAGTGCTCGCAGATGCGGCCAGGGACACCGGAGAGAAGGCGCACAGCGGAGGGCGAGATAGGAGTCTGCGTAATGAAGATACCGGTGTGGAAGTTGTTCTCATCAACCAGGTGGTTGAAGGCGCGCACCTGTTTGGTTCCGACACCTGAGGAGTCAGGGCAGAAGTCGACGTAGATTGTGCCGCAGTCAGGCTGAGGGTTGGGGTTTGCTTTGCTGGGCAGTGGTGTGTACTTCATCTTCATAGTATCGGTGGGGCGAGCTTGGATTTTCATCTTGGTGCGGCTGTTGTTGCAAAAAGGCTTGTTAGTGGGGGAGGCTTTCTTTTAGTGGGGTTTATCGACATTATTATGCTGCAGTTTGCACTGGTACATAGTAATAAGGCAGTGGACACAGGGATTTCGCGTACTCAGGGTAGCCCAGAGGGTCAGCATATTTTGCGCGGAAGTCATCAAGCGGCAGTGCCAGCTCGTTATCCGACACCTCGTAACCCTGTTGTGCCACTGGTAGTCAGCATCGGATGAAGGACTATTATGCGATAGACCCTGAGGAGTCAGGGACTCAATCTAAGGAGCGTACCCGGTCTGCGAGCAGTTCATAGACTGTTCTGAAGGTGCGCCAGAGCCGAGTCATCTCGCGCTCGGCCTCCATGGAGTATGCTGAATCCCCGTCCATGGTGGAAAAGATATATGAGTAGATCAAAAAGGAATTAAGATCTTATCGGAGAGAAAGAAGGAAAAAAATCGGGTCGTGAGAGCTCCGGTGGAGAGATAAAGGTGAAGTCGAAAAATCGGCGGGAACTTTCTGCCAGCGACACTTAAGCGGAGAAACAGACCGAACCATTTTAATTATTCTAAGTTCCCCTTTTCAGTGTCACTTTAGTCTCGTCTTCTTGGTCTATTTAATCCTCTCAGGATCCTCAGAAGGCTTTCCTCCTCTTTCTCTCCCATCTCACTTTTGACATTCAATTCGTCGCAATGGCTGTCACTGATGCGGAGCCTCGGGTCAAGCCCACCAAGCCCGATGAGGCCGCCTACAAGGCCAGTCTCGCTCAGGCTGAGAAGGAGCACACTGCCGCCCAGGATAAATTGGTATGGATGCTCCTTTTTGGATTGTTATTTGATAGTTGTTTTGTCTCTGGATTGCGAGGATGACCCCGACCCACTCTGATTTGTTGTGTTGATTGATTATCTACATGTGTCCTCGAGCCAATGACTGATATGCGCAACACAACAGAACCAAATTAAAGCCAAATTGGACAATGCCAAGCCCAACAACCAGGACTCACCCACCGTCAAGAAGCAGCAGGAGCTTCGCGCTGAACTTTCGTCCATCCGCCAGAAGCAGTCCGGCTTCAAGTCCAGCCGTTCCTCCATTCAGGAGAAGATCAACGCCTTGGACGCCAACCTCAAGTCCCGCATTGCTGAACAAAATACCTCCCGTGGCCGTTTGTCATTCAAGAACGTTGAGGAGATCGATAAGGAAATTGCCCGCCTCGAGAAGCAGGTCGACTCTGGTACCCTCCGCTTGGTGGATGAGCGCAAGGCTCTCACCGAGGTCTCCAACCTGCGCAAGCAGCGCAAGAGCTTTGCCGGTCTGGAAGAGTCGCAGAAGGGCATCAATGATATCAAGGCGCAGATCTCTGAACTCCGCAAGACCCTCGATAACCCCGAGGCCAAGGCATTGAGCGACAAGTATGCCGAGATCCAGAAGGAGCTCGATGCCATTAAGGCCGAGCAGGACGCTGTCTTCAAGAACTTGAACACTCTGCGCGATGAGCGCACCAAGTTGCGCAACGACCAGCAAGAAAAGTACACTGCTATTCGCACTATCAAGGATACCTACTTCAAGGCTCGCCGTGCCTACAAGGAATATGAGGATGAGGCATGGCGTGTGCGCCGTGAGCGCCAAAAGGCTGAGCACGAGGCCTTTGCCCGCGAGAAGCGCAAGAAGGTTGCTGACAAGAAGCTCGAGGAGGCTTCGCAGCTTGCCTACGCTGATGAGATCCTGACTGCCCAGGGTCTGATCCGTCACTTTGATCCCGCTTATGATTTCTCTGCTCTTGGTTTGGACGAGAAGAAGGATGAGGGTAGCAACTTCCGTGCCGGAGTTGGCCGCACTGTTGAAGCCGCTGAGATTAAGGGCATGAAGGTTGTGCGCAAGAACGACGAGGAAGACTACTTCGTTGGTACCGGTGGCAAGAAGGGCAAGAAGGGCGGCAAGAAGGGTGGTGCTGCCGCTGCCGCTGAGAGCACCAAGTTCAATATGAACGTTGGTATCATTGAGGACTTCGCCAAGGTCAAGATCGACCCTCCCATGAACCAGTCGGATGTCCCCGCTGCCGTGGAGAAGCTGGCCGTCAAGATCACCGAGTGGAAGAAGAACCAGGCCAGCAAGACCGCCGAGGTGAGTTTTTCATACTTTGTCGATTGTGATTTGTGATCCGATGCTAATTACCCCGCAGAATATCAAGAAGGCCCAGGAAGAGATTGACCGCCTCGAGGAGGAGGAGACCAAAGCCTCTGTCGCTCAGAGCAATGGCCGTGCTACCGATGCTGCCAAGAAGCCCGCCCAACACAACGCCGCTCCCTCAGCGGAGGCCGAGCTTGCTCAGGAGCAGGACGCCATCGCCGACGTAGAGGATGAGCTCAAGCAGGCCTCGATCGAGGACAAGGCATGAAAGACCCGACCTAAATTTATCCGTACATGCGAACAATGCGTCAACATACATGAAGTCTAGCGTTTGTCTAGCATTCTCACTGTGTCCTTTTTTTTTTCTTCTTTTTCTCTTTTTGTTGTTGAGCTCTTGCATATGCATTATATCTAAGGTTTACACGTGGACAGCTAGTAGTATCCAAAATTCAAGTAATCGAGGCCTCTTTTTTGCCCATACTCAATGCCCAGCGAAACATAAAACTGCGATGCCTAACCCCCAACTTACATGCGTCAGTATCAAACCTTGGAACCTTGGAAATGGTTGACTAAGCCGGAACTGCGCCACTGGACGAGGAACGACTTTTGACTCCGGCGCTTCCTACTCCCCTCTCTATCACCGGCGCAAGATCTTCTCTCGTTATTCTATACTTCAGACTGTTCGCAGATCTCGAGTTCACGGCCTTTTTAATCACCGAAACAGCCACTCATATCCACACTTGCAGCCTTGCAATCTCCCCAAATCAGCACTAACTTTTAACACCCGGGCGACTCCACACCCGAATCCTGCCATGTCTTACAATAAACCCGTCAGTCGCAAGCGCAAACCCCTCATAGAAAAATATAATTTAATACTAATCTCTTGTAGACGAGCCCACCTCCTTCATACCCGTCTCCAGTCCACGACGCCGGTCCTTATCACCAAAACTCACAGCCAGGCCAAGGCGGCGGCGGCTCCGGCGCCGCGAACGACTACTACGGCGGTCAGCCCCAACAGCAGGGCTACTACCCACCCCAGCAGGGCTATGGCCAACCGCAACAGAGTTATGGTCAACCGCAACAGCAGGGCTATTACCCCCAGGGCCAGCCGATGTATTACCCACCACAGCAAGGCTATCCTCAGCAACAGCAGGGATACTATGCCGATAATCGCGGGGACTCCGGCAGCGGCGCCGGTGGTTGTTGCGCGGGTATCCTGGCTGCATTCGCTTGTTGCTGCTGCTTGGATATCCTGTTCTAAGAACATCGGACTGTTGAATGCGCGACTTTAACTTGGCTTTTTGGTTCGCTGCACCATTCGATGCCATGCATGCAATGTTCTCTCTCGGAAGAATTCTGAGAGATAGAGGCTGTCGCTGTCCTGGGTAGGATCTCGACTCGGGAATCGGTTTTTTTGGGGTGGTTGTTTTGTGTTTTTACGTATATATCCTTGACTCTTATTACTTATGTCGGCGCAAAACAGGATACGGCGTTCTTGCAGCCTGGGCCTTTTGGCCTCAATCGCACTACCTCTTTTTCCCTCTTTTCCTTTTCCTCTCCCTCGACCCGATTATCTTATACCTAAGTCATCCTTTTCAACTCGGTATAAATATCAACAGAGCTTTTATGTACGTAGCCGTTGAAAACAAATGCTATGTCATGCATTAACGTCAAAACGTGCATCATAAATCCATAACTCAAATCCATACATCAGAAAAAGCAAGTCCATCAAAAACATAAATCAAATAGGGTATCGCATCGCAAGTCCAAAAACCTCAAACCCAATTACCGCTGACTACTATAGTCACTCCCACCCCCATAAGCCAACGGATCAACATGCCTCACCCCACCCCTCCTCGATCTCCTCGGCGGTCTCGAGAACTCAGACGGCACACTCGACTCCTCCTCCTCAACCTCAATCACATCCCCCTCAGTCGTAGACGTCGCCAACGACTCCTCAACAACGACCCGATCATGTCGCGACGTCGGCCGTCGCCGATAACTATCCCGGAAACTCTCCGGCTCCTCGACAACATCGATGACGTCGCGACGCCGTCGGCCGGCTGAGGATCCGCGCCGACTGCGCACGTCCACGATCTCTTCGTCCATTGACATTGACATGGAGATCGAGGAGGAGGTGGGCGCTACACCGCCGCGCGCTATCCCGCCTGGGTTCACGGCCAGGAAGAGGATGTACATTAGCAGGATGAAGCCTGCGACGCTGCCGAGGACGATGCCGACCACTGTGCCGGCGGCGGGGCTTGTTTGGATGCGGCCGTAGGTGGAGGGGATTGAGATTGTGGTGTAGCGCTTTTGGAGGGAGGAGGTGAGGAGGTTGGGGGTTAGGTCTATTGGTTTGGAGGGGTCTAGGTTGATTGTTTCGTGGATCGACATTGTGGGTTTTGAGTTGGTTTTTTGGGAATTGGAGGGTTTGGGGAGAGTTTGGATGTTGGGAATGTGTGACGGAGGGTTGTGATTTGGGCGAGTGACTTGGTCAGTCAAGTTGCGACCTGATCTGCGCGCGTGTGGGGGGTTGGTGTCATTTGCGTCGGATGCAGGTACGCTCGAGAGATAAGCAGAATACGGGGCTTTGCGTGCTCCATAGACAGATAAAAGACGCAGGAAAGAGTGATAATTTAAAAAAAAAAAAAACGAATCGAAAGAGCAGAGGTTGGGAGGAGGCTGGGGATCTGCGGAGAAGTGGAGTTGCGCTCGGAGATATTTATACGGAGTCATCCTCTTCTATGTACACTGTTCATCGCTGTCCATCGCCTAATATGCTCCCTTGCGCTTCTCGTACTTCGGCTGATCTACCGACTTAACCTCCAGCGTGGTCAACACGGGAGTAGTATGAACCAACTCTAGACTATCCAATTTAGCCCCCTCAGACTCCAACACCCACAGACTCAAAGCCAGATAGTTGGTACCGTGGTAGTTGAGAATACCCTCAGGGACAGGGTAGCTCGTCTGAGGACCAATGTTGTTCACGTACTTAGCGTACTGGTATCCGTTGACATAGAGCTGAGCACGGTAAGCTGCCGGTGGCGAGGTAGTGTTGCCGAAGTTGAAGTACATGGGGACATCCCAGCCCTTCTCCACATTCAGATCAAAGCTTGTAGTGTAGAACTGAATTCCGGGAGCCGACAGGCCGTCGAAGGGGCTGCCAGACTTCCAGTCCTTGCTGGGCGGCTGTGGCTGGTGGAAGCCCTGGCGTTCAGCATAGAGGCCACCCTCGTTTAGCGGGCCGCGCACTTTGTCGGGATAATCCTCACCACCCAAATTGCCTGTCAGCTTCCAGGTGATGTCGCTTGCGGAGCGGCCAGAGAGGTTATAGCTCAGGATGCCGCGGGGCTGCTTCATATCGTCTTCGCCAACGACCCAGTTTCCGTTGAGGCCCATGTTGTCAATGACAACGGTGAACACATACGACTTGTCTTTCTCTAGGGCTGGCAGGTCAAAGGTTGCATTGTAGTCGCTGCTTGTGGAAACTCCACCCCATGATCCGAGGTGTTTATTGTTCAGCCATACGGCACTGCCGAACGCGGAACCACCTTGTGTCTGCACGGAGAAAGTCTTCTCATCACCGGTAGCGACGAATTTGCCCCGGTAGAGCAGATTTCCAGTATGGAAGCCATAGTCAGATGAGAACAGTGAGGTTGAGGTGTTGATTGCATGGGCGCTATTCTTGGTGGCTTGGTCTGCAGCAACCCACGCAGAATCATCGAACGAATCTTGGATCTCAGGCAGGGTATCAATAGACTTCCATTCCAAGTCTTTCAGAGTGGGAAGCTGGATCTCTGGTGCGTTGTAGGAGACCCTGCTAGACCAGATGCCGTTCTTGTCGACCTTCTTATCCGCCTTCTTGCCGTTGATGACTAGATTCCTGGCCTTGGGTGGAGCTCCGATCACCTCAATGGGAGTAGTAGCATTAAAGTCAGCAGTAAGGTGCAGGTCGCTACCCTTCAAATAAGCATTCCGTACAAGGTAGCCAGCCTTGACGATGAGGGAGGATGCGGCAGTCTTCTGTGAGCTATAGCCAGGGTTTGTGCCTTGACTTGGGAGCTGGGGAACCCAGTAGTTGTAGGCAGAGTTACGATCTAGCATTTTGATCAGTCATGGTAAAGCATAAGGTATTAGAGAAGCACTCACCCAGAAGAAGGATCTTCAGATTGCCCACTTGCACAATACGCCGTGTGGTGGAGACATCCCAGCCGATAACCACTGTCTTGTTCACCCGCTTAACGGTGATCCCCGATGATGATCCTTCAACGACAGAAGCCTTTGACTGGGAAACAACAGCCAACTCGTGGTGCTCACCAGGGCCACCATACAGCACGAGATTCTTCGAATCACCAGACTTTGTCCAGGTGAAGACCTCAGCAGAGGAGTAGAGAACGTTGGTACCAGCCACATCGTAATCAACGACATGGATCTTAGAATCACGGCCGCTGAGAGTAAGAGTTCCGCCAAGTTGAGGAACGGTCACTTGGCCAGCGCTAGTAGGAACCTTGAGCTTATAATTGACGGAGTCTTGGGTCGTGTAGTCGGAGTGTCGGACAACGAAGAAAGAAGAAGCCGAATCTTTGTTTCCGAGCAGGGGAGTCACGACCACATCAGGCGAGGTAGTATACTCAGAAGTAGTAAGGTTTCCGGGTGTTGTTAGTAGATAAGCCGGCGATGCTTTGACAAAGTTCCCAATCAGCTTCAGCTCGCTATACTTCTCACGGGTGATATTGCGCGATTCAGTAATCTGGGAGCCATAGTCGTAAGATGTATAACCACCGGGGTGGCCCAGGTTGCCCCAGTTGGTACCGCCGAAGATCTGCCAATGTCAGAACGAAATACACATCAAGGGAGACCCCGGCACATACCATGTACAGGTTGAGGAATGCCATTCGGAAACTGAGGTTGTTCTTGTAAAACACTCTCTCGAACTCGTGGTTCAGGAGAGCAGCACAGTTTTCGAGCCCGGCTCCTCCCCAAGAATCGAAGGCACCAGCTTGGAACTATTCTCCAATCAGATCAGATAATAGACTCCTGGGGAAAGATATCATACCTCGACCACAGAGTACGGCGTTTTAGGACTAACCGCCATATGACTGTCGTACCAACCAGTGGGTATACCATCCGATGGCCAGGTGGAAGGATTCGAGCAGTCAAAGCCAAGAGGATAGCTGTCATGGCCGTAGATATCCAAGGCACCTGCACCAGTTCCAGGGGCATTGTGTCCACCACTCCAGGCGTCGTTGCTAATGAGAGGTACCACAATTCCAGCATCGCGAGCCTGATCCATGACATATTGCATATAAGCTCCATCTGGGAAGTCGACTCCACAGCAGGCACCACTGTATTCATTCTCTGGCTGGTAGAGAATGACAGGTCCTCCATTCGTGATCTGACCCTTGGCTACGGTTGCGGCAACATTGGCAATGTAGCTGTTCCAACCTGTTAGTATTCGGGGTACTTCCAATCCCATTGGAGTTCGATGATATCACCTACTTTTCTGTTGCCTTCAAGTAGGCCTCGTCAGTTGTTCGCAAAATCCCATCTACACGCTGGAGCCATCCCGGGAAACCACCACCCGAGACCTCCGCATTGATGTAGGGACCAGGGCGGGCGAGAAGGTAGATACCAGCCTTTTTAGCAGCATCGAAGAAGGGCTCCAAAGCGAAATTACCCTCGGCAGTATATTCACCCTGCTTGCCTTCCAGCAAAGCCCAATCGATATAGAAAGAAACGCAATTGAATCCGAGAGCCTTGACTTTCTCGAAAAGATCAATCCACAGCGATGGAACGGGCAGACTAAAAAGAATTTGAATCAGCATTGTCCTTGCTGAGAGCAAAAAACCCCCAATTGATCTTTCATCACTTACCGGTAGGGGTGGATTTCACCACTAAAGAGCATGATTCTCTCCCCATTGACAAAGAAAGACTTGTCATCCCAAGTGACCTACATCATAACCCCGTCAACACAATCCCCAACACATAAGCATCTTAGACACCACCTACATATTTCTGGAGCAAATCCCGCTTCACATGATCCGGATGCTCTGTAATAGTCAAGCCATCCAATGTATGGCTAATAGCGGCGCCAGCAGCCTGGGCCGCCAGACAGGCAATCGCCCAAGTGGACGAGAGCTTCATAGCTCCACGATTCACGCGAGTGAAGCGAAAAAAACAAACAGAGAAACGAGGACTCGATCTCAAGCTCAATTACCTTTCAATGCAAGGGGTCTATGGATGCCATTCATATAGTAAGGAAATACACTCCATATCCCAACCTGAATAGCCGCGATCTTCATGCGTAACGTACCATTGCTACATGGGGTACACGGAGGACACGGAGTACTACAGTATGAACGGCTGATTTTCTCCAGGTCTCCGCATCTTCCGTCATTTCTGGGGGTAAATTGAGGGGAGGTCGCATCCTATGGGGTATATGCATACACACAGGGTAATCGGACCGAACATCCCAGTGTTTCGCAGTGAGATCTGCCAATGAGAGCTTACGGCCCCTATTTTTCCACATATCGCATGTTCGCATTGTGGCGGTATTGGGCCCGTTTTCAGTTCTTCGAGTTTTTTGTTTACCTTCGTTGTTCTCAAGGTAGTTCTCCATCAGTCCGATCTATACGAAGTAGAGATGCCATGAGAACCCCGGCATCCATCCTCTTCTTATATACCCTTGTCTTAATATTAACGCTGCAATAACATGTGCAATTTGACCCAATTGCGACATTTAGGCAATTTAGACAGCAACCTTCCTGCGGGGAAGTTGGAACTTCGTAGGGATTAATTTAGCCGGCACTACTCCATTGGGCCACCCGACGTTGCTCCGTATGGCCAGTGCAGAGCAAAGGAACGTGCAAAAATTCATGAATTTGGCTTTTTAGTACAGTATGTGTCTCCTTGGGAGAATGTAAAAAAACAAAAAGGATCCTCTAGACAGTGGTGTTGAATCGGTCCACCTCGTCGCCATCCTTGCTGTATGTCTCGCGCTCATCCACAACCTCCTGCGCTTCCTGTCTAAGCTCAACATTCTCTTCCTTCATTGCAACGTCTTCCGCATCAGCGGTAGGCTGGACGTTACCGCCTTGCTTCTGTGTGGTGTTGATAAGAGGGGTCGAATCGTTGAAAATGCGCAGCAACATGGCTCGGCGCTCTTCCTTGGGAAGCATAAGGTTCAGGGAGTGAAGAGAGCGCCAGAGGGGCAGAACCATCCGCTCACTGTATATTAAGTTAGTAAGATGTAAACACCACACGGGATGTATGAAAGACTCACGTAAGACCATCTTCTCCACCAAGTGCTTCAACGCGGAGGATACTGCAGCCCATGGGGATGTCCTTCACACGCTCGCCAATCTCGCCCAGAGACTTCCAGCCATCATCGTTGACCTTGGGGAACATCTCGACAAGCAGACGGCGCAGAGTCTCCCGCTTGGTCAGAATGACGGACCGCTCAGGGCCCAGCCAAGGCTCGGCAATTTTCAAGCCATCGGTCTGGACGCGCCACCTGCAGACGTTCTCACGCTGTGCGTCCTGCTTAACAAACATCTTCACACCGCAGTGGACAAACTTCAGGCCCTGGCCTTCATTGGACACGAGAATGTCCCGTGCCAAGGCACTGGTGTAGTAAACAGTGCGGGTTGGGACACCATCGGCATTGCGGACCATGAAGCGATCACGGGGGAATCGCTCTGACAACTTGTAGAACTCAAAGATGGGACCGAGCTCCTCGTGGTTGGGATCAAGGTACTTGAATGGCTCCTCTTGGCGGGGTCCCTTCTTCTTGAACTGCGAGGGTGCCGCGGAGGTGGTAGGTGTGCTATCACCAGGGGTAGCAATGCCAGTTCCCACTGCAGGTGCCGGAACGTGGACGGGGCGGTCACCAACAAGGACCTCACTGCCATCGTCAAGCTTAGTTCGCTTGGCAGGAACTTCCTCTTCGAGGTCGCTAGCGTCCCGTTTCGGGGGAGAGACAGCGGCCGATGCATCAAGAGTAGCAGAGTAAGGAAGCTGGTGTGCGGCTTCGGCAACAGAAGCGTTCTTTGCGAGCTCCGCCTGAGCCTCTTGGTCGGGAGTGACGAGCTCATCCAGCGACTCGAGTTTCTCAAGGGGCTTTCCATTTGTCTCTTCCTTCTTAGAATCAAGCTCTGCGGCGAGAGCTGCAACAGAAGCCTTGGGGATGACATTGGTGTTCTCCGGCTTAGCCTTGATTTCGGAGGTCTTCTCGAGCACAGTGATGAAGAAACCTCCGGTGTCCTGCTGGTGAGGGTACACACGCATGCATCTCTCAAGAGGCAGGTCGGCAGTCTCGCCTGTCGGCGCAAACATGCCCTCTGCAAGTCGGGCAAGACCGTTGATACCTTCCTGGTCCCGGTGCTGCTCAATCTCCTGCCAGCTGCTCCACATGCGGCCCTCGCGGTCCATCACTTTCCAGTTCTTCAGGCCAGCGGCTCTCTTGAGACCGGGCAACTCCTGGCTACAATCGATAATCTTGACATTGGCGGCGCCACCGCAACGCTCAATTGCAGAAGCGATAACGGCCTCGTTCTCCACGGGGTTAAGACTGCAGGTAGAGTAGACAACACGTCCACCCACCTTCAACATCTGCAGGGCACGGACCAAGATCCGAGATTGCGTGCTGTAAAGTCCCAGAGCATTGCCAGGGGTCCAGTCCTTCCAGACACCGACATTCTTACGTGCGGTACCATCACCTGAGCAAGGAACATCTGCCAAAATACGATCGAACTTCAGGTATCTGTTCTGGGGTTTGCTACCATCCTCAGTAGGCAAAGAAGGAAGCTTGATGGAAGGGAACATAGTTGCATCGTGGTTGGTAACGATCAGGTTAGGCGAGCTGAGGCGCTTCATTTGGTGGATAAGCATGTGTGCGCGCTTGTAGTCGGCGTCGTTGGCAATCAGCAGGCCAGTGCTTCGGCCATCGTCGTTCAGTCCTTCGGGGCCGAGGGGCTCGGGTCCAACGGGGCCATTCTTAATTTGCTCGGTGACTTGCGCAATGGCATCTTCCTCGCCTGCGTGAAGCAGCTCCATGAGCTGCGCAGACTTACTACCGGGTGCTGCGCACATATCCAACACAGTCATTCCAGGGCGGGCATCGATGAGGAGAGGGGGAATCATGCTGACAACCTCCTGGCGACTAATGTTTCCAACGTCGGTCTCGGCGACAAGGAACTTCTGGAATGAGGCGAAAGGCGCAAATCGACGGATGACATTCTTAGGAGTGGTCATAGACCAAGCGAGCTGATCTGGGTACCAGGAAACTGGGCGCGGGGGCTCAACGAATTCGTCCTCGTACTTAATAGAAGTGATTTCGGGAATGTGGTGGTCCTTGAGACGCTGCTGAACAGCCAGCGCATGTCTATTCAATGCCACACACTAGTCAGTATTGCTTGTAAACCACAGAGGCGCAAATCGCATAAAAAATTGACCAAGATGAGACGTACCCTCGAGAGCCAGTGAAACGGAAGCTGTTAGGGAGATCCTTGCGCATGGTAGCCCAGAAAAGCTCTCTTTCCTCCTCCGGAATGAACTCGGGTTCATTGTAGTAAAGTTCAAACTTCTCATTATCTCTGGTGATGTCCTGCCACATAGAGCGCGTACGGCCTGCGCTGCCGCCGCCACCGCCGCGACCTCTACCACCCTGCAAGAAAGGAGACTCAGTCAGAACAACAAATATCTCAATTGTCACATATGAATGAGGAACATACCTTTTTACCACCTCGTTTTCCCATTGTTATGATGTGATATGAGTCAAAGGAAAGTGTACTTCAAACAAGATCGCCTTCAAAAAATCTCCCCGATCAAATGCGGGATGATTATGTCATCACGGGCTCGACCACTGCAGGTGGGCAGAGTCGAAACAAGATCCTGAGGTCCAGTATAGGACATCCGACCAGATATTCTTGAACGTCTGGGGCATTTATTTGCTTTGGGTCCTGGCTAAGCCTTGCAATGATATGCAGTGCTCCTGAGTTTGTGCCCTGTGGACTGATCCACCTGAACTTGATGTACTCAATGGCCATTTCCGCAACCCACCTGTGCACACGAAACTCAAACCTTTTGGTATCGATTGTGTCAAAGAACTTCTCTGCAGAAACTTCTTTCTTGGTGTTATTCCATAGTTCTCTGAGACGCTGGATAGCTGGCTTATCAAACGGATCGATCAACTGTGCTGGCTCTTCGCCATTGCCAAACAAACCCAGCTTTCCGGCGTCCTCTTTTGTGGCTCGGATGCACACAGTGTGCAATGCAATGATACATCTATCCAGTGAGAAAATGACATCCCATACCAAGGAGATTGGGATATCAGGAATTCCACGGAACCGTAGAAAAGGGTGGATAAGGTCCGCACTGATAGATACCTTTTTGCGTAGAACGGGGACTTTTATCAAATCAAGGAGGTCCTCCTGCAACCTGCATCTCTCTTCATTGGCAAGTTTAGACGTATCAGGAGCATTGAAGTGAACAACATCGGTAGACTTCCACCACCATCGCGAGTCAGTCAGGTAGTCTGGTGCAAGGAGGAATTGTTCCGGGAGCTTGACCTTAGCTAAAGCAATTTGGCGGGATTCGTGACAGACATGAGCAATTGCTGGATACTTGAGATTGAGGAGCCATGCTTTCCGGAGGTCTGTCTCTGGTATGATATCTGGGTCGCATGGTTCTCCGACCTCGATGATTCGCATTGGAACCGCGAACTCCCAAATCATCAGACGCAATTCAATTGGCAATGTGGAAAACCGCGCAAGGCCAGCCATGGTGGAAGTTCTACATCGACGATCAGCTATAAGAAACCAACGGATAGCATGGGGGGAGTTAACATAAAATGCGGCATACAAGAAAAAATAGCTCTGAAGCAAAGCACCTAGATAGAATCCGGAGCTTCTCTGAAGCTTCGAAATGGCAATGTAGAAGGCGCTCGAAAGATTCAAGTGGGCAAATCAAAAAGCGAAGTCAGCCGGATGTAAACTGAAGCGAACGAATGACCGAGGAACTGCGCAACGGAGAAGATTCGGGGAGTCGATTGTTGACGTTATTGTTTTGCGATTAAGAAACCACCGACGGCAGGAGCGCAATGGGAGTGAAGCCGGGAAGGTGTGACGCAGGCAACGGATCGCAAGTATAAGGGCAACGGCAATACACTATGGAGCAACTTTGGAGGTCCAGGGGAAGAGATAGAACAAACAAAGGAAATAATTTGGGTGTGTTTGCTGCAGAGGCAGAAAACTATATAGTCTACTATGGCAAACCATTAATTGCTATTTCACACACGAATTTGGGATCTAACAGCCCAAGGCAATGATTGATAGTACATTCAAATCAAAGCCACCAAAAGCTCGGTTTTTTCAGAGCATTTAGCAGCTATCTTCACACGCGATCATACTCTAGGACAACTTAAGAGATCATGCGGGACATGTCTCCACGGATACGCTGGTAGTCGAGGATACCCTCGATGCTGCCGACGGCGCTCATGGCGAGATCCTGATCCCACAGCTTGCGGGTAGCGAAGTCCATGACGTCCTTCTCGGTGATCTGGCTGACGGTACGCTCAATATCCTCAGCGGTCAGGCGGCGACCAGTGGTGATGATCTGGCGGCCAATGTCCTCAGCGACGGCGGTGGTGCCATCGAGGGACAGGAGGATGGAAGCCTTAAGCTGGGCCTTGGCACGCTCAACCTCAGCGGAGCTGACGTTGTTGCAGAGGCGAGACCACTCACGGAGAGTGAAGTGGATCAGGTCATCGAGCTGAGTGAGGTTCTCGCTGACAAGGTAGATACCCCAGAGACTATTACCAAATTAGCATTTTCTTCTTTTCTCGATTCAAGACAGATATCATCAACAAATAAAACTTACCCGGTGTCGCTGTAGCTGGTGGAGAAGCTCATGAAGCTGTTGGCGAGGTTGTGGTGGCTGACGTAGGAGCTGAGCTTGCTGCCGAGGAAGGGAGACTGGCCCATGGCACGGTCCCAGTTACCGACGATGGCCTGGGTGACCAGAGCAGTGAAGTAGTCATCATCCTTCCAGCTAACACCCTCGACGGCGAGAGCGATGTGAGCGGAGGGGATGGTGTCGTCACGGAGACGGACCTCAGAGCCAATGAACTCGGGGGTGCGCTTCTGCTCGGCAGTGAGAGCAAGGGCAGCGGAGGTAGGGGCCTTGCTGGGAAGGGAACCGAAGTGCTCCTCAGCGAGTCTCACGAGCTGCTCGTGGGGAACGCCACCAGCACCGACGAGGACCATGCGGTCGGCAGTGTAGTTGGTCTTAATGTAATCGGTCAGGTTGTCCCGGGTGATGGTCTGGATGTTCTCCTTGGGGCCGAGGATGGTGCGGCCAAGGGGCTGGCCCTGGTAAGCAGTGGCGTGAAGGTGGTCGAAGACAACCTCCTCGAGCTGCTTGTCAACCTCCTCCTGCTCGCGCAGGATCACATCACGCTCACGCTCGATGGCACCAGCCTCGAGCTTGGAGTTCTGAAGGATATCGGCGAGGATGTCGACGGCCTTGGGGACATCGTTGTTGAAGGCCTTGGCGTAGTAGACAGTGTTTTCACGCTATAGTCGCGATTAGTATTTGGTTATGTAGAGGTTGATAGATGGTTTCCCGGGTCGTACCGAAGTGTAGGCGTTGAGGTGAGCACCCATGTTCTCAATCTCGAGCTCCAATTGGTGCTGGGAGCGCTTGTTGGTGCCCTAGACATATTTATCAGATAAAAGCGCTTCGGAATTTGATGTTTGTGGTGTCGTACCTTGAAGGCAAGGTGCTCAAGGAAGTGTGCGGTTCCGTTGGTCTTGTCAGTCTCTGCCCGGCTACCGGCATCGATCCACACGCCGACCGTCGAGGTTTGGGCCCATGGCGAGTGATCAGTGGCAATCTAGAAGATGATTAGCAAGCCTGCGATACCATTGAGATTATATAGATTGATTGTTCGTACAGTGAATCCGTTGGAGAGGGTAGTGGACTGAGTGGTGGACGGCAACGCAACGGGCGAAGCAAAGCCACGCTTCACGGGCTGGATGGACTTCAGGGCCGCACGAGTGCGGAGAGCCTGGTTCAGGTTGAAAGCAAGGCGCCGAGAAGCCATTGAGAACGACTTGTATGGGTGGAGGGAGGGGGGGAAGAGGAAAGATGGAGAAAAGAGCTGATGGAGACACCCTGAGGTTGAAGTTCCGAAGTCTGAAATTGTTCGCCCAGCTCAGCCAATTACATAACCCGCTTTTCCAAACCGCCCTTGACATCCCGAATACTTCCTTGCTCTGCATTAATGCGTGATATGGACTTGAATAGGCTTTGAATAGGCCTCTATGTTGTCTAATTCGATCTACCGGGTGTCGAATTAGGATTTGTTTGACGTTGGAGCACCCCGATGCGCCCCAGTCTCCAATCCCTCAATTTCAGTCATCGAATTTCGTGTCGATTGATTGGCTAGACGCCCATGTCATACAAATCGGCTTGCAGGCTGCTTATTGTCCCCCTCCATAGAGATATCCGCCACAAAGTCCAATTTCAAAGCAAGCGCAGTGTTAACTTGAGAAGTCTGCGATTGCACAATCTTGTCGGTAGCAGCGTCATATTTCTCATCCGCAAGAGCCGGACGCTCCTAACCTCTAGTGCTGTCACTCACGAATCACAATTACTTTCCAGGCTCTTGTCCTTGTTTCCCTCCCAGTTCATCACCTGCCAGCCCATCATGACCGCATCTAGGCAATTCCTCCCCCGACTCGAAGGGACTGAGGTCACTCTTAACTCACCACCAGAAATGCCGTTCTACATTAAACCTGAGACCTGGGAATAGTAGAGAAGCTTGACGAATGCCCAACTATCTTGACCGAGCGAGAGATTGCCAATGTTCTGGGCCCCTCATATGTCGCCGGAAAGTTTCTCTGTCGTCTCTCCGGTTCTGACACCCCAAGAGAGCTCGCCTTTATGCGAATTTACAAGCAGATTCCTATCGCTGGGACTGAGTATGAGGCGCCTATAATCCGGGCTGTCCAAGCTACCGGCCGCCTGAACATCAAGAGTTGGTCGCCTTAAAGGCCTTCAAAGCGCACGGCTGTGATATTGTCCCCTAAGCTGCTTGGGTATCAGTTGGGGAAACAAGGCGAAACCGATCTTGTCCCTGGGGGCTATATCCTTTATCTAGTGTGGGAGAAAGTCCCCGGAGAATCCCTCGATTTTCACAGGTTCTGGAGTTGTCCCTTTTCCGAGCGACAGGAGTTCCGAGCAAAGTTTCGTCGGGCTTATGAGTATATCTTTTGGGTACCATGATTGCGAGAACGGACTAACAGGACTTAGAACGCTGGTACGATTCGGATATCGGCCACAAATGCCTGGGTTGCCTAAGATCATCTACGAATGGGCCACGGGAGAGATGTAGGATATATACTATCATTTCTAACGTTGAATGAGTTAATGGGTGATTGCCAGGCACATCTCCGGATTCCGCTGCGCGGTTCCCACCGACCCAAGCCAGAATTGGAATGATTTAATTTACGTACAATATAGTCTCGCCCTAGCAACCACAGCAATGGATAAATATTATCCCGTCAAGAGCACTGATCTTTACCACGACGCAAAGGGTTGGGGGTGGTAGGGAAAACAGTCGCTACTCCATTTGCTCATCATGATAATTTAGCTCAACAAAGATACCCCCAACCGCAAAGGGGTCATTTTCATTAAAGCCCCATAGCGTGTTCAGTATCTTGTGCTATTCATCGTATTTCATAGGTCGATCACTGAGCCTATTGACCTCGGGAATCCTTATATGGCCGAGAGCCAGACAGATCGTATTTTCCCACGTCACTCAACCAGCTCTGTTGGGTTGAAGACACTATAGAAGGATCATTATTCTTAGTTTCTACAGCGTCCTACCAAAGCAGCCAAGAAATTCTAAGCCCGAGAAAGAAAGAAAAGAAAGATTAATAGGGTGTCAGTGTGTCAACCTAACAAGGAACTGGGAATGAATATTCTCGCTAAGTGATGGTAAAACTACCTACCTAGTGTGATGACCCGATCCACTGAGTACTAGGCGTAGGGTTTACTACAGGACCTTGGCTAGCTGCCCGACTAGCCATAAAAAGAAACACTGCTATGCCGAAGGAGTACCAGTACCCTGAGGGTCTGCCTCCGTCGGAACATAACGATTCTTCGACTCGATAATCGGTGAGTACTCGACGCCCCATGTATTTCCCACCAAAGCCTGTCTCGGACCACTTGCCCGAGAGAAGAGACGGCTCAAGGTACAGGACATAGGCAGTTCACTTGGAGACATAGGGGTGCTGGAGACAACATCGAATAGCCAGTATAACCAAGTCACACGCACTCACACTAGAGCTGCACCGATTAATTGGGGGACAGAAACGGTACAACTGGAATTATCAACGCGCAGAAATTGTTTTCGGCCTTTGGCAAAGGGTAGTGTTCCGAGTGAGTTGTTGTGGTATTGGCCACTGGTTGCTACCTAGGTACGGATATCATACGCTATCGAGAGCTATCTCATCACCTCAGATCAAGACACTCAGTATGACACATTCCAGCGTGTAAAATTCATCGAAAAGGAAAACTAAATTTTAAGACGCAGCCAAAAGTACATAGGCGGAAATACCTGTCACAAGAAAGGTGGAAAACATTCGATACATCACAGAACACGAGACGCCGAGGGAACATGAAAAGGGAATGGACATGACCAGAGATTAAGACCTTTATGCGGAACGCTTGTAGATACCAGCGACAATACAGTGGTCACGCTCGAAAGGCTCCAGGGTAAGCTGCTCCTTGGGCTTAATCTTCTCCTCACGCATCTTCTGGACCTCCTTGGCGAACACGACCTCGGGCTTGGCTGTGCTGTCAATACAGTTGGCCTTGATGGAGACGATGACACCACCCTCGGCCTTGAGGAACATGTGGGCGTTCAGGCCGACAATACGGGCCTGATCGGGCTGGGCAACATCGGCGAAGATGACATCGACCATGGGCACGAGCATGCGGTAACGGAGAGGGTGACGGGCATCCTCAACGATGGGAATGACGTTGGTACGGTGAGTGGCCATGCCGATCAGATCACGGCCAGAGCGGTGAGAGAACTCGACGGCGTAGACGTTACCGGTAGGTCCGACAATATCAGCGACGTGAGAGACGGAGGTACCAGAGGCACCACCGATGTAGAGAACCTTGGAGCCGGGCTTCATGTAGATGTCATCAAGACCACCCAGAACACCAGCAGCCAACTATAGAGAGAGGCGAGAGTCAGCAAAAACGAACTATGAGTGGCAGGCATACAGGCCATGGCTAGCAAGGCAATATAAAAGAACTCTGGAACGAGTCCGAGAAAATTGCGAGACGCCAGGCATCTGTAACTCAGGGAAAGAGAGATATTTACCTTAGAACGGAAGGGGTTCCAGACACGGTACTCCTGCTTGGTGACGGTGCCATCCTCAGCGGCGGGACCGTCGACGGAAATGCGCTTCTCGCCGTAAACTGCAGTTCCGGGGGTAAGGTTCTTGGTCACAAGCATGTCCTCCTTGCCGCCGCGAGCGACGAAGATACCGGCGTGACGGTGAGGCTCCTGTTCAGAGGAAGAATTGATTAGTTTCAGATACCCATGTCAATGAGATTTTTGACACTTACAATGACAACCTTGGCACCACCGCGAGCACCACCGCCACCGCGGGGAGCACCACGACCACCACGGGGGGCACCACGGCCACCACGGGGAGCACCACGGCCACCACCGCGGCCACCACGGTCACCGAAACCACCACGGCCACCGCCGCGGCCACCACGGTCGCCGAATCCACCACGACCACCGCCGAATCCACCTTTAACAAGTCAGCGAGATGAACTATATTATCACAGCAGGCACATATATCATGACAACCGGGACGATGAGATCGTCCGCGGCACTGAGTCTGCATGCTTGCTGCTTGAGATAGACTGGACTGAACAAACCTCGACCACCGCCACGGCCACCGCGGTCACCACCGAATCCACCACGTCCACGAGGAGCGAAGCCCATTGTGTAGTTTTTTGAAAAAGAAACTCCGGTTGTAGAGGGAGTTAAATAGGGGAGGGAGGTTAAGCTGTCGTTTCCGAGTGCTTAAACCGAGTTGTAGTTGAAAATTGGAACAGAAGATTCCAAAAAGGTCGAGAAGATGGAGAAAAAAATTGACAACGTATCGGAGATAGTTGGATCAAGCAGTTCAAACAGAATTGGCCGCTAACTGTCTATCAGGTGCGGGTCGATACCGATGCTGCTCGTTGATGCGGTCGAGATTTTTTTGCGCCTTTAGGATCTTTCAGAAAATCAGAACGCCGCTAGGCCGCTCATGGTTAGCGTGGTTTCCGCCTGAGTACATCACGTGGATTGCTTCGATGCGGCGGTCACGTGGTAGGACTAGCCCTGCGTTGCATGACTTCCAATCCCTGGACGGACTGTGGAAAGATACAATATTTGCCTATTTGGGAGGTCCATTTGATGGATCTTAATGAGAAGAAATAAAGTACAGGGAAATTCAGATTGATATCCTCCGCGAAATTTTTCACATCCTTATACTGTCGTATAGACAAACCTTCGGTTGCACTCAATGAGATGAAAAAATTATGATTGATGGCATGAACAATGACATATACCATCATAACGTTGATTGATCGTTAGCACCAGATCATGACCGGTCATGAAAAAAAAAGAGAGTAATAAAACAAAGTAAGACAAAGCCCGCCCTGTGAATCAAGAAATCATATCCACCGTCCAAGTCCCCAATTCCCTATCTACAACATAAAACAAGATTCAACTATTCTCCAAAGAAATAATAGTTTGCAGCGTATTCCATTTGAAACTGAGAGGGCATGCCCTTGCAGGTCTTTGGTGGAGAGCCAGCTGCAGTGTCGACCCGATACACACTCTTATAGTTGCCCACTGTGCCATCAGTGGCAGTGAGATAAAGCCAGGGCACAGCGCCATATTTCCCTGATAGTGCATCTGAGGGAGCATCAACTGCACCTTTTTTCTTGGCCATGACAATGCCCTCTTGCTTTTTGGGTGAGGTGTTGAAGTTGAACTCGGGTGTGCTTTCATCGAAGAAGAAATGATGACCCATCATTTCAATGTTCGCGGGAGGTAATGAGGCATATTCGTTTGTTGGCAGGGCAAGTCTGTAGGCAAGATTGGGAAGCTTTGCCAGGATGTCGGGGAAGTTGGCTGCAATGCATGTCGCATTGTAAAGTCTTGCGACAGCTCCTGCTGCCGCGGGGGTGGAGTTGGATGTAGAGTCGGCACATGTGTAGTTCTAGTTCTTCTAATAAGCAATGCAACCCAACAGTATCTATAATGGCCTGTCATACCTGAGTACCTCTTCCGAGCGCAACGTATTTCGGCTTGAGACCTGATGGGCCGGCCATACCCGAAGCATGCGAGGGTAGAGCAATCTTCGAAATATCGCAAGCCGCCGGTACTCTGATGTTGTGTTTTGCGGTGTTGATATATTCGCTTACTTTCCCGTAGAACTCGGCCAATTCATCTGACCAGTCGTATGCATCGTTAAGGAAGTTTGTCGGGGCAGCAAGTGATACTGCGGCCAGACAGGTGATGAGCGGAGCCAAACGCATTGCGAGGATATTTGTTTATGACAGTGGGTGAAGAAATAGAGAGGTGGTCAATGGAGATAGTGGCGCTTTGTGATTACTCAAGGATTGACCAGCAAGCCTTTGATGTACTAGGGAGGGAAGGTAGACGGGTTAAAGGAAGGAATGACAGGATATGGACATGACGATGAATTGATCGTCGGGCTGGGGCAGATATACATATAGACGTGGTGGTAATTTCAATCCTATTCAAGCATATATCAAAGATAGTAACACAGGTCCGACTCGAAACAGTGTTGTAGCTATTAACAGCGCGATCGATGCAACCTGCAGGTACTAGCAGGGATTACCGTTCGACCGCAGGCTCTCATTGGAAGACGGACGCGCCCAGGGCTGACCCTCCCAGCCTCTTCTCATTTGTGATTTGTTGTCGACGGCAAACAACTTTGCCTAAATCAAGATAGCAACGCGCTAAGCAAAACAACGGGGTTTCCCATGGCGGTTCGGTTGTAGCAGCTTGGACCGAGCCAATACCGTGGGCTCTATATATTTCTGCGGACACTATTAATAAATCTGACTGAAGAAAGGCCCCCGGTGCGCTGGGCGGTTAGATATGCAAAATCATCGGGACAGGTTAGTGTGCGAAGAGATGAGATGATGGATCCTGACCCTAGATCTGTGCAGAACTCGGGGAATTATTTAGTCCATAGATCCTGGCAATATCAAACAGAGCTTCACAACTTAACCATCGAATCGACTGTTTTAGAATCTGTCTTCGACTGTGGAGGCTGACGAGGGGTAGAGAGGGGTTTAGGCTTTTCCCTTTCATTTCCTGTTTCCAGTCCACGTTACAGCTCACTGGCGCGTAGAGAACGCCATCTTACACGAGACTTCCCTGGGCATCTACTGTCAACTGGTAAGGTTTCTAGCTATTTATGTGACTGCCTACACCAACTTGTGTCAACGGTCGAGCTTTTTGTCCGGGCTGGTTTACCCGACACTGGGCAAGCCACCGAAATATATACTTGCATAACATCTTTCCTGACACCGATTCCCCCCACATCGGAACAAATATTCCGAATCTGAATTGCGCCGACCTATTCTCAATCGAGACAAATGAGCAAATGAAAGTGAATTTGGTCTGACACCGGTCGAGAAAGCGTTCAACAACCTCTTCCATCTAGTAGTCTTTGCATAGAATGCCAAAGAATTCAACTTCATACATCAAGAAGCCCGGGTGGTCTAGTGGTATGATTCGCGCTTAGGGTATTCAAAACCTGAGCAATATTGCGCGAGGTCCCGCGTTCAATCCGCGGCTCGGGCCTTCTTATCTTTTTTGCCATTTTTTGCCCTTTTCCTGGCTGTTTTTTTTGGTCCTGAAATCATTCGATCACATGCTGATTTCCCCTCCAGTTACAATGGATGGGTGCGATTGCAATATTCAATCGTCACATTTTTGTTGCCGGTATTCACCCACCGAGACAGTCGCACATGGAGCAGTGCCAGATATCTTATGCAGCCCAAACCTCACAAAGTACAGAGCAGCGATGATAGTCCGAATCAAACGTCGACCTGATGAAGTGTGAGGTGCAGGCTAGAGCACACTAAATTCCTTCTTAGGTCCTCTTTTCTCACGGCCAAAAAAAGTCACTGTCTTAGAGACAGAACTCCCCGAACTTCAAGAGAGGAAGACTCATTATAGAGGTCTGACACAGCGGAATAAGTTTCCCAATGCCAGAAGTAGTTGCAGACCCAGTCCCTGGGCTTCCTACGAACCCGCTCCTAGATTTAGAAAGCACTCCATGATATTGATCCCAGATACATGTGATTTGCCGGAAATGAGTTTTACATATGAAGCTTGCCTCGCATCCCAAAATAGTACAACATGGAGTAGTCTGGAGCCCAAAACAGACCTGACGAAAAAAAAAGGGAATATGTAAAAAGAAAGAAAAAATAGAATAAAAGGATAATGAAGTTAAAAAAGAACTCCGGAGCTCTTCGCTGTGGGAACAAGGAAAAAGGTCGCAGCCTTGGAACATCAATTAAAACCTTCTTGCTGCCACTCATCACCGTGCAGCTGACTTTCGCCTCCCGTGGCCCCTCCGCTTCCGTATGCGGCCGCGGCGCTACTGATAGCGCCCATAGCGCTATGCTTCTCAATCTCCGTGCTGCTCATCATGTAAAGTACAGCGAAAAGTAGGAGGTGGAGTGCCAGACAGTAGCCAGCGAATAGGTTCCGACTCGTCCGATTTGCAAGAATGACCCGAGTGAGAGAGAACACGATCCGCTCTGGTAGACTCATGCGTTTATATGCACGTGTTGATTCACGGCCTCGGAAGGCAGCAAACGGCGAGATTCGAGCCTCATAGGCATTTTGGTATCGGTCGAGGGACAGACCTGAAGGTGTATCCGCCGATGTGTAGACAGATGTTGAGCTCGGGGTGTTTGCGTATGATGACGCTGATGTGGATGCGCCCTGACCACCCCGACTGTAGGTTGAAACATAGCGAGTCTTTTCATAGAGACTCAAGTTGTCCTTCTGGAGTGATGCAACCTCCTGTCGAAGGGACTTGACAGTGGCATATAGCTTGGACAATTCTTCTTCGAGCTCAGCATTCTTTTTCTTGAAACGGTCTCGCTGGGCCTGAATCATAGGCAGGAGGCCGGACCCACCCCCGACAGCTTCTCCTGCACGGATAGATTCCATGGTGTTTGCAGAAGCGGCGCTCTGGTCAAAGCCAGAGATGATAGATGAGGTAGGAGATGATGCGCCTCGACGGGAAGAGTGAGGGTATCTGGAGGTATAAGTTCCCGCAACGGACATCGCCGCGGACGGGAATGTATTGGTAGCCTCTTCTTGGACGCGGAGGAGGTCATTTTCAAGAGTAGTGGAGAGGCTTCGCGACTTGTCCAGCTCTGTCTTCGAATCCGAAAGCTCGGCTCGTAATGTTTCGAGCTGGCCTTGGATATCCCGATGCGACACTCGAAGAAGTGTGAGATCATCCGTCAATTTCTTGTTACGCGCCATAAGAAGCTGCTCCAGAGAGTTCTTGTCTTTAGATTTGGCCCCATCACCGTTGGCATCAACTGCAGCACCCTCAGCAGCACCATCGTTGTCATCGTCATCCCCAGCAAACTCAACCGACCTGATCATCTCCAACTCCCGACGAATTTCATCGTAGTCCGCTACCTTTGCCAACCGCACACGTAGCTCTTCCTTCTCCACCGTTGCTTTTGATGCTGTACGCTCAGACTGAAGCAGTTTGGCTTCCCAGGTGTGTCGTTCAGAGTCCTTGTCAAATCGCGCAGCATCGAGCTTGCGCAGCAAGGAAGAATTTTCTGATTGAAGTCGAAGATAATCAGGGTCGTCTTGAACAGAAATTGGGCCAGATGAGTGTGATGCAGCCTGAGCCAGCTCCAGCCGCATTTGTTCATTGCGGGCTTCTACATCGGCCAATCTCAAACTTGTCTTCTCCAGGTCCGCGGAAACAAGTTCAAGCTCAGCTGCAGTAGCACCACTTCGTGAACCATCGTGATCATCATTATGAGCCTCGCCCTCGCCTAGGCGCTGGGAGACTTCATGGCTCGCTTTGAGTTCCTTGATCAGCCGATCCTGGTTCTCTACCTTTTCCTCTAAACTCTTCTCTTTTGCCGCCCAGTTATTTGTCTTTTCTGTCAAGACAGCTTCCCACGATGCCTCGATCTCCTTCGCTCTTGATTCTTGGTTTTCTTCCAGTTTTCTCCTCGCCGCGCGTTCTTCCTGTAGGCGTTTCTCGGTCTCATCTTGTTGCCTGGTGAGACGGTCCACAGACTTCTGCAATTGATCCCGCTCCGAAGTCAATTTTGGGACTGTATCTTCAGACAAGACAAGGGAGTCAACGGAAGCTTCGAGGAGTGGGTAGGGATCCGGGGCTTCAGATAATGAGGAGTATAGTTGTAGGAATGAGGAGGAGGACGTTTTGCCCTGATTGGTCAGAAGATCAATAAAAGACTGATAGGACTTGAGTAATGTCTTATATTCTAAAAGCTTAGATTCATCATCTAGCTTTTTGTAGTCCTTAGTCTTCTGCGCTAGGTCCTTTCTCTGCACGAGCGCATCTCGCTGTTGTTCAACGAGGTCCGTAGCGGTTGTATCGAGTTTCGCAATGGTATTGGCCAAGTCAATTCCTATTATTCGTTAATAAGGATCAACTAACATATCTGTAAGGCTATCATTACCTCTCCATGCTGCAATGGCGCGTTGAAACTTATTAGTCTCTTCAGTCAATTTGTTGGAGACGGGCGATTCACGTTGGTCATCAAGTTGCCCCTGAGGAATCAAATTTTCTGTAAAGGCAAATGAATCCATTGTCGGTCCTAACCCCAGGGGTCTGCACTGTCACCCCACATCAAATAGCAGTCCACCAAGGGGGAAAGATGGCGATCTGTTATCGCGAGGAATAGGACACGCGGCAGACGGGCCGATATTGTTCCGAATGTATGTGTACAATGTACGGTTCGAGGTTTTGTATGCTGTTAACTAATGAACACAGGGGTTTGAGGCAATAATCAAGCCTCTAAAGTCAGCGGTGTAGCTTCACTAACCCATATGTTGTTTGAATGCCACGGTGGTTGACCCGAGACACCCGCGTACATCGGACAATGACAGAGATAACGGTATAGATTGGGCTGACCGCTTTGCTTGCCGCCTCAATACATTGCTTGAACATGACGTTGTATGCACCAAATTGTCATCAAGACCAATAGAAAAAGATTGTGAGGGTTTCTAGAGTCAACCAAAATTCCACCAAGCAGATTTGACACCCTTTGTAGGCCCTAGACTTATACTCTAACATGTTACCCATACATCATCCGATCCGATTCTGCCAGACAAATACCAGTGCGGGCCGTCACTTCCCGCTGTGAATTGTGGCCCCCCTGAGCTTTGGCCCCACTGACCGCCTTCCCATCGTCACTCTCCAAGCTTGCGGGGAGATGCATGGAACCACAGCCTCATAATGGCCTCGGACGACGGAATTGGTCCTCGAAAGAGGCGCAAGATTAGTTCACCAGGGACCATACCTTATGTGTTACACTCACTCTTCGAGGATGTGCCGTTATCGACCGAGCACAGCTCCGACGTCTACATCACATGTGTCGAGTACTGGAGTAAGCTCTATCTACGGCTAACCGTAGTCACTGTCTGCTCTTTGATTCAAATCTGACTGAATTCGATAATCAACAGATGAAAACCTCTATATCGGCACCTCTGCAGCCGAGATCTTACACTTTGTATGCCTTCCGCCAGCTTCTCCAGAGGACGCCGCCGAGCCTACCTTTATTCTAGCATCCCGATTACCGATCCTATTTGCCCAGAAGCCCCCAGAGAACAGTGGCCAAGAAGGCGTTCGCCAAATAGTTATCTTATCCTCAGTGAACAAAGCATGTATCCTCTGCAATGGGACTGTTACGTTCTATATGTTGCCAGAGCTCAGCCCAGCTTTTGGAAATACTAAGGTCAATAACTGCCGCTGGATTGGTGGATTGGATCTCAACTGGGATCCGGAATCAGGGGAGAATCCAACTGTCATGATTGCCGTACAGAACAGGATTATGCTTGTCCAGATTGGGGATGAGGCGCGACGTATCAAGAAGATCGAGTTTCCCGGTTGCTTGACTGCAGCACGGCGAGGAACGATTGCCTGTGCTGCAGATACGCATTCATACTCATTGCTTGAGGTTGCCCACCAGCAAAAGATCCCCCTTTTCCCCATATCCTCTTCGAATGAAGTATTTGAATCAGGCCATGTGGAGGATATGAACCCAGCACCACGGACTCCGCTCAAACGTTCGCCCTCTTCCTCCTACCCAACCTCACCACCGAGTAATACTTCTGGACATGGTAGAAGTACCAGCCTGAATACCTTAGTGGGAATGCTCTCGCCGCAGGCACAAGCGGCTCAGCTGGATAGATCGCCGTCGGGAACGCCTGATCCTTTCACATCTAACGGGGAAGCTCGAAGATCAAGCTCAGAGGAGCGAGAGGGCAAGAATTCCCCCAAACCTACCGATGACAAAGATTCAGCCAACCAGTCTCCCGCCAGTGATAGCCTGAAGCCCTTACCACCCCTACCTCCGCCGATAAAGCAAGCCTCGAAGCGTCTTCAGCCTCATGTGGTATCGCCTACGCCTACTGAGTTTCTACTTGTGACTGGAACCGAGGCAACAGAACCGGGTGTCGGGATGTTCGTCGACATGGATGGCGAAGTTGTTCGAGGCACGCTTAACTTCCATAGATTTCCGAAGTCGGTCGTGATTGATAACGACCATAATGACCAAGTCTTTCAGACTAGTGGCGCTGCTAAGGAAGAATTCGTTCTCGCTGTAATCGAAGACGAAGAGGACGGAAAGACCCGAGCGAGACTAGAGATTCAACGTTGGGACGACGACCCCGGGGAGACTGAGCGAACTAAGAGATGGTTAGAGATACCCACTCCTGGGGAGCTACAATCTGCTCAAGTTGGTCTTCGACACACACTAAGCCCTAGCCATCTCGAGCTTAGTGAAGTCGGGCGGCTCTTGCGAATGGTCCGCCTTAAAAACCCCACGCTACCCCCACATGTCTTGGTAGCAGACTCAAGAACGCAGGCATCTATCGAGCATCTTCAAAAGGAGAAGGAGCTGTTTGATTCGCAAGAATCGACAGACTCAGATGGCTACAAGAAGAGCGGCGGCCCATCAATCCAGGGCTGGGAGGCTCAACGCGATGCGGAAGAAGCAAATTTTGCACATGGACTGGGCAAGACCCAAAGCAGTCTTGTAATGTGGTCTGGATCTCGAATATGGCGCGTGTTACAGAATCCTTTGATCATCCAGCTGGAGGACACCCTGCAGAGAGCCCAGGAGACGAATGACAGTGAGCACACAGTGCTGCGCAGGGATGTCATCCTGGACCTGCTACTCTCAGTCCAAGACACCGAGCCAAAGACAGAGGCCGAGTTCATTGGGCTAAGCTATGTGAAACAAAAGGCGAGCCTGATGCTCTATGGTGACCTTCTTTCCATGCAGCCAGATGACTGCAGCGAGGCAGCAGTTGATGGCACCGAAAAAGCCCTATTGGCAGGTAACCTCGACCCTCGTTTGGTCTTGCTATTTATTCCATTGTTGCGATGTGAGGTATTACAGGGCCCCCAGGGGATATGGATACACGCTGGGTTGGCAACCATGGCAGAAGAATATATCCAGCAAGTTGGGGAGATAGGCGTCAGCATCTCTGGATTTGATGCCTCGCGCAACTCTGTTCTCAACATGGTAAAACGGTTCCTTCTTTCCTGGCAGCAGAAGCGCGGATATGGTAGTATCACCGATGAGACAGAAGTGTTGGATAGCACTGATGCTGCACTGTTGCATCTGACCTTGGAGCAAGATGCTTATCTGACACGAGACCAGCGGGCGGCATCTCCAATCCGGTCCGAGCTGAACAGGCTGGTCGATAACTGGAAAGGCAATTTCGACCGCGCAGTAATGCTTCTGGAAACATATAAGCGGCTTTATGTACTGAGCCGTCTGTATCAAAGCCAAAAGATGTCTCGAAATGTGCTCAAAACCTGGCGACGAATCGTCGACGGGGAAACCGACGCTGGCGGTGAGGTTTCCGCGAACGGCGTGGAGACGCAGATGCGCAGATACCTGGTCAAGATAAAGGACGTGCAGCTGGTGGAAGAGTATGGCTCTTGGCTGGCTGGACGAAACCCCAACCTTGGCATCCAGGTGTTCGCAGACAATGCCAGCCGGGTCAGACTGGAACCGGCGGATGTTGTTACTCTCCTTAAGGAACGAGCACCTAATGCCGTCCAGGTTTACCTAGAGCACCTGGTATTTGCCAAGAACGTAAGACGCTCTTTCCCTTGCTTGGTTTGTGAATATCTGACTGATCTGTGAACACAGTACACGCAATATGCCGATGACCTGATCTCATACTATTTAGACACGGTACTTTCCGTGCTCGAGACATCACCCGAGGCACGAGCTTCTTTGGCCGAATCCTATTCAACTTATCGAGCCCTGCAGGCCCCGAAACCAACATATCTCAACTTCATAACTGAAAACACACCCGCAGAGCCCTGGTGGCAATCCCGACTTCGATTACTTCAGCTGTTAGGTGGAATCTCCAGCTCTCAATTCTCTTCACAGCCCCTTCCAACGGGAATCAGCTACTCAATCCCCAATGTGCTGGCCCGCATCGAGCCATTCCAAAACGAGCTAGTGTCAGAGTGTATCATCCTTGATGGGCTACAGGGCCACCATGGCCCAGCTCTCCACCTTCTCACACACGGTCTAGGCGACTACGACTCGGCGATTCGCTACTGCCTGTTTGGCGGCCCACGCAGCTCTTCCTCTTCAACAGGCAACCCACCGGAACTAGCAGACTACGACCTACAGAAAACACTATTCCGCCACCTGCTTGACGAGTTTCTGCAAATCCAGGACCTGTCGGACCGCATCGAGCGGACAGGCGACCTCCTCGCGCGCTTCGGGGCCTGGTTCGATGTCCGCGAAGTGCTCGATCTTATTCCAGAGGATTGGAGCGTTGATATTCTTGGAGGCTTCTTTGTGCATGTTTTCCGCACGCTGGTGTCTCAAACTCGCGAGACCCGCATTGAGCGTGCTCTGAGTGCGGGATTGAATTTGCGCGTTGGTGCCGAGTACATCGATAGCATGGAGAAGGCTGGACCTTGGCTCGAGGAGGCAGAAGGCGTGAAAAGGCTCAAAGATACAGAGCGCCTGGGATCTTTGCCACAGACTGATGACCCTCGTGATGATGCTTCTAATGACTCTACTGAATTTGGAGATACGGTGGGGCCTACATCTGGGGAAGTGGGCCAGTAGATCGGTGATCAGGGGCACTTGCACAGAATAGTGCATATGTTACCTATGTCGCCCTTGAATGTATGATACCTACGCAATTTGCTTGAGAACTTTTCGTGTTGACTTTCTTTGGTTTTTTTTTGTTTTATATCCTGGTTCGGTGGTCGTGCTATGTATCATGAGTCGCTCCACAAATCCATCATATTTCCCCTGTGAGACGAGAAGAGAGTGTAGAAAGACAAAGTTGTAACCCAACGGGTAGCAGTGCTACCATGCACGTTTTAAGCCAACAGGAAAAGAAGAAAAAAGAAAAAAAGCGAGACCGTCACATTGCATTCGTTCCCTTCGTAGCTACTGATGAGCGTATGTTCCGGCGCACGCCGAAAGCCGGTGGGACATTAAGGTGTGTAGTTGTTTTTTCAACCAGATCTAAGATGTCCATTTCCAGAAATAACATCCGGGCCCGGAATGAATCCCGGAAAGAAGATAATACGTCGGAAAGAGGACTTGATTTATTCCTCGGCTTGCAAGAATGGGTTAGGGATTTCCTCGCTGCCATCGGCGGGCGAGATCAGTACGATCAGAGTGCCACGAGCAACGATCAGACCCATTGAGCGGGTGTTTGTGTTGCCCTCCTCGTCTGGGGAGATTGAGTTAGTATTCAAAAGAGAGAGCCATGGAGACACCATTCGGATAGGGACTTGGAACTTACCACGCATGGTCTCCTTGACTTCGTCGAGGACCAGGTTCATCAATTGATCGTAGCCCTTGAGGATACCAGTGACTGTTGTTATAGTTAGCGTGTATACTTGATAGGCGGTGATAGAGACGAGAAGCAGAAGATTAAATGTCCCCCAAAATAGAATATACAAGGGTAGATTGATTCAACATACCCTCACGACCGCCATTGAACTTGACCTGGACCTCCTTGTCCATGTACTTGTTGAGGTCCAAGATGTTTTCCTTCTTGGGCTTCTCCTGTGCACCGCCACCACCGCCACTTTTCTGCTGGCCCTGGCCGCCACGGCCTCCACGACCGCCGCGACCCCCTCGGAACGAGCCCCGTTCAGACATGGTTTAAAGTATGATCTGAGGAATTAAGAAAAGAATCAAAAGAGATAAGACAGGGCAAGAGAAGTTCCGATGATCCGAGGACAGTATGGGGTATCTCTGGTAGGAACAGCGGGAGGCAAGCAAGGTGGGCGTGTATGAGGGATTTTCAGGCTGCGCGGCCTCAGGCAGAGGAACACAACCCAGTCCGCCTTGGTACGGGGATTACCGATTACCGCGGTAAGATTGCGCTTTGACAGGCGTGAGGGATCCCGCCCGGAGGTATTTTACCGTCCAATTACGGGTATCGGATGAAGCCCCAGCTCCCAACCTGAATACCTACATGTAGGTATTTGAAGGCGTTACATTCTTTTGCATTTGAATCTTGTCTATTGTCTGATCAACGGATGCTTATTATGATTTCCCCCGAGCCCCCGGAACCGAGAGCCGCGCGTCACAAGATGTTTCAGCCCCCGGGACCCTTGTGCCCGCTCTTCAGGCACCAGCAGGTTAGGTACTACCAAATGGGGGCCTCCACAAGGCTCAAGGCTTGATTTGGGTGATCGACAGCTTCGAAACAATCTATAGAGATGTTTAATCTGCAATGGTTACGGTGAAGTTCTTCCCGTTGCGCGAATATGCGCAGCATCATATGTCGTAGGAAAGGCGTAGTGCTGTACACCCTGCGGTAGCGTATCGCAGGCCAGCGGAACCCTCCGGCGGGACTCCGCTGGGTGGCTCCAAGTCCGACCCAAGTACTCCGGACTCAGGTACATGTCCTTTCAGTGGAAAAACTGGTGGAAGTCAGAACCGGATTCTCTGCAGTGACACGATTCCCTTCATCCTAAAAAAAAAAAAAAAGAGAATATAGAAAAGAGAGTTCCATCGATTCCGGGGAGCCATCGACGGAGAGCAAAGATCACGTTTTTCCTCTCCACTCCCCGTGCGCTGTTCCGTCCCCTCGAGATAAGCGCCCTCTTCGGAATTCCTCTTTCTCTTTTTCCTTCCTCTCTGCACGTTCATGAATGTTGTTGGCGTATCTTGACAAGAGTTACTTGCCGGTTTCTCTCCGCGCACATCAACTACTCCGCGCTCTTATCTGACACTTTCCGCCGCGGATCGATCTTATTCCTCTTATTTCCCTCACCATCTGTTTCCACTCCCGATATTCTAGATCACTTTTAAAGTGCCATTCCCCGGCATCCTCCCAATTTCATTCGCAATGGAATCCCGCGGCGCACCGGCGGAACCGTCTCATAAACGACCCCGGTCTCCCACAAGCGATCATGCTATGTCGTCGTCAAAGATCCAGAAGACGCACTCGAACCACCTGCAAATCAACTATCTCGCGCGTCAATACCCCGACAACCTCCCGTTAGTCTCGGTTGATGATACCATGCCCGCGATCATCCATCTGCTCGGCGAGTATGACGGTGTGCTACACCGCCACGAGAGCATCGCTGGAAATCTGGGCGCATGCCCGCTAGGCCCCATTTTGATCAAGCGATTTGAGCGGCTTTTCGATGGACCGCCACAAGTGTTGAAATCGCATGGAAAGGACGGATCCACGGTGACATGGCTTGATGTGGTCGAATTCGCAAAGAACAAGCCCGAGCAATTCAACCTGGAGAAGTCGCGCAACGGTGTGCGAGTTTGCCAGTTCTATACCAAGCAGTGTCGTGTGGAGATTAGTGAAGAGGATTTCGTTTTGATTGCTTCTGGCATGCCGCAGAAGATGATCCCACCACAGCCTATCATCGAGGACGAGGAGAAGGAGCTGGGCGCACTAGAGATCCTCGAGAAGAACTTGGTCCAAATCATTCAGATGGCCGATCAAGGTAAGCGATTGCGTATATTATCCAACTTGGACGATATTCACTGACAATATTCTTTTCCCAGTCTCCGCTCGGGCCAGGCAGCTTAATCACCGCTTGAAGAATCGCCGCAATGCTATTGTCACTCGACGAGAGAACGATGCCTCTTTGTACGCGCAATCCCGAAATACCGCCGACATCTGGCGTGATGCGAATGGCCACGGTCCAGTAAACGGCCATGGATCATCCCAAGCTTCCTCATCCGGGTTCATCGCTGTAAATTCTCATCGCCCCGAAGGCGAGCACACCGAAGAGAATCCTCTATCCTCCCAATTTATGTTTTCACACTCCAACACCGACAATGTCACCATGATCAACGGACAATCGATCAAAGGCGCCTCTCCAACAACTCGGGCAGACTTGATGAAGAGGTTTTTCACAACGGCAGACCGTCACGCCCGCGGCTATGACGATGCAACAGCTCCGGTCAACCCCCAACCACTCCCTCGGCCTCGTGCCTCCGATCCCGCCGATTACAGTCTCTACAACACTGCAACGGCAACCCCCGTCGCCATCCCAAGTACCCCATCCTCCCTCCTTCCACCACCAAAATCAACCCACCAAGAAAAAGACGACGGAGGCCCCTTCAAGCTCGAAATGATCGCTCGCATGGAAGAGCTCCAGCGCGGGGAGCGCGTCATTCCACCCTGTGACCGCTGCCGGCGACTCCACATGGATTGCCTCAAGAACCTCACAGCCTGCGTAGGCTGCACTAAGAAACACGCCAAATGCTCCTGGCGCGATGTCAAAGAAGACGAAATCATAGCTATGCGCGCAGGAACCACTCCATCAATGACGATGTCCCACGAGCGTCCCGAAATCGACCGCTCCAGCGCCAACCTCACTCCACCCCAGTTCGGCCTGGGCCCGTTGCCACCCATCTCCGCTGAGCGCGAGCGTCCCCGGGAACCGCCCTTCGAGCCAGAAGTCCACTCCTACTACCACAGCAACCGACGCGAGTCGGCTCCATCGGCCCCGCACCTCGCTCCTGGATCTGTGGTCCCGATGGAGCTCCCTTCGAGTGATAATTCCCCTCGACGGGCGGTGAGCGAAACAGAGAACCATGGTCGTCCTCGTATCCCTACCGGCCGTATCTCAGATCGTCCAGAAGATGACGATCCCGATGCCAATCAGCGGCTCAGACAGGCTATCCTCGATACCGTAGATCACCAGGCACGCGTTGCGGCAGCTGTGCAGGAGAAGGAACGTGGTGTCGAGCGTGGGGAAGTCCTGGGTGTTCATCCTCCACCAAACCAGCTTCCAGTTCTTAACCCCGGTGCTTATAATCGAGACTGTGACCGGGAGGCAGATCGGGACCATGACCGGCACGTGGTGCATGCATAAAATATTTGATGAATTTGTGTTTCTTTGTTTCTTGAATTGTCGGTTTGGCGAAATTGTTGGGCGTGGGAGTATATATATGTACTGCGTTAGATATCCCTGGACGATTAGCGATGACTCTTTGTTTATTTTTACTTCTATTTGACAACTGCTTCTTCGTACGTGTATTTCGGAACACTCTGGCTTTGCTGTAGGTTCTCACGGTGTCTTTTATATTCAAACTCTCATACAATGATGCACCAGTTTCACAAAGAGGATTGCCGGCATCCATTGGAAACTTCCAAGGTCCTTTGTAAGATCCCCCGATCTCATGTCGTAGACATCACACAAGGGATCAAGTTAGTGCTATGGCACGTAAGCTATAATCAAAACCACAAGACTAAAACAACAGTTCGTCTTGATATGCCAGGAAACTTGGTCCAATTCAAGACAGGGCTGAATACACCACTGGCTGAACCCTGAGTATTTTGATTCTCATGCTTCCAGTTCAAAATGCCATACACGCCATTCACTTTCAAGTAAGTCGCAGTCTTCTCTCATGAGTTATAATGAAGTTTGACGCATCTCAGTCTTTCAAAATAGTCAAAATAGTTAGCATCTTGTTTGGAATTCAATAGCAAACAGTACCAAGGATCAAGGGTAATGGCCTATGATAATTCCAAGCTCAACTTTCGGAGTCATGTTTTGTATGCCCTTGTGTATCAAATCAATCGTGTTGGCGCATACACACTTGATTGGAAACATTAATCTTCTATTCCTCAGACGCTCTACTTCAATCGAGTCAACATTGAGAGGGAGGGCAAATGGATGCATTACTTGATCAGACTGAGGGAAAGAACACCCCTGGGCATGGATGATATGGTTGCAATATGCTCGCAGCTGTATTGTCTGGTTATCGTATATACACCATTTTGTCAAAAACACATATATGTACACTGGGTCTGCCCTGTTGCTTCTTCATGTCTTCATGATACGACTCTGCACCAGATAATACATTGATCTTCATTACCTCGTCGGTGGTAAACTGGGAATCCTGAATCGAATGGGCGACGAATCCAGACGTCTTGAGATTTCTCAGGGACGGCGTTGATCTCCAAGCATGCAATGGGGACGGCATGACAGCCCTAGATCAGCAAGCCCCAGGATCCAGAGAGTGACGTATATCCTCCATCTGGCCTTTATATTACCACAGAGAACCCTCTTCGATTGACGCCAGTGAACGGTTCTCCCATTTCCCCGATGACTACATAGATGATCGTGTATATCCGGATTTCCACTTGGCGGGGGATATTTCCGAGTCCGCGGGGTTGCGGGGTGTCTGTTCGGAGGCCATCGTGAAGCTCTGGATCTCCAAGGAGGATCCCATACCCCACCAACTCCCGTCGCAAATGCCGAACATTCATATAACAGCTTGATCCCGGATTCCGGCCTCCCCTCCCAAGACAACATCCAACACACATCATGGACCCCTCACAAGTCAAGATCCCGCCCATGAAAGACCAAACCGTCGACAACATCACCGACAATGTAATCGCAATCAACAGTCTCTGCGAAGACGAGCGCATGAAATACGTCCTAGAGCGCCTGGTAACCCACCTGCACGACTTCGCCCGCGAAACCCGTCTCAGCAGCGACGAATGGATGACCGGCCTGCGCTTCCTGACTGAAGTCGGCCAGATCTGCACAGATGTGCGACAGGAGTTCATCCTGCTGTCCGACGTGCTGGGCTTGTCCATCCTTGTCGACTCAATCGATCACCCCAAGCCCAAGGGCTCCACCGAGGGAACCGTGCTGGGCCCCTTCCACACGCATGACGCGGAGGAGATGCCTGCCGGTGATTCTATGTCCCATGATCCCAAGGGTGAGCCCTTGTTGGTGGTCTGTACCCTGCGCGATCTGCAGGGGAGGCCTGTGGAGGATGTCAAGATTGATATCTGGGAGACGGATTCGACGGGCCATTATGATGTGCAGTATGCTGGCAGGGAGGGGCCGGATGGCCGGTGCATCATGCGTTCGGATAAAGAGGGTAACTTCTGGTTTAAGGCGATCACGCCTGTACCGTACCCGATCCCTCATGATGGACCGGTGGGGAAGTTGCTGAAGAAATTGCACCGTCATCCGTATCGTCCTTCGCATATGCACTTTATGTTTGAGAAGGAGGGCTATGATCATTTGATTACGTATGTTACTGCCGTCTTTTTTGATCTTGCTTGGATGTTCTGTCTTGCTAACTCGATTTACTAGGGCTCTCTACCTCCGCAATGATCCCTACGAAACTTCTGATGCAGTCTTTGGCGTCAAGGATTCCTTGACTGTGGATATTGGCAAGGCCGATGCCGAGATCGCGAAGAAATATAATGTTCCCGAGGGTCACCCTCTCCTCACATATGACTTTGTGCTAGTCTCTGACGAAGAGACGAGCAAGCTGCGTGCACACAACTCCAAGGTTGCGCTGGACAAGCTTGGACGCAAAGTCAAGATTGTGAATGGGCTACCGATACCTGATTTGGATTAAATGCTGTTATAAAGAATGAAAAAAATCACTTGATGGGTATCGGTATAAGTTTGGCTAGGAACTATCGATTCTTCAATTCCTATCTGTCCTAGTCAAACAGCAAGGGATCATTGCTCCCAAGTACATATTGGGACTGGAAGTGACTGCCCATCAAACCATCTGGAGTTTCCACAAATTCCCGTCTTGATTGGAATATGTAACGTGCATTCAACTGTGACTGGCGCTGTTGTCGATCGTCTCTCTAGTCCGTGCGCGGTACGACAACCAGGCCAGCAGAGACTGAATAGTTTCAATCTAGGCCATTCGGCGTATTCTGGTTCGAGTTGGACAGTCCAGATAGCATGGCACATAGGAATAACCGGAATCAAGGAAGCGGGGGGTCACTGCGCCTATATAGGCCCATCGCCCTGGTCTGATGAAGCATCCACAATTGACAACAAATTACTTGTTGCTCATCGGCGCTATGCGTGCCACCTATCTCTTCTTGTCCGTGGCAGCCCCATTGGCCTTGGCTTTGGTCATCCCCGATGAGACTATTCTTGCGGAGATAGTCTCCGAGACTCGCTCTATTCTAAAAGACCAGGATGATGCTGTAAGTTCGCCCCATCAATGACAATAAGTGTGGACTTGTGCTGGGCGATAATCCAGGCTCTAATGAAGATCGTTAGTTATCGAAAGCAAATGTTGAGACGAGCCTTATAGAGATCTCCCCCGAGGAGCGTGGAGGATGGAGAAGAGATCAAGACTGGCCCGATGGCGATGAATATCCCGGACACGAATGGCCAGGATACGACGAAGCCCCGCATAGAAGATGGCCCGGCTATGAAGATGATCGACCCAGACACGGTTGGCCTGGACATAGAGACGACGAAGACAGACCCTACCCTCCACACTCTCGACACCCTCGACCGGGAGACGGAGAATGGCCCCATAGAGATGACCGCGACGATAGACCGTGTCATAGACACCCTCCGTCTATACCAGATAAACCCCCTCACCGGCCTCATCCAATCCATCGACCAATCGATGCCTGTCCAGGCCCGCTCTGTCGCACGGACAAAACGACATGGCAGCTCATCCGAGAAAGCGCGCATACAGCCCAACTGGCCAAGCTCATTGCCGATGATAGCGAGCTTGTCGAGATCCTCAATAGCACAGAGACAAACCACACGTTTTTCGCGCCGCCGAACCATGCTCTAGAGAGACTGTTACGGGGACGAGAAGGCCCAACTCGCAAGTCAATGTCCAACTTGCTACGATACCATATCGTAGATGGTAGACTGCCCATCGACCAAATTTCAGGTTATCAGACACTACCAACGAAGCTTGAAGAATCCGGTCTGGGATCAAAACTGCCACAGAGAATCGTTGTCAGAGAACACCATGACGGAGTAGTGTTGAACCGCAAAAGTCTAGTCGTGGTAGCTGACCTGGTACGTACAACCGATATCAAACATGAAGGTATGTATAACTAACCTTCCACCAGAAAACCAAAAATGGGGTCATTCATATCATAACCACACCCCTCCACCCTCCCCCAGAGACACACACACTCCTCCACCGACTACCCCATTTCAACACGTTCAACTCGGCCCTAGCACGCACAAAACTCACCTACACCCTCGATTCAAATCAGCGGCAGGGCGGCACAACGTTCGTGCCTACGAACGCAGCCTTCAGACGGCTCGGTGGGCGTATTAATCATTTCCTTTTCTCGCCGCAGGGAGAGAAGTGTCTGCGTGCTCTGATGCAGTATCATATTGTGCCGAATCGCACACTTTATTCGGACGTGCTGTATACCAAGAATGGGAAGATTCAGAAGTTGTTTGCTGACCGGGATGGTGGGCATGGGGGTGGGTTAGAGGAGGATTCTGCGAATGTGCGGCTGGAGACGCTGCTGAAAGATCACAAGGTAGCAGTTGATGTTGAGAGATCTGAGGAGGTGATTATGCGTCTTGATGGGTTTGACAGAGTTGGGCATTTGGATTTGTTGGCGAGAGATGGGGTGGTGCATGTTTTGGATAGGGTGTTGATCCCGCCGAGGAAGATTAAGGATAAATATTACGATGAAAGTGAGAATGTGAGAGAACTGATGGTCGAGGAACTTGTTGAGAGATTGGATGATTGTGTCTACGAGGAGGTGCGCCGTGGTGAACTTTGAAAGCACTGGGAATGAGAGATCTCTTTACGAGCCTACAGGTAGGGAAAGCAATTTGAAAACTTCATTTCTGTTTGTATTTCCATGAGATTGGCACAGTGGCGAGATTGGTGCTTGCAAAATAAATCAATATGTAACCCAATAGAGAGTTAGATCTCGAGCGAATGCCTTCATTTAGTAGGCAGCTTGCCAAAACCATCAGGTTCAAGCAACCAGCATGTCGAAAAGGGCAAGTGGCTCGCGAAGACCACCGTCAATGGCCCCGCGAAAAATGTTCCGAAGATTCACTAGTGCATCCGTCTGGTCGGCTTCAGTAGCGCCTGGAAGGATGACTCGAATCCTTTCTTGAGTTCCTTGTAAGTCACAATGAAGCAGCTCTGCTCATCGCGGCTGATCAATTGTATCTTCTCATCGGTTCCCGCATCGAGCTTGTTTAGGCAAGTCAGCACATGGCCCAGATCGACCACTGGATCGCCTGTGGCATCCACCTGGTGGAAGACGTAGTCACGGAAGAGCTTCAGGAAGTAGCGCTCTCCGGTCTCCGACCAGCGCTGGTCCAGTTCATATTCAGGGCGTTCATTCACAAAGCCGAGTTTGGTCAATAGGCGCACAAGGCGTCCATTTTCCAGCTCCCGGCATAGATCGGAGTTCAGCTGATCGTCCATGTGGAGTGCTGCATCGAAAGTAGACATCAATTGGGATGAAATGCCGACTATAAAGGTATCAATGGTTCGCTCCTGATCCTTCTGCATTCCATTCAACAGCCAGATCACAGAGTTCTTCAGCTGCGGGGTGTAGGTGCGGGTGAAATGTTCCATGGCTTTGCCAGGGTTATGTGCGACAGTGGGTGAGTTGGCGCCGAGAGTGAGGATCATTTGGCCAAAGTTGACCAGATCTTGCCGCTGGAGATCAGCCACAGACTTCTGGGTGTCATATTGCACCACATCAAGAATAGCGCAGGCGTTAATGCGGACACGGGTTTTGGCGGTCAGCAAAACCTTGCTGGGCTCAAGGACTCGGGCAGCAAGTCCAACAGAGTGAATCGCCTTGAGCCCATTGGCAATTTGGGTCATGTAACCCCAAAGGATTTCCTCAGGAACCTGAGCATTATGGCGGGTAGGGTAGCGGCTTCCAGCGTTCAAATGCTGCTCTGCAAGTGTCTTGGACAGAGGGTGGTAGTCAGTCACAAAGATCAAAGAGCTGTCTTGGAAGCTACGGCTAGTAAAAGCGTCATGAATTGTCACCACGCTAGCGTTGCAGACACGCTTCCACATTTGGACGGAACGAATAGCTTTCTCGTTGGTCAGACGGAAGCCTATGCTTGTTAGTTCAAATGTATTAAGAAAAAAAAAAGAAGAAAGAAACAGCAGGAAAAAAGATCATACCCTCAAGTCTGCGCAGCGCATAAAAGTAACCATCTTTGCTGGACTGGGCTTTGTAGACCCAGCTTGGGTAGCCGAAGGTTGCCGCATTCTTTTGGTGACTAAGATCCAGAGGAACAAGGGAGTGGAAGTAATCCACCTGGGCAGGAAGTTGGGTGTCTGGGAAATCGTCAGTACGAGGATAAATTGATACCATGCTTCAAACATACTGGGGAGAGTTTGAAGGGTAGCTGCAGCCTTTTTCTGCAGTTCTTCGCGTAAGTCGTTAGGGAGAAACATATCATGAACGTTGCGCTGATATGCCTGTGTGTTCTGGCTATGAGGACCAATCGGGGCGTAAAGATGGTACTGAACCTAATGAATAATTAGAGCCACTAAAACCAACAAAATATGTTTCACTAGATACCAACATACAGGTTGCTGGAATCCGGTGGGGTTCGCAAAGAAAGCGCCACCCATAGCAGCAGCAGAGTCGTGAGAATATGGGTTGGCAGAAACGGGTCCAACAGCTCCAGGTGTCATTGCAGTTGGGGTGGTTACGAAAGGGTCGTAGGCACCCGTGGGTGTGATTCCTCCGTTGCCATTGCCCGAAAGGGGTGTCTGGAGAGGAATGTTAGTATGCTAGATCGTATAGAAATAACTGTACCAAGAACGAGCCCTCGCTGGCATAGGTGGCGGAAACCAATCATGAGCACAAGCGTCGATTGGGAAGTCACGGTAGGGATTGCGAGTGTTCGCAAACTTTGAAGCCATGGGACCACGAGGAGTCATACGGCCACGAGGAGTCATGCGGCCACGAGGAGCCATGGGACCACGAGGAGGCACATCAAAGTCGCGAAACTGAGCGCAAGCCTGCCCAAGAAGTGGATTGAAGTCCTCAGCCAGAGCAGACAATGTGCTTGTAGAACGAGTTTGAGAATCGCCCGGCTCCATTGTGACGCGTGGTGGAGAGGAAAGGGGAGAGAGAGAAAGAAATGCGAAGGAAGTGAAGAGGGATAGGGCAGGGACGACTGACCACGTGCTCGAAGCCTTGAGGGACGAACTCCTGCACATCGGCGACTGCCCAATCGGGCAATGTCTCTGACCGCCCTGTGGGCGTACTGGCGTTGGAACCTTTCTATACGTCAGTTTACACCTAGAACCTTTGTATCTCTTCCCCGGAAGCACATACGCGATGAGGTTGTTCGAGGTTGAAAAGGAGCTGCACTGGCAGCTTTTGGAGATATCGCGGTGGACTTCTTTGGTGCTGATACACCATTGCCAGACAGCAAAGATGGGGTAAAACTAGGTGAATCCACATTGAACCGCTTCTTACTATCATATAGGAGAGTTTGTGTCAGCAAGTTTGCCCAGGTATCATCCAAAGACCAAGTTTGCGCCATACCTGTCTGCCTGGTTTGCATTGAGTTTTGACGGGTCATGATTGAATGCGCAACCTGGATGCAAGAGTTCCAAATCAGCTTCAACATCCACCTTGGCCATGATCAATGTTTACCAATACCTTTGTCTTCATAGCGGCATCGCCCATAGATGGTGACATTGCGGCACAAGGTATCTTTCGCATTCTCTACATGGACCAAGTGATCCATTGTTAGCAACTCTGCTCGTCTGAGATCCGGTGTGCCTCTCTGGCTTGGCCAGCCAAGAGCTGGCATAGAGGTGCCATAGCAGTCTCTGAACTCGAGTAAAACTTACCGCGGCTCTTCATTTTCGGCGATCCTGTCGTCCGACGAGCATCCTCCAATGGAGGTTTTCCGACAGAGGCCATGATATCTGGCTGATACCCACTTGATGGTGCGGATCAGCGCAAAAAGATCCCCATTGAAACCGGACTCGGTAGGGAACAAAGGAAGTTGTTGGGAGGAAACTGCATTCCCCTGCTTGAGTCTGATATTGATACAAGTCGCTAATGGTCCAGGCGTTTGACGATTGGCGGGTCAATTCCGGGAGAGCCCACGGAGAGGTTGGGCGGTATCTCAGCCGATAACAATAGGCATGAATGGTATCCGAGGATGGTACCAAGGTCCTCTCTCATCCCAGAGAATGATTGAGAGCGACAAAACTGATGGAAATGAGGACGCGGGGCGAGGACCGAACTCGAGCGAAGGGGGATATGTGCACGGACCAGGCGGTCAGGACATCGAGCTTCCTTTTTGAGGCCAACTTGAGCTTCAACGTCACCGTTCTTGCCATCTACCTCGTCTGAATTGTGCACGTGCCCAATGACGAAAAGCCTTAAATTCTGAATGGCTACTTATCTTTTCTTCTCCTGAATATCCCCATCCCTAAGTCTATGGGTTACGGCCCTTTCCCGACAAAATGTCACATCCGGAGATTGATCTAGATCAGCTCTCCGATAGTGAGAAGACTGCCCTAGAAATGTACATGGCAGTGACGAGCCAAGATCCCGCCGAAGCGATACCACTTTTGCGTCGTTCACAATGGAATGTACAGGTTGGTCTATCTTCCGCGGACTGCTCAACCACACAAGACTTCTAACTGATGCTGATCCCCATGCGGTAGATCGCTATATCCAAATTCTTTGATGGCGAAGGCCCGGATCCCCTCGAAGAAGCTCGCGCTGCCATGGATCGCCCGCCTCCACCTCAATCGAACCGTCGAACCCAGAATTTAATGACCGATGACTTGACCGAACACCTTTCGCAGGTTACTCGTGCCGCAGCCGCAGATTCGGCCCCGCGAGTTGACACACAATCAGGAGACCAGACTGTCTGGAGGCCTCCATTCATTCTGAGCCTGTTTTTCACTCCGTTTAATTTGGTCTACCGGCTTCTCTGCAGTTCTTTCCGTCTATTCGGGGTGCTCTTCCCTTTCCTACCACGGTTGTTCAACAGGACCGCAAACCCCGCACTGCAAGGTGCTCGCCGAAATACAACGGGACGTCGCTCGCTTGGACCCAAGGACACGGCCGCTCGTTTTATCCGCGAGTTCGAGGAGGAGTATGAGTCGCATCCGATTCCCTTCTTGGAGAACGGATACAACATGGCGCTTGAGAAGGCTCACCGCGACTTGAAGTTCCTCTTCGTCATTCTCTTATCGCCAGAGCACGATGATACGACGAGTTGGGTCCGTGATACGCTGCTAGCACCCGAGGTTGTGGAATTCATCAACGACCCCCAGAACAACCTTCTGGTGTGGGGCGGGAACGTGCAAGATTCTGAAACATATCAAGTCGCCAATTCATTGAAATGTACCAAATTCCCCTTTGCAGCAGTTATCGTTCACACCCCAAATGTTTCGTCAGCCGCCATGTCCGTTATCGGACGGATCGCGGGCATCACCACGCCAACTGAAGTCGTGAATAAGCTCCGGACAGTTGTGACATCTAATAACGAGCCGCTGGAGCGACTCCGATCTTCACGTGCGGAGCAACAAGCATCGCGCAGCTTGCGCGAGGAGCAAGACTCAGCCTACGAGCGGTCGCTGGCGATCGACCGTGAGCGGGCGCGCCAGCGCCGGGAGGCGGAGGCGGCGCGTCAACGCGAGGAACAGGAAGCTGCGGATCGAGAGGCGGCAGAGGAGCAACAGCGCCGCAATCTCGCCCAGTGGAAGCTTTGGCGCGCACAGTCTCTTAGCGCAGAACCCGGGCCAGATGTCAAAGATGCGGTTCGGGTCAGCGTCCGACTTCCGTCCGGCGAGCGAATTATGCGCAAGTTTGCGCCTGATCTGGATATTGAAGAGATTTACGCAGTTGTAGAGTGCCACGAGGCGTTACAGGAGAAGGATGCAGAGCGACCTGTGACCGAACCCGAGGGATTTGTACATCATTACACTTTTCGACTGGTCTCACCCATGCCTCGCGTGGTGTATGCAGTAGATGAGGGCGGGTCGATCCGGGAGAAGATCGGGCGTGGTGGTAATCTGTTGGTGGAACCAATTGACGATGAGGAAGATAGCGATGATGACGAGGCTGTCACTACCATGTCTTGAATATGACTGATCTCTACCACATACATCGGCCAGCCTGGATTATATGCTTACGATCGACACATCGCTTCACGGGTGTCTTATTTTTATTTCATAGCGTTCAATGTACAATTTTCTTACAAGGTCGATGGTGTTGGTTCCTCCCCTGCCGCGTGGCTGTCTTACCATGGACCACGGGGGCTGCATATGCGTCTGGCACAGAGTATTGAGTCAGGTTTTGAATTTTCTCCTTCAATGTGCCTAACCGAACAACCTAGGGTCTTGGCCGTGGCATAGACCTTGTGTCAGCCTTGGCTTTTTCTGGCTAGACTCGTCTGAATAACCAATAGGCCGGGCTGCATTTCAGCTCCCATGAAAAGGAGCCATGAGAATCTGACGGTGCATATCTTACTCGTCCGCGGTCCGTCCGACTCGGACTTTCGGTATAGTATATCAGAGGCTTTTAATTCGGACGAATTAGGCCGGGTTCGTCCGATCTAGCTATCAGACCTGCCCCTGGGGTTCACCTGGGGTTCACCTGGGGTGATCTTGGAGATAGAAATAAGATTTATACATGTGCCGCTGAGTCAGCTCGGATGCATGCAACCCGGAGCATCCGAGACTCCATGTGAACGGATGGCTCTCGATCCGGGGTTCACTGACCTTTGGGACCCTCTTTTACACGTGTGGGGAGTTCTGGAGTACTCCGTACATGGCAGATGCCCCCCTTTCTCCGTAGGGACTCGTTATCAGGTCGAAGTATGCGAGGTATTGGGTACAAACATCGTATCATACATAACCTCGCAACTTTTATACGATGCATTATTATTGCCGCTTGTCGCTTCATAACCAGAGCCTTGTTTTCATCCTTGGCCGGAACTGGAATATGAGGCAATACCCGACCTGGATGTAGTCTACGGAGTACATATGCATATGTGCCATAGCCATCTGGAACGTCCAATCTTTAAATGTCCACAATCCCCAATCTCCCGGGATTCAGCAGCTCCGCCCGTGTCTGTTACAGCCCCGTTTTTTGTTCTTCGGAGGCGAAGGATATTATCCTTTCCGGCTCCCGATTCTCCAGATCTCAAAACCCTTTAATATCTTTCCTGCCTAGTTGACTTTCTTGCCATTCTTTTCTTTTCGACCCATAATTTACCCCTAATTGTTCATTCATAATCCACAATCTTTTATATCTATGGTCATCTAATTTTTCTATTCATCTGTTTTTTCGCCCCACCTATCGTCCTAGGTACCTACCCCCTATCAATTCGACTGTGACCGCGTTGGGAGGTCATCATGTCGTTCTTGGGGAACTTGAACACCCACGTTGCTGGCTCTCCTACCACGCCAGAAAACTATGCCGCCACCGTGGAGGCTCGCCGTCATGACCCCTCGGCCAGCGTAAGCACCGACGACACCGCCAACGAGAAAAGCGAGGTTGGCAACGAGGAATACATCGAGGCCGAGGTCACTCGTCTGGCCCGTCAACTTACTCGCCAGTCAACCCGCTTCTCTGTTTCGACTCACAATGCCGAGAACACCTTCCTCGAAACCCAGGAGGACTCCAGTCTTAATCCCAGCAGTGACAACTTCAATGCCAAGCACTGGATGAAGAATTTTTTGGCCATCCAGTCGCGTGACCCAGAGCGATACCCGAAACGTCAGGCTGGTCTGGGATTCAGGAACCTCAGTGTGCACGGCTTCGGAACTCCTACGGATTACCAGAAGGATGTGGCCAACTCCATTCTGCAGATCGGTGCCTTGGTCCGTACCCTCACTGGCACAGGTAAGCAGAAGATTCAAATTCTGCACGAATTCGATGGTCTCGTGAAGAGCGGCGAGATGCTGGTTGTGCTCGGCCGCCCTGGATCTGGCTGTTCGACTTTCTTGAAGACCATTGCCGGAGAGATGAACGGTATCTACAAGGAGGAAGGCTCTCACCTCAATTACCAAGGAATCTCCGACAAGCAGATGCGCAGCCAGTTCCGTGGCGAGGCCATCTACACTGCCGAAACCGATGTGCATTTCCCTCAACTCTCGGTGGGAGATACCTTGAAGTTTGCTGCTATGGCCCGCGCCCCGCGCAACCGCTTGCCGGGTGTCTCTCGCGACCAGTATGCTGAGCATATGCGTGATGTCGTCATGGCCATGCTGGGTCTTTCACACACCATCAACACCCAGGTCGGTAACGATTTCATCCGTGGTGTCTCGGGTGGTGAGCGGAAGCGTGTCAGTATCGCTGAGGCTACCCTCTGTGGCAGCCCTCTTCAGTGCTGGGACAACAGTACACGTGGCCTGGACAGTGCCAATGCTTTGGAGTTCTGTAAGACTCTGCACCTGATGGCTCAGTACTCGGGGACTACCTGTGCTGTGGCCATCTACCAGGCATCTCAGAGTGCCTACGATGTCTTCGATAAGGTGACTGTGCTGTATGAGGGTCGGCAGATCTACTTTGGCCGCACTACCGATGCTAAGAAGTTCTTCACTGATATGGGCTTCGAGTGCCCTGAGCGCCAAACCACTGCTGATTTCCTCACCTCTCTTACCAGCCCCGCTGAGCGCATTGTCAAGCCTGGGTTTGAGAACACGGCTCCTCGCACCCCCGATGAGTTCGCCGCTGCTTGGAAGAAGAGTTATGCTTACAAGGAGCTTATGAAAGAGATTGCCGACTACGATGAGCAGTACCCTATCGGTGGCGAAGGCTTCCAGCAGTTCGTTGAGTCTCGCAAGGCTATGCAGTCCAAGTCTCAGCGCATTAAGTCGCCATATACTCTCTCCGTCACCGAGCAGGTCAAACTCTGTGTGACACGAGGCTTCCAGCGTTTGAAGGGTGATGCAAGTTTGACTATATCTGCCCTGATAGGAAATTTCATCATGGCTTTGATTATCGGCTCGCTGTTCTACCAGCTGGAGGATGACGTGTCCAGCTTCTACTCTCGTGGTGCTCTTCTATTCTTTGCTGTCCTGCTCAATGCCTTCGGCAGTGCTCTGGAAATTCTGACTCTTTACGCCCAACGTTCCATTGTTGAAAAACAAGCTCGCTATGCCATGTATCACCCATTCGCCGAAGCAATCGCGTCTATGCTGTGTGATATGCCCTACAAGATGACCAACGCTATCACTTTCAACATTCCTCTCTACTTTATGACTCGTCTTCGCCAAACCCCTGGCGCATTCTTCACCTTCTTGATATTTTCTTTCGTTACCACCCTGACCATGTCGATGATTTTCCGTACGATTGCTTCTTACTCACGTACTTTATCTCAGGCTCTGGTCCCAGCCGCTGGCCTGATCCTCGGTCTGGTTATCTATACTGGTTTCACCATCCCAACTCGCAACATGCTTGGTTGGTCTCGCTGGATAAACTATATTGACCCAATTGCTTATGGCTTTGAGTCTTTGATCGTGAACGAGTTCCATAACCGCAACTTCACCTGCAATGACAATGATTTCGTTCCACGTGGAGGCGCCTACACTGCTGTGGATTTGATCAACAAGGTCTGCGCGGCAAAAGGATCCCAGCCCGGTCAGAACTACATCGACGGAGATGCCTATATTGAAGCGAGCTTCCAGTACTCCAACAGCCACAGATGGAGAAACTTCGGTATCATGATCGGATTCATGATCTTCTTCATGGCGACTTACCTCATCGGAACTGAATACATCTCCGAGTCCAAGTCCAAGGGCGAGGTTCTGCTTTTCCGTCGCGGATATACTCCCAAGAACTCAGGAAACTCTGAGGGTGATGTTGAGCAGACTCAGCCTGTGTCCTCTGCCGAGAAGAAAGATGGTGCTAGCTCCGACGGTGAAGAGACTCCCGCTATCCAGAGACAAACTGCTATCTTCCAATGGCAGGATGTGTGCTACGATATCACGATCAAGAAAGAGGACCGCCGTATTCTGGACCACGTTGACGGTTGGGTCAAGCCCGGTACTTGCACTGCTCTCATGGGTGTTTCCGGAGCCGGTAAAACCACTCTTTTGGATGTCCTTGCTACTCGTGTCACAATGGGTGTTGTTTCCGGTGAAATGCTGGTTGATGGCCGCCCTCGCGACCAGTCCTTCCAACGGAAGACTGGTTATGTCCAGCAACAGGATCTTCATCTTTACACCACCACAGTTCGCGAGGCACTTCGCTTCAGTGCTGTTCTCCGCCAACCTGCTCATGTCCCTCACCAGGAAAAACTTGACTATGTTGAGGAAGTGATCAAGCTTCTTGGAATGGAACACTATGCAGATGCTATTGTTGGTGTCCCGGGTGAAGGTCTCAACGTTGAGCAGCGCAAACGTCTCACTATTGGTGTTGAGCTGGCTGCTAAGCCACAACTGCTTCTGTTTTTGGATGAGCCCACTTCTGGACTTGACAGTCAAACGTCTTGGTCTATCTTGGATCTTATTGATACTTTGACTCAGCACGGCCAGGCTATTCTCTGCACTATCCACCAGCCCTCTGCTATGCTCTTCCAGCGTTTCGATCGCTTGCTCTTCCTCGCCAAGGGCGGTAAGACCGTCTACTTTGGCGATATTGGTGAAAAGTCCTCTACGCTTTCTAACTACTTTGAACGAAACGGTGCGCCCAAGCTCTCTCCCGATGCCAACCCCGCGGAGTGGATGCTTGAGGTAATTGGAGCCGCCCCGGGAACTCACAGTGACATCGATTGGCCTGCCGTGTGGCGTGAGAGCAAAGAGCGCAAGGAAGTCCAAGCCCACCTCGCCGAACTCAAGTCTGGTCTCTCCCTGAAGCCCGTGGCTACACGTGACGAAGACCCAACTGGCTTCAATGAATTCGCCGCGCCCTTCTCTATCCAACTCTGGCAATGTCTCCTTCGTGTGTTCAGCCAGTACTGGCGTACCCCGGTCTATATCTACTCCAAATTTGCGCTCTGCACAATCACAGGTCTCTTTGTCGGCTTCTCCTTCTTCCGAGCTGAGAACAGTATGCAAGGATTGCAGAACCAGATGTTCAGCGTCTTCATGTTGATGACCGTCTTTGGCAACTTGGTGCAGCAAATCATGCCACACTTCGTGACCCAGCGCTCTCTCTATGAGGTCCGTGAACGCCCCTCGAAAGCATATTCCTGGCAAGCCTTCATGATGGCAAACATCATTGTCGAGCTTCCCTGGAATGCCCTCATGTCTGTCGTCATTTATTTCACCTGGTACTATCCAATCGGCATGTACCGCAACGCTGGTGACGACGTTGCCGAGCGTGGTGCCTTGATGTGGCTGCTCGTCCTGGCCTTCATGATCTTCACTTGCACCTTCTCCCATATGATGATTGCCGGTATCGAGCTCGCCGAAACCGGAGGCAATCTCGCCAACTTGCTCTTCTCCTTGTGTCTGGTCTTCTGTGGTGTCCTCGCCTCCCCGAGCGCTATGCCCCGATTCTGGATCTTCATGTACCGCGTCTCACCATTCACCTATCTTGTCTCAGCAATGCTCTCGACCGGCACGTCCGGCGCATCAGTCGTCTGTGAAGATATTGAGTTGCTCCACTTCGAGCCCCTGTCCGGCCAGACCTGCATTGAATACCTGAACGACTACATATACGGAACAAATGGAACTCCACCTTTCGGTGGATACCTTATAGATGAAAAAGCCACCAGCGACTGCTCCTTCTGCACCGTCGGAGAGACAGATACCTTCCTTCTCGGCGTCAGCAGCAAGTTCGAAGACGCGTGGCGCAACTTCGGCCTGATGTGGGTGTATATCGCCTTCAATATCGCTGCCGCTGTGTTCCTTTACTGGCTTGCTCGTGTTCCCAAGGGATCTCGCAGCAAGAAGACTAAGACCGAGTGATCTGAATGTTACTTTCTTCTTTTTCAGTTCAATTGAACTGAGGGCTACCATCTCGCCAAAAGAGACTCTGTATTAGACCATCTCTAATCTTGCTGTTCTTCTCTTTGCACATTCTTTCTTCTTCTTTTCATACATACACCTTGGTCTTGCAGTTGGGCATGTCCAGGATAACATACTAGATTAGAGCCTCTTGTCTCATTTCCACATCAGCATCAAGTTGTTACTTTATCTCAAATACATACTTCTTGTATTCACAATACCCACCAGAAAACCCAGTAAAAACCATAGTATCGGAGATAATCAAGTCCATCTAGACATTACCACAAAGCATAACCTCTAATCGCCAACCGCAAAAAGCAAAAGCACGAATAAAAACCAAGAAAAAAAAAAAGAAAATTCTATTCACAAAGAAACAAAACCCCCTGAATAAGCAGGAAAAAGAAACGGGGACCATATAAACAATAACCATCACCACGTAAAAGCCTCCTCTACAAAATCCACCACTGCACCTTTCCCGATCCTCGCTCTCGCCGCAGCCCGGACTTCATCTGCAAAAGCACCAGGCCCACAAACACTCACCAGCGCTGCACCCGCCCTATCAGGCAATATCTCATCGAGCACCACTTCCGGCCTGCACCGACCGGAGTGCATCAGCACCGTCTGCGATGGAGAAACCACATCCGCTACTCGGCGCGGCTTCGAGACAAACAGCTTGATGACTAGTATATCGCGTCGACCGGGTAGATGCAGGATCTCGTCCATGTAGCTGCTCACCCAGGCGAGGTGGTCTGTCGAGCGGACGGACCAGATGAGGTAGACTTTGCGGGTTGCGGCTGAGTGCTGGGCTGCTTGGATGACCAGCTGGCGTGTGTAAAGGAGGTGATGTGTGATTCCGGCACCGGCGCTGAAGAGGATGGTTGTACCGTAGCTGGCGGGGTCTGTTGGGTGGGAGCCGTAGGGGCCTTCGATGAAGCCAGTTAGGCTGAGGGATTTCGAGGGCGAGGCGTTGGCGAGATCGTAGAGACGTCTGGTCATGCCCTTCTGGGCGCCGATGATGAGGGAGACTTGGGTTGTTGGTTTGGATTTGGACTGGATGGATTGTTTTTCCAGGTCTTGGTATTTGGTGTCTTGGTGGGTTGGGGAGGAGGGGAGGACGGCGTTGGTGCTGGGCTCTGCCCAGGCGATTGAGAAGGGGTGGGACATCCACCAGGAGATTTTGGGGATGTAGGCGAAGACGTGGCAGCCTGGTTGGATGTGGACGAGTTTTGGGAGGTGGAAGGTTACGCGGCAGGCTTCGCCGGGGAGGGCTTGGACGACCATTGCTGTTGTGCCGGAGGTTGAGACGTTGAGGTGGAGGAGGCGGAATAGACGGGCAAGTCGGTCGCCTAGCCAGATTGCGGCGATTATTCTTGCCCAGGTTTGCTGGGGGAGGTTGTCGATTCGGAGATGCACGTAGATGCCGATGAAGGCGAGGACTGCGGCGAGCTGGTGTAGATGCAAGAAGGTTTCGTAGAAGGCGTGGCGGATAGGCGAGGGGGAATGGAGGCTGAGGAAAATCATTGAACATGTGCCTAGCAGACCCCAGGAGAAGAAGGGGGTGTTGCGGAGGCGGGCGAGCATGTGGGTGAAGTCTTCCTCGTCAACGGCGTTGACGGCCCATGCGACTGTGTGCACGACTGACTCGAGAACGACGATGCGGCCCAGCCAGCGGTGGAGGAGGTTGTATGTGTCAAAACTGATGTGCAGGATCGGGATCAAGGGGTTGTTTCTTCCAGCGAGGATGAAGAGAGGTATCATGTTGAGGACAGCCAGCGTCCCGGATCGGCCACGGAGTTCAGCCACCAGGGCTGCCTTGTTGTTGACGCTGTAATCCAGGTAGACGCAGTATGTAACTTGACTGACGAAGTATAGTATGACCATGATGGCTTGCAGTCGGGAGGGCAAGGTGCCAACACTGACCACGGAAGAAAGCTGCAGTTCTCGATTGTGCCTCTTAGTCCCTAATGGGGCGTAGAGCAGGTGTTTCTTGAGATTGGGCCACCATCTTGATTGTTCCTGGGCCCAGAAGTTCTGCTGCTGTTTATTTGCACCCGATGCGGTGATTCGGCGTAGATAGGCATAGCTCATTTGGGCCACTCGGCCACAGAATAATCCGACTGCCACTGCAGCCAAGGAAATGTAGATGATTCGAGTAATGATCACATCCCGAGGTACGTCCACGCCGTCCAACCCCCTCGAGTAGTCATATATGTATGTGGCATTTGATCCATAGGCTCGTGCCGCGATGTGCGGAGAAGTCGCTGCCATTGAACTGGTGCCGAAACCGAAGACGGAAGAACGTTGCGCCCTAGGCAGACAACATGCAAGGGTTGGTGTGCTTTCGATGTTGTACCCCTGTTTAGTCGCGATGGCAAACCGGAAAGTGTTTCAAGCAGCCGCTCAACGACTGGGATTCAAACGAAGGTGTGGACTTAGATAGCGACTGAAAATGGACGTTGGCGAAGGATCGAAGTCAAACTGAAGATGCCAGACCGGAAATATTTTAACCAGGGCCAGCGCAGTGTGTATAGATGAATATCTCTTTGAATGTATCCGACAAAGACAATGTGTTATTATGGGGACATTGTGGTACGTCTGAGGTTGAACAATGAACAATGAAGATTGTTTCAAGGTGGACGCCCACAAAGTGAAGTCAACAGAGCCCAAAATAACACCGGAGATCTTCGGAATTCGAGAGAAATTAGCACGTCACAAAGAATCGAATCTGCTCAGGCTCACTCGTTGAAGGCATCTGGAATGCAAGCAAGGGAGGATCGAGCACGTTTTTCGTGATTGTGTCGGGAATGGAGCCCTGAAGGGCGTGGACAATGTAGGCAGACAAGGTATAGATCTAGACAATCACAGATTCACATATCCTAGTAACGAGCGCATAGTACCAATCATGCCCAGTCGATTGTCCGAATCCAAGCAAAGGGAAGAGATGGGGAGAAGGAAGAAAATCCCCCCCCTCGAAGGAGTTTTAAGGGAGGGAAACCAGCCACGAACATGATACAGTTCTGCAACACCCCTGATCGTCTGATTAGCAAGTGTTCAAGGCGTTAAAAATGGCTGGCAAGCCTATCGGGAGTACTCCTCTGGTGGCACTGGGAGAGCCGGTGTTTCCAACGAGGCTCGAGCCCCTTCCGATCAGCGCTGTGATTTGCTACAGCAACGTCCCTACAGCTGCAGTCCGGCTGGGCGTGACGCCTGTTCGATGGGAATGATCAGATTGAACCCTCGACATCATTCGGCTGTACGGAGTACAGATCTGCAGACATTTCCCCGCCATTTTCCCGGACGACATCGGGCATTGGCTTTGATTTGCGAGTTTCACGTCACGTCGGACGTTCACCGGGTGAAACGGTGGCGCACTGACCTGTCTCTTCTACTTCGAGAGCGGAGGACGAGGGAATGATATCCAGAAAAAAGCCGGATCTTGCAGGAAATGGATGCAATCTAACTTGTTTGAGATATTCTACGGAGCATATACACTGAAATCCCACTATCGGGCCGGCTTTACCGTCCCATCCATCCACCATCCACAGTGAGGACTTCACCTGACACATAGCTGCTTGCCCGACTGGCCAAGTACACCACCGCACCCTTGAAATCTTCAGGACTTCCCCAGCGACCAGCAGGGATGCGGGCCATAATCCCCGCATTGCGGCTAGCGTCGTTAATAAGAGCCGTGTTCATATCGGTAGCGATGTACCCGGGCGCAATGGCATTAACATTGATGCCCTTGGCAAGCCAGTCATTTGAGAGTGCTTTGGTCAGTTGCCCAATGCCTCCCTTGGATGCCGCATAGGCGGGGACAGTAATTCCGCCTTGGAAGGTCAGCAGTGAGGCAACATTGATGATGGAGCCCCGGCGACCGTGGGGGAATTCAGAGGCGTCACGGGCAAGCAGGTATGTGGCAAACTCTCGACTCAAGATGAATACAGATGACAAGTTCACTTCCAGGACCTATACATGTATATTCCATACATCAGAATCTGCGGGCATAGATTTAGGTTCTATATCGGATCAGCTCACCTCGTCCCAGTCCTCATCGGGGAATTGCTCCGCGGGGTGTCGCCGTTGGATGCCTGCACAGTTCACCAGAATCTCCGGCTTAAGTCCTTGACTCGTCACTGCGGGGATGATGCCCTTGACAGCCTGTCTATCTCCCAATTCGGCAACGTGAATCCAAGCCTTGCGGCCAATGCGGTTCACAACCTCATCCTTAGTTGATGTGTTGGTGTTGTCTCTCTATCCTGGTGTGAGCAGCGATCTTCCATAATTCATTGTTCATTCTCTCTCTCTCTCTCACCTGAACCAAAATAATATCGGCGCCCGCTTCAGCGAGGGCAAAGGCCATGGCTTGGCCAATGCCTCGTGTTCCCCCAGTGACGATAGCGGTTTTCCCGCTCAGGGAGAAGAGGGACATTACGTCTGTCATTGTGAATATGGATATAAGAACTAAATGGGTATTTCTTTTTCTTTTGCACTAGAGAAAGAGAAAAGAGAATCGCAGTGTAAGCAACCAAGTGACCCCCATGCTGAGGCCGCGGGGTTGCTCCGATCGGGGAATTCCTATAGCCGGAGTCATTAGCCGACGGCAATTGACACAGGAATCTGCGCTTTTCTGTTCCATCTAGTGGGCAGAAATAGCGTATGATGAAGAGATTAGTCTGCCGAATACTCCAGAAGAAGATATCCTTGGAATTGTAGAGAAATCAATCAATGAGATGTATGTTTTGGTCGTAGAGCAGCAGCCCACCGAGGGAAGGTTTAGCGCATCAACCTTCCCCCACAAGCATCGACAGCGATGAGTAAGAGTCTGCGGACTCACTTGTGGGGATTGTTGATTTGGATTTCATATTCTTCAATGCCTTTGCTACAGCCATGGAGGGTGATTCTCCAACAGAAGCCTCGCGGCGCGAAGTCGCCAAACGGGTGTCTCGAGCCTGTTTGCATTGCAGACAGCGCAAGTCTCGATGTGACCTGTAAGACCCTTGTTCCTTCGATCACGTCCCAATCCTTCTCGCCCTTGCATTTCCCCGGATCTGCAGTTTGACTGGCTCTTGCTGATCACATGCAGAGACGCGAACGGTACTGGCAAGCCGCCATGCCAGCGCTGCGTGCGCGAAAATCGCGAATGTGTTCTGGGCGGCTCCAATCGTGGTGGTCGCCGAATCCGAAAGAACAAGATCAAAAACTTCACTCCGGCAACTATCACCTCGCCCAGCAAGAATTCAGATGCTTCAAGTCCGACCAACTCTGAAAATCGTCAAGTACAATCGGCAACTTATCCAGGCCCGTTGGTCTTCTTGCCGCCTAACCCATCAGCAACCTCAGCATCTGTCGAGGAAGATGATAATTCAATATCATCTGTTCCGCGCAATCCATCGGACGCCTGGCAATGCCTGACCGGCATCGCCACCCAAGCGGGGACAGACCCGGAGGTCTTGAACGACCATATCCAGTCGGAGCCCACGACTTTCCCATACAACAATCTGGGTAATGGTATTGTCCCAGAGTTCAGCCAAGCGACCGGTATCAGGGCGTATAAGCTCGTTCAGTCGCACGCGCTAGACCCAGAAACGGTATGGCAACTGATCTCTCGATATGCCGAGAACTTCCATCCTTACCTCCCTCTCGTACCACGGAAGTACTTCATGCGAACTGCCTTGGATGCCTTCGCCACCAATGAGAAGCATCTTCTCACCGCGGTCTTGACGATTGCCTCCAAGGATCTAGTCAGCCAGCCTGAGATCCATGAGTACTGCTCGAAGTACATGCACGAGCTCATCTCCGGCATCGCCGCGGGGGCGGAGTGCGATGTCGAAGCAATCGAAGCACTCTTGCTACTTGCCGAGTGGGAACCACAAGGGCTGCGACCCCGTATCGAGCGTGTTGGGCGCGGAGAAGAAGACCGCGCTGCATGGATGCATGTCGGACTTGCGTTGCGCTCGGGTTACTTCATCGGTATGGATCGCACTTCATTCCGTGGAGAGTCTTGTGGTAATCAGGAGAGCGAGGCTCGTCGGCGATTGGCGTGGGCAAGCTGCTATATCTCTGATCGGTTGATTTCTGTACGTATTGGACGTGCTTTCTGGTCTCGTGGTCCTGGCCCGATGACTGGTCTTGTCAGTCAGGATTTTCCTTCGCTGCAGCCGGTCAATGACGGCGATGAGGACTATGCGAAGATCTTTCAGGCTATGCTGGATCTGACGCAGCTTTATGGGAATGTCCATGAGGTTTTGTACTCTGGGATGCGCACGAGTAACCAGATGATGTTGATGGGGGACTATGTGAAATATGTGGATGACTTCCGTCTTGCGATTTTGCGGTGGAAATCGCTGTGGGGATCACTAGACTGTAAGCTGTTTTTTCGCTGGTCATATTTTGTGCTTTCTAACATTCGCGCAGGCTCACCACCCATGCGAGCAACTCTGCAGTTGTCATATGAGTATTTGCGTCTGTATACGACTGCTTTTGCGTTCCAAGCCGCCATCTCTCAGTCGCTGGTCAAACCAAGAAACGGTCTGCAAGGCCAACGAGAACACTTGCGATCAACGTTCAAAAATGTCGCTTCAATGCCAGACTCACGATTTATCTATGAATCGGTGGATGCGGCCAAGTCATACCTGACCCTCCTTGTGGATTTGGTAGACCCCGAGAAACATCTCCACTTCATGCCTCTCCGTTTCTACTTGTGGGTTTTTGCTTCCCATCGTACAGTTGATTGAAACAGAAGACTCATGCAATTTAGGTATGGCATCTATTCTGCCGTTTTTCTCTACAAGGTATGATCCCTGTTCAATCACCCACCTGCTAGGCCTCCTCTGACCAACATCATAGGCCCGTTCGTTCGGAATGATGGTCCCCTCGGAAGAAGCAAAAGTTCAAGGCCTAGTTAGCAGAACGACCGAAGTCCTCAAACAAGCAAGCGCCGGCACCGATGATGTTGGGTCGCGCTATGCTCGACTGCTAGAACTTCTATGGAAGCCCAAATCCTCATCGAACTCATCCGCGGAGGCGCCGCAGAATGACTTTCCAATACAGACAGCCCTGTCAAATCCGGTCACAGACACAAGTTATATGCAATTCAGCCCTGCAAATGACTTCTCGTGGCTTGATTTGGAGGCTGTGGGGGACTATGTGTCCGGAGACCAGATTTCGGGTGGGTTGCTGGGACTGGATGCCTTCCAGAATGCGTCCGATCCGTATCAATCTGGAATGCCACGATCCCAGGTATGGCAGCCATCTGCTTGGATGGGAGATATGAGCAGCAACCTTCTATTTTAACTGCTTGGGGGTACTGTTGTTTATTGGTGATAACCCCCACACCCCAATCTGACGGCAAATGATGCGGGGCTGCGGGGACTAGACTCTCTCGGAGATGGCCCCGAGGTGTTACCGAGGCCAGCAATGCAGTCTCCTGTGTTCTGCCAGATCAAACTCGTCGTTTTGAGGGTCTGCTCCTGCATTCTCCCATATACACATATCAACACTGCCGCATCATGTCACTCAACGAGATTCAGGGTCGACTGGCTCTTATTACTGGTGCATCGGGAGGGTAGGCCATTCCCTAACTCGAGTTACCCCATCTTTGAGAATCAAAAACTGAAAATTGCTTTCTTCTTAAGAATTGGAGCAGCCTGCGCACACCAACTTGCCCAGAATGGGGTACATCTCGCGCTCACATACGCGACCAACCTGACCTCAATGAACGCGCTGGTGGCCAATTTGCAAAGCAAATACGCCGATAATAAAATCCACATCTCAATCCACAAAGTGGATGTTGGCTCTGCTGATGACATCGAAGCTATGTTCCAGCAAATAGACACTGAGCACGGCCACCGACCCGATATCCTGATCTCGAATGCTGGTCACGGGAAACGGATTCCAAACATCTGGGACTGCTCACTCGAAGAGTTTGATTATACTCTTACTGTCAACTTGCGGGCTTCATTTATTCTTGTCAAGGGAGTGGTGGAATATATGAAGAGTCAGAATTGGGGACGTATTGTTTTTATGTCCTCGATTGCTGCGCAAGGTGGAGGAATCAATGGATGCCGTATGTAACCCGTTGCGCTTTTGGGGAATATCAAGCTAACCTCCTTCCAGATTATGCCGCATCGAAAGGTGGTCTCACAGGGATGATGAAGAACCTTTCTACCAGGTTGGCTGGATACAATATCAGTGTCAACGATGTTGCGCCAGCTATGATTGGCGAGACCGGTATGATTCCTAATGCTGCGGCTATCCCTGAGGTAGCAGCTAGTATTCCGCTTGGTCGCCTTGGAACAGTTGAGGAGACGGCCAACGTTGTTACCATGCTAGTTAAGACAGGGTACATGACGGGCCAGAGCCTGTTGCTTGCTGGAGGGTTGAAATGAGCCATCCGGCAATAATAAGAATAGCAGACGGCGTGAAGATACATCTCACACCCTGTGAGCTGTCATCATAATCAAATGCAAACCGTCGGCATTTTAATTCAATCTATAAACTTGACTTTCATATCCTCACCCGTATATACATCCAAGCATTTGCTCTATTATCACAGTCAGGGTATTTTCAAACAAAAATCATCATCATCACCGTCTTCACCATCAGCATTTTACAGAGATCCACTGGAGCCCCGTTCGTTCTCAATGATAACCTTCACAACGGGGTTTCCCTCCTCATCAACGCCATTTCCAGCAAGCGTAAACGCCCGCTCTCCCTCCTCCAACTTGAGCCTGTGCGTCACAACCTTTTCCTCGACACTCTTCATCTTCCCACTAGCCAGCAGCGCGATAGCAGCAGGGTAGGCATACCCGTCATACCGGAACACACCAATAATATCGACCTCCCGCAGAGCCGCCGCACCAACAGGCAGCGTCTGAACAGGATTTCCCATTCCAATCTGCACAAGCACACCACCAGGCGCACTAGCATAGATTCCAGCCTGCACACAAGCCGGCACACCAGTACAATCATAAACGCGACTGAAACCCGGAACCACAAGCCCATCCTGTGCCCCCGCAGTCTCAATCAAGACAGCCGCAACCCGCTGCGCATTCGCAAGCGCATAAGCCGTCTGCTCTGCATGCGGGGCATCCTTCGCTGGAGGCGGATTCCCTTCATCGATCTTCGGAATAAGAGCAGTCTTCAAGCCCAACCCCATCGACTCGGCAATCTGCAAACGCCGCGCATCGATATCGGCAACCACAATCGACGAGAAGTGCTCACTAGCAGCCAACGCCCCAGCAAGCAGAAGTCCAATCGCCCCAGCGCCGAAAACTAGCGCTGCAGTTTCCTCCCCAGCAGCCCGATTCAGCGCAACCTCCTCCCGACTCGGGGGGTGCGAGCGGCGCACAGCATGCAGCGTGACAGCAAGCGGCTCAACGAGAGCACCGCCCGCGTCTGACACGGTATCCGGCAGCAAATGACACATATCAGCTGGGTGATTTGTGCGATCCATCAATGTGCCATCGAGATGGGGGAAGGTCTTTGCTGAGCTGCGGAACCGCATCATCTTGCAGATATTGTAGCGGCCTTGTTTGCACAGGGCGCAGGTGCGACATGGAATACCAACTTCTAGTGCGACGCGGTCGCCGACATTTAGAGTTGACACGCCGCTGCCGGTTGCCGTGACTGTGCCGGAGGATTCGTGGCCTAGACACATGGGTTCCTGGACGACGAAGTCGCCATTGCGGCCGTGGCTGTAGTAGTGTAGATCTGAGCCACAGAGACCTGTTGCGCGCACGGCGACTTGGACTTCTGTGGTGGATGGGGCGGGAATGGTGCGTTGTTCCTGGGTTTCGTTAGGGTTTGTGTTGTTTTGGGTCGGGGAGTACTTACCAGACGGAGGTCTTTGGCGCCGTGGAGAACGAGTGCGGTGGTGGTTGTGTCTGCCATGATGTTTAGTTGTGATAATAGCAGTCAAAGAAACTCAGAGATCGAGAAGAAGAGCATCTGAAATAGCCAACTCCGAATCCCAGTATGTATCGGCATTTGGAGGTCGGGCCATGCCCCTCACAACTTCCCCACTTGGCTCTCGTGGGCCCCGGAGCTGCTCCGCTGTCGGTTATTGGCCCCCAAACGGGCAGGTTCAATACCCGACGTGGGGGTGGCTATCTCTTGTATTTGCACTTGCAAGTGCTTTGTAGAGAGCTAATAGAACAATAGGCTTATAAATTAACGGGTTACATGTGTATATTGAATCAATAATACGAGAGGAACGTAGAGATATATGCATTAGCAGTTATATGAAGGTCAAGTTTAGCTTATAGGAACTACCAGAACTATATGCTGAAGCTGAAGCTCGAAGAGGCCCCAATTATGCCGACATGGGGGTTCTGTGATAGCGGGGATCTCCATTGCCTCCAATCTTTTCGTGTCCTAGAATCTGGTAATTTCTCCTTTTCTTTTCTTTTCTTTCCTTCTCATTCTTCAGGCTCCTATTATCTGAGTTGCTCGTTTTCTTCCATTGATTCTATTCTCTTCGCGATATACTTCTATAGAACCTTGGAAGCAAAAGTGAGCGCCATCTCCACTGACATCACTGGACGCATCTAATAGTTCGAGCAGAAACCACAACATGTCATCGCAATCGGCCCTCCTAATTGGAGAAATCACACACGCGCGCAAGGAGTGGGAGAGCATCTCATCTCTTCTCACTTTGAAGGTGCTTCTTTCCCATTGCGCCGAGATGGAACTCTGCTAAAACAAACAAACAGGAATTTCCCAGCGGGACCAGAGAAGAGTTCATCGCAAACTGCAAGGCTGGAGAATATGACGATGTTGTTGCTATCTACCGGTCTAACATCTCCACCAAGGTATGTATTCCGCCCAGTGCTTCATATTGAGGCTGGGTACTAACCAATCCATGTAGTACACTGGTCCCTTCAATGCGGAGATCCTTGCAGTCCTACCAAAATCGCTTAAGTACATCTGTCACAACGGCGCAGGATACGATAACATTGACGTTGCTGCCTGCTCGGAGAGGAACATCGCCGTGTCCAGTACCCCAGTCGCAGTCAACGATGCGACAGCCGACGTGGGTATTTTCTTGATGATTGGAGCTTTGCGCCAGGCTCATGTCCCTCTCACTGCTCTTCGGGAAGGTATGTACTTGGATCTCAATAGCGGGATGATATATATACAACGTGTAGCAGTGATTGACCATCATCTCAACAGGAAAATGGCAAGGCCCAATCACAGCAGGAGGAAAGGAATACAAGACTACCCTGGGCCATGATCCCAAGGGTAAAGTCCTCGGCATTCTGGGAATGGGAGGAATCGGACGGGTACGTAGCACAGGCACAGTTTATACTGGTAACCACCTGAACTCGGCTCACCATGATTTAGGAAATGGCAATCCGCGCTAAGGCCTTCGGAATGAAAATCCAGTATCACAATCGATCCCGGTTACCGGCCGAGCTGGAATCTGGTGCGACGTACGTCTCGTTTGATGAGCTGCTCGCCAACGCAGACGTTCTCAGCTTGAACTTGGCCTTGAACGCCTCTACGCGCCACATCATTGGTGCGACTGAGTTCACCAAGATGAAGGATGGGGTAGTTATTGTTAATACGGCACGTGGTGCACTGATTGATGAGAAGGCGTTGGTTGCAGCACTTGAGTCCGGCAAGGTATGTAATCCTACATATGTAAGAGCTTTGGAGTATGGAACTCCGGCTGACTGGCTGTGCTATAGGTGCGATCCGCAGGCTTGGATGTATATGAGTGCGAGCCAGAAATCGAGCCCGGGCTTGTTAGCAACCCCAATGTCATGTTGCTGCCGCACATTGGTACTGCGACTTATGAGACGCAGAAGGATATGGAGATTCTTGTCCTGGATAATTTGCGGTCGGCTGTTGAGAAGGGCGAGCTTATTACACAGGTGGCGGAGCAGAAGAAATGAAGAAACCGAAGATAGGAAGGGGGGAACATGTAGGAGTGTATACAAGCTAAACTCGATTCATTCTCAAATATTACCTTAGGCACTTGTTCACCTTAGTTTCTTAGTTTCTTAGTTGTACTTTGTAAGTGCCAGTATAGACACCTGAGAAGTGGGGCAGGAGCCCGTGGGCCCTTGAAATGACTAAGAACTGACCTAATCCAAAGCCAAACTCCACCGAAACTGGCTAGCGTTAGGGCTCGCTTAGGGCTAGAACGCCAAGAGCGAAAAAAACCGCACCAAATCTAGTGGCTCAAGCGAGAGCCGGACGACGACGAAAAGCGACAACAACTCATCACCGAGGACCATCACACCCCCCTCGCCAACTCCTTCAAGATGGTGAGTGCTGCATGTCCCTATCATCGACAATGATCATTCCGAATCCCATTCTCTACGAAATGCCACCCGTGTGATTCATATTCAATGTCCGATCGCCGGGTCGACTTTCGCTGCCAATATCATCAACACCCAACGACGAGCCCATTGCTAACGAGCAATGCTCTATACAGGTCCGTTACGCCGCCCAGGAGATCTCGCAGGCCAAGAGCGCCCGCGCGCGCGGCTCTTACCTGCGTGTCAGCTTCAAGAACACCCGTGAGACCGCCCAGGCCATCAACGGCATGAAGCTGTCCAAGGCTCTCACCTTCCTCGAGAACGTCACCAACAAGACCATGGCCGTTCCCATGCGCCGCTACGCTGGCTCCACCGGTCGCACTGCCCAGGGTGAGTCGCCCTTTTTTCCCTTTACGAATCTTCGGATGGATCGGGTTGGAGTTTTGAAGGAAATTTGGGAATGGAAAACAGCATCGCCAGTTGTACGACAGCCATTTGGATATGCAAGGGAACGAGGAAAAAGATGAATGGAACGAGAGAATGGATCTTCTTGGCTTATTGGCGATGTTGTGGATACCTACAAATCTGGATGAAATTTTCAATGGAGTCGAACATCGACTGACAAGTTTTGGTTTACAGGCAAGCAGTTCGGTGTCTCCAAGGCCCGCTGGCCCGTCAAGTCCGCTGAGCACATCATCGATCTGCTCAAGAACGCCGAGGCCAACGCCGATGGCAAGGGTCTCGACACCAACGCCCTGATTGTCAAGCGCATTCAGGTCAACCAGGCCCCCAAGGGTCGCCGCCGCACTTACCGTGCTCACGGTCGTGTACGTTTTTCCCGAAATTCGTGATTCTGTGTCTGTTTTGCAAAAATAGGCTGACCTTTGCTCTTCCAGATCAACCCCTACATGACCAACCCCTGCCACATCGAGCTCATCCTCACCGAGGCTGATGAGGAGGTCAAGAAGGCCACCGAAGTTGAGAAGCCCGCCCGTCTCTCTTCCCGCCAGCGTGGTACCCAGATCCGCCGTGCTCTCATTGAGGCATAAACGGATCGCCATAAGAAGGTGTGAGGGGACGTGTGGTTACGCAATGTGAAAAGATTTTTGCGGTGGACGGGAAGGATCGGAGTTCTGTGCATCAGCTGTGTATGTTGGAACGGAATCGATACCGGATCATACAAGATTTTAAGGTCATGGCGCCAACACTCGGAGGAGAACCCAATAAAAAGTTTAAACGATATGGCCCAGGGTGATGGAGATAGGATTCTGTACTTCCCGATCCAATCATGATACAAACGTGGTTCTTTCTCCGTGACTCTATATCGAGTGTTTATCTCTTTTGATAGAGGGTGTTCTCTGTTTCCGTCTTGACTAACCACACTCTGTCGAGGTTCCAGTCTCTCGGTCATAATAATATGATCTCATTTTTCGTGTTCAAATCTGCATTTCAAGTATGGATATCGACTGGATCTCGGCTGTAATGAGGATGCGATGCCCTGAACGGCCTAGCCATAACATGCTAATGTCGGTTCTTGAAATGTCTGTCCTGGCCCGTGGATTGGTGCCTAAGTAGACTGGACTGGTTTGCTGACGTAGATGTCATCATTTTGAGTCTATACCACTTCTGGTCCCCGATACATAGTCCCATTCTATGAGTTTCCAGCCGGACTATGCTGCGGGGGCTTATAAGTAAACTGTGACAGCCCTGGAGAAAATCCCAAAAAGTCCTCTCTCATCCCAATCTACTCGGTGTAAATATATATTTTTCCAACCAGCCCAAAATGGCCAACCTCTCAGACTACCGCGTCCTCTGCTTCGACGTTTATGGTACACTTATAGACTGGGAAAGCGGGATCCTGGCCGCACTGGGCCCAATACTCTCAAAAAGCAACACCCAGTTCACCCGTGAACATCTGTTGACAATCTACCAAGAGCTCGAGAGTGCCCAACAAAAGGCAACCCCCGATCTTCCCTACTCTGATCTGCTGTCAACAATTCACCCCACTCTTGCCGCCCGCCTAGGCCTCGACCCGCCAACAGATGAGGAGAACCGCGAATTCGGCAACTCCATCGGAACATGGCCAGCGTTCCCAGACACTGTCGATGCCCTGCACCGACTGTCAAAGCACTATAAGCTTGTGGTGCTGTCGAACGTGGACCGGGCTTCATTCGCCAGGTCAAACGCTGGCAGTTTGCAGGGTGTGCCCTTTGATCTGATCCTTACCGCGCAGGACATCGGCAGTTATAAGCCCGATCTACGGAATTTTGAGTTTATGTTGAATGCCGTCAAGCGTGACCTTGGGGTTGAACGGAATCAGGTTTTGCAGACGGCACAGAGCCAGTTTCATGATCATGAACCCGCGAAGAGGGCGGGTATCAAGTCGGTCTGGATCGAGAGACCCGGGGCCTTGATGGGGAACCAAGAGCATCCGATCTTTGATTGGCGGTTTACTACTTTGGGGGACATGGCTGATGCCGTTGCAAATTAGAGATCAATTACTAGAGACCAATGAGTGTCGGGGGTTTGGTTTTTGGCCATTTCCCCGGGAATACGCGGTATGTGGCTGGGACAAGTACTCGATACTTCTGAAACCACAGTGAACGTGGTCGTGGTTGATGTACTTTCTACCCCCGCATGTGGCTGAGTCACCGGCAATCAACATTTCCTGGAGCCTGGAGGGGGGTTCCTCTTGGCGATGCAAGACACTCCGATGCCTACGTGGAAGGGCTTGTGTAGGAGATATAGACTTCCATATATATATCTCCTGTGTTCCCTACTTCGACCCCTTAGTGAGGTTGCAGCCTGTTGCTAGCCCACTGCAGTGTCACTAGTTCGTGGTAGTTGGCCCCCCGGCTAGAATTATTCTTTTTTCGGTACCCTAGGCAATTCGAGATAAAAGATTTCTTTCCTTTCAAATCCCCCCTGAAAAAATAAGAGAGTGTTCGATTATCCCTGGCCATGAAGCGCTTTTTGGGAACTTTGAGACGCTCGAGTGAGTCCTTCGTCTCCCCGTCTCCCCGCAAATTTGCTGACTTGGACTCGAACGTAGGCTCGAGCGATAGTGTCACCGATCGCCGCGACGACTCACCAGAAGCCATTATTGCGAGAGAATTGGTTTGTACTGGAATCCAAGGGATTGGATCATCACTAACACATCTCCAGACTGCCTTCTGCGAATCGAATACGAATGACCCTTCGCGCAACGCGGTATGTGTTTCGGAGACGATAAGCCGTCCCCGTTCCAAGACTGACAATTGCGCGTTAGCCGGAGACTGAATTTGTCCACCTCCCTAAAATCGTCGAAACCGCCGAGTCGAGCCCCAATGCTGCCAAGGAGGCGGCTCTGCGCATTCGCAAGTATCTCGCCGATCCCGCTGGCGTCTCGGGTCATATCCAGTACAATGCGATCATGCTCACTCGTATCCTGGTCGACAACCCCGGCCACACCTTCACGCGCAATTTCGACACCAGCTTCGTGACGACCATCAAGCTGCTGCTGCGCACAGGACGCGATTGGAACGTGCAAAACTATCTACGCCAGTATCTGGATCTTCTGGAGCAACAGCGCGCATGGGACGAAGATCTTAAACTGCTCTTGAAGATGTGGTCGAAGGAGAAGTTGAAAACCGGGGGCCGTTTGGTGAGCACATCACGGTATCTTCGCGAGTGGGCCCGTTCTCGAAACTAACTTGGCACAGGTCCGGTTACCAACAGTGGCGTCTCCAGTTCCTGTGGGATATCCCCAACACCAATCATACAGCCAGTCCCGGGCTCCGAGAAACACCCTCCCACCCCCGATCGAACTAGCGGCTCGGGTCGAAGAGGCTCGCAACTCGGCAAAGTTGCTGACGCAGTTCGTCCAGTCCACACCGCCAGCAGAGCTGGAAGATAACGATCTGATTAAAGAGTTCGTCGACCGCTGCCGGACTGGCTCCCGTGTTGTCCAAGGCTACATCCATGCGAATAACCCAGCCCCCGACGAGGACACCCTGTTGACATTGATTGAGACGAACGATGAGATCTCCGTGGCGCTCTCGCAGCAACAGCGTGCCATGCTGAAGGCGCGCAAGGCCAGAGGATCATCGTCCCCGAGCTCGTCGAATGTAAACAGTCCCTCGCCGATATCGCAGGTTGGCGCGTCCGTCGCTGGGAACTTCTCTCCTCCCACAGCACCAGCACGAAGCTCAACGTGGAATCCGGAGTCACCTGCACCCGTGGCGGAACTCTCTTCTGCAGTAATGACTGGTGGTCGATCACCTCCTAACCCAGCCTTGGCACTCTCTTCTAATCCAAACACGGTCACTCGCTTTAATACAACCCCGGCACCTCCGGCTCCCAGCCGATATGAATATAACGCGGAGGAATTCCAGGTGCGGAATCCATTTGCTGATGACTTTGCCACGAATGAATCGGACCACGACAAAGATCGTGTGCAAGGGATTTCGCAGCCTCAGTCTGGTCGTGCGCACATCTAGCGCACTGGACAGGAGCGTTAACGCCGTCCCCTTGATCAATCGGTGATTCTATGTAGCTTTTTATATCTTTTTGCCCAGAGCCTTGACTTGTGCTTGTGGGGACTTTATATTGCACTCTGGCTGCAAGTTCGTTCGTTTTTGCCAGCGTATAGCTTTTCTTTTCCTTTTTCTTTCGAGTCGGCCTTGTTTTTCTGACTTTTTTTTATCTTCTCTTGCCTTTTACCTTCGATGATACCTCGCACATTACGTTTATCCACATATTTCAGTCTTTTCTGCGAATCTACTCAGCACATTTGCCTTGCATAGTGCGCCATCGTTGCGTGCCCTGAATACATTCACGGATGCCAGTTAGAGGCTCGTCGATATTGCAATCTCCATGATCCAGCGTCTTGGTCGTCAACGGATAGTAGCTCCATACCTAGTTCAGGGATGGTTGTGGACGAAGCCCGGGGCTATCGACAAGACCTAGGTATATTGCAGGTAAGGGCGAATGCATTAGTTCCAGTATGAAACCATGAACAATAATCGCGAAGAGTTTTTAAAACAGCACTATATCCACACTCTTCAAATGACCTCCAATGCAAGATACTCGCCTGCTTCAAGTCAAATAATCCGCCAGAATTCCAGATATCAACCACGCAACAGCCGCCCAATAAAGACTACCACCCTGTTGTTTTTCTTCCATTAATCCTGAAAGTAGAGCAGATCCGACCCATCCTTAACAGTCCGGCACATTTCCCTCGGAGTCAAAGAATCCAAATCACTCATTCCTCAATCTTGATAACAATATCCCTACCCGCATGAGAACGAGAGACCTCACCGGGGAAAGGCTTGCGCGCCCAAACCCTTCGCCTATAACCCATCAGTCAACACCCAACCGAGCTCAAGGGAACGGGAAAGAAAAAAAAACATACGCGCGCTCATAGATATGATAACGAGGATTCTTCATCTCGGCCCTCATCTTCGCCACATAGACAATAACCTCGTCCTGGGTCCACGGCTGCGGAGCCCCGAATTTACAAAGCAACCACATAGCCCAGCCCTCCATGCCAGACATCCAATGGTGGAAATTGACCGTGCCGGCCTCCTTGAATTTCTGATCCCGGGCCCACGGCCCAATCGGCCATTTATACTCCTTCTGGTGCACGTCGACAAACCCGGCCTTGTGGAATGCATCTTGGATCGTGTCCATGATTTCTAGCGGCCGGCCTGCGCGGCTTCCGCAGGCTGTTAGCGTGGGTCCCCATGTGCGGAGGAGGCTGTCGGCTGGGAGGCTGTCGTCGTCGCATTCGATGAATGGACTTGCTTCGAGGTGTTCGATCCAGCCTCCGGGGCGGAGATTGCTGGGTGGGTTAGAGGAGGGGAAGGTGAGATGGATGGGGTGGGGTTGGGGCTTACTCGTAGCATTGGTTGTAGAGTCGGGCCCATTCTGCTTCGTCGAATGCGCCGGTGAGGATGCGGATGTGGATTAGGTCTTGTGGTTCATTCCAGGTCCATTCTTCGGCGATGTCGTCGACTTCGAGGATGCAGTTGGGTGGCATCCATGTTACTGGTGGGGGGAAGAGATCGACGCCGCGGACGGTGGCTGATTTTGGTTAATTGGGGGATATGGCGGGTTTGGTTTTCCTGACTCACTGGTTGGGAACATGTCGGCCACATCGCTGGGAATGGGTCAGTGGGTGTCGTTTGTGGGAATGGAATGCATTCTTTTGGTACTTACATGGCCCAATTCCCCTTTCCTGTGCCCAGGTCGAGGATATTTTTGGGATTATCGCCAATTGGCGCTCGAAAGAGTGGATTGTCTTGATCTGATTCCATCACGAGGGCGACCAGATGTCTGGACTGGTCAATTAGCATGCGAGGAAAAGACTATACAAGGTAGTTTCGCATACCCGGCTTCGTATGTCTCGAACTGCTTCTCGTCCGACGGAACTCTGATTGGAAGTGAGCAGTCAACGCCTTCATTCGGAGAGTCATACATACAGAGACTCTTTCCGACTCAATGTTTGATACCGCCGGCCATTCTCCTCCAGACCCCGGTAAATCGAGGAGCCAATCGAGGTAGTTTCCCTGTAATCGCGTGAGATACTTCCATTTCACCGGGGCAATGACAATATTTACGAAGCCCAGTCATCGCCGTAGACCGTTGTAACATAGGTATTGGGGTCCTAGTATGTCAGAAACCGGCCCCCAAAAAAGCAAAGATACTGCAGTGAACATACCACGGCGATATTGTCCTCAGGTTCAGTGATTATTCCCTCCCCCATGTTTAACGCACACTGGAGGCCAAATGCAAGCAAAATGACAAGGGAAAGGAGAATAACCGAAGCCCTGAAGAATCAAAACCACGTTTGGGCCCACCGATGCGCCCGTCGTGTGGAGACCAAGTTGGATTGGATGGAAGGCCCCTTGACTCCATAACTCCCCCCGCCCGCACTGCTGTCATGTCCAAAGCCATGTTGGGTGTACATATTGGTGCTGTCTCACCGGCACGCGTCATAGGCTTGGCCGGTGGAAACCTTTTCCCGTTGATACGAGCTCGGGCATTGGACGGTGCTAGCTCGGTGGTGTGAGGATTCGAAAGTCCCAACAGAACTACCCCTGTCTGCCAATAGAATCGGCGTTAAGAGAGCATTCGTAGTAATTACGCTTCCTCTAGCCTTGCGCCAAGGGATCCCAGGCCCTAGAAATGGCAATCTTCAGAGACATTAAAGCTTATGGGGCTGCACCTGGATGTTCGCTCTTTACGGCGCACAAAAATAATTGTGCACGTTAAGGGGCATTCAGCACGTCTATATCAAGTTTAGCACGAGGTCAGTCTGAGCTTGGCTACCTAGGTATCTGGTAACCGCCATGAGGGTCTCGCTAGTGCGATAAATGTGCCGTGGGTCAAAAGGATGTCCCGGTATTGACTTGTAATCCGTAGGGGTATATGAGCAATACGAGGTGGCTTATAACGGTCTCTCTACACGTAGTACATGTGTCTACATGCAAGTGAAAGGCCTAGATGGCGACAGATAGGCTATCAAATAGCCTATGCGGCGACCCGGATACCGGGGCAACACGAAGTATATAAATCACAAACAGCAGATCAGAAGAATCCATTCAGAATAAGGCCAACATTGAAAAGAAGAATCATCAAGCCCCCCAAGTCACAAAGTACAATATGGCCACCCTACCCTCCCAAATGCGCACCATCTTCCAACAATCCGCCTCATCCAAGACCCTCACTCTACTGAGCACCCCCATCCCAACCCCAAACCACAATGAAGGAGAGCATCTGATCCAAGTCAAAGCCGGCAGCCCCTGCGGCGGCGAGCTGCTCTGGCCAAAGAACTTCCCGCCCCCAACGGCCCGCCCCCTAATCCCGTGTCCGGACATGGCCGGAATCGTCATCTCGGGACCATCCGATTCCCCCTTCCAGCCAGACGATGAAGTCTACGCGCGCACAAACTACATGCGACCAGGGAATGCGCGCGACTACACCATCGCCCTGACAGATGAACTCGCACACAAGCCCCAGAACCTAAGCTGGGTGCAGGCTGCAGCAGTCCCTGTTTCGGCGCAGACGGCTTGGCAGGTTCTGTTTGTTCGAGCGTTTTCTACGGGAAATGGTGGTGAGATGGATTTCGAGACTGCTCAACGAGTATGGGGTGGGAAGAGGGTTCTTGTGACTGCTGCTTCTGGGGGTGTGGGGATTTGGCTGGTGCAGCTGGCAACTTGGCTTGGTGCCGAGGTGGTTGGGACGTGTGGAGCGGGGAATGTGGAGCTGGTCAGGTCCCTGGGTGCGAAGGAAGTGCTTGATTACCGGGTTGCGGATCTGCGGGAGTGGGCTGGGTTGCCATCTAATAAGGTGGATGTCGTTGTTGATTGTGTTGGAGGGAGGTCTCTTGGTGATGCGTGGTGGACTGTCAAGGATGGTGGTGTTGTGCTGAGTATCTTCCAGCCACCTTCGCAGGTCCGCCCGGATGAGAATGAGAGTAAGGATGTGAAAGATCTGTTCTTCATTATGCAGCCCGAGAGGAAGCAGTTGGAGAAGATTACCATATTGATTGAGAAGGGGGAGTGTCGGGGGATGGTGGATAGTGTCTGGCCGCTTGAGCAATTTGAAGAAGCATTCAAGAGGCTGGATGGAGGACATGTGAAGGGGAAGATTGTCTTTGATATGGCGCTGAATCAGTAGAATTGGTGTTTCCCAGCATAATGTCACGGACTGATTTTGATACCCTTGAAACGCAGGAACAGATTCATGAGTCCAGGAAATCCCAGTCAACGATCAGCTCACTGCATCCACGTGGGCTGGCGTGAGTCACTCGACCCAGCTACGTTATTAACCGGCCTTGAGATAGCTAGAGCTCCTAGATGTGCTCTCGTGTTGCTTCAGCTGTATACCTGTAGACCCTCAAGTTCACGAGTCTATGGGGCGAGACAGTCTCAGATATTCGGAGTAGGTATTCGCTGGGGACTTTATCTCGTATCCAGAGACAGTGAAGCTGGATTGCCAATCGTATGGTTGATGGACTCTATACGCACTTTAGGGGGATTATATCTCCCTCTATCATGGCAATGGCAACTAGCAAGATTTGACTTCCTATTGTTCCGCAATTATCAGTTAAATCCGGGTTTATTCTGAACCAATATCTACACTTTGTCGATTAAAATAACAATGTTCTTGTCCAGATGCACTGGAGCTTTCCAATCGCCTACACCGGTGCACTGCCCTAGGCTAACCTACCTGATCGACAGCTAGTGACAACGGTGTGCTCGAATCTAGTGTGAAACCATTGACACTCATGGATCAACTAGTCAGTTTCATAAGACTTAGCTTGATTTATAAAATACTCCGTCCATGGTCGCATGCTAAAACATCTCAGGATAATCCTAGCCGGGGATGGGATAAATGTCCGAGCACCACTGCGGCCAAGTCTAGCTTATTCTATGATCTCCACGTTCTTAATCGCGCAGTTAAAATGTCCGTCAATCACATTCCATCTTCCACCTGTCAGCCCCTAGTCTCATCAAGCTGAAACTCGCATCCCTGTTCGGCGCGTGGAACCCAGGCTTGGCAACCCTAGCCTCAGGAACGTCGGTCTCGGGAGGGATCGTCCAACCGGTCTGTTTCGATATGCACGGAGGCCATAAGATCCCGATAGGACACAGGAGATGATCTAGACTTATCCGTGAGTCTCACCGGCCCCCTTCCGGTGGAGGAGTGCTGTCCCTTGAATATATCCGATGTGTTTCAGCAGGCATTCGGCTTGACTAGCTGTTCCAATATGACTCGAGATGTCTCCGACGAGGGCTTATCATTGTTTCTAGTTGATGGAGACTGTGTACAGCTCAGCTCGAGCTCCTTTTGAATATGTCTACCTTATAAGCAGCGGCTCACCAGCGCAACACAAGACCAGTTGAGCATGCTGGTCAGTCTTTTTTGAACTTTTCTTCACATCTACATTCGTTTTTCTCCGGTCTGAGACCGTGCAGTTTGTTTTCTTTCAGGGTATACATTCCCCTCTCGGTGCTGGTTTACCGATCAATTTCATCCACACACTCGAAACTCAACTCGCAAACCATGAAGCAATTCACTTCCGCTCTGGCTCTCGCCAGCATTATCTCCTTGGTCAATGGACATGGCTTCGTCACTAGCCCGAAGGCTCGTATGCCCGGTACCGCAATGGAGGCCGCCTGTGGCGCTCAAGCCGTATCGAACCAAGAGTCTGACAACTATGGCAACATCCAAGGCGAGCTGCAAGTCGTCTCCAACCAGGGCGACTATGAAGCCGATGCGTGCAACATCTGGCTTTGCAAGGGTTACAAGTTTGCCGACAACAAGGACAACGTCTTCTCGTACAAAGCCGGACAGAAGGTCGACTTCACTGTTGACATTCGCGCCCCACACACCGGTGTCGCTAATGTCTCCGTCGTTGATACATCTTCCAACAGTGTCATCGGCAGCCCTCTGATCTCCTGGTCTGACTATGCCTCCGTCGCAACTGGAGTTAAGGATGACGAGACCAGCTTCAGCATCACTATTCCCGAAGACCTCGGCGGCCAGTGTGCCACTGCCGGCGATTGTGTGCTGCAGTGGTACTGGTATGCGCAGTCAATTGACCAGACCTACGAGTCATGTGTTGACTTCACTGTCGATGGATCTGGATCCGGCGCGGTTCCTGTGGTGTCATTAAAGTCCTCTTCGATCGTCAATTCCAAGATCGCTGCTGCTACATCAGCCCCAGTTATTCCTATTGTCCCTATCCGGGCCCCTACGCCCACTCCAGTTGCCGGTCAGCCTACAACCTTCGCTACCAGTTCCCATCAATCGGCTACTGCTGTCGAGCCAGGAGTCCCCACCTCCGTTGCAGATGCCCCTGGCACCGATGGAGCAGTCTTGCCTTTCCCCGCTGACAGTGCCGAAGATGTCGTGAGCTGGCTGCAGTCTTTGTTGGGCAGCTTGATTGGTAACTAAGTGTCGAATGGAAGGAGCGACTCAGTAAAGACTATGGGAAGCATACATGTAATGAAGGATTATAGGCATGTACTTAGGTAGTTACATTGTGTTCGGCTTTGGATCAATCTGTATCTCCGATATTGGCAAGACATGGCAATGAAATATCAGACTTCCCGTGCTCACCTGATTTCCCCGGACTCTACCCCAGATTCCAATGCAACGTTACTGATGGCGATATCGGAGACATCACCGAATATCCGACATCGCCACTTCATTCCAAGTTCATGAAGCATCACGAACATAAAGCCCTGCCCAATCCATACATAATCCAGTATTCCAAATCATCAAAACCATGCGCAGTCGTCTAAACCCCACAGCAACCAGACTATTCACCCAAACAAAATCCCCAACCCCAAGACCATCCAGACAATTCACCACCATGACCCAAAACAAAGACTGGAGCGCATCGCAATACCTCAAATTCGAAAATGAGCGCACACAGCCCGCCCGCGATCTCCTCGCCCACATCCCCCTCGCATCCCCCAAAAGGATCATCGACCTGGGCTGCGGCCCCGCCAACTCAACAACAGTCTTGGCAACACGCTACCCGAGCGCAACAATAACGGGCCTCGACTCATCCGTCGACATGATCCAGCGCGCCAAGAAAGTCCTCCCAGACGTGGAATTCCACGTCGCCGATCTAAACACATACACAACAGCCGAGCCAGTCGATCTCTTCTTCTCAAACGCCGTATTCCAGTGGCTAAAAGCCGACGACCGCGTTGCGGTCATCAAGCGACTGCTAGAGCCGCAGGCGCAGGGGTCTGTATTCGCTCTCCAAGTCCCGCACAATCTGAACGAGCCTTCGCACGTGCTCATGGGCGAGACGGCTGCGTCTGGACCGTGGGCTGAGAGGCTGGCGGCTGTGCAGAGGGATGGGTTTCAGTCGCCGCAGGAGCTGTATGATCTGGTGAAGCCGTTTTGTAGGGAGGTGTCTGTTTTTGAGACGAGTTATTATCACTCGCTGGAGAGTCATGAGGCGGTTATCGAGTGGGTTAAGGGGACGGGGTTGAGGCCGTTTTTGGATCCGCTGGGGGAAGGGGAGAAGGAGGCTTTTTTGAAGGATTATTTGAGAAGATTACAGGAGGCTTATCCGGTTTCTGTTGATGGGAGGGTTTTGTTGAAATATCCGAGGTTGTTTATGGTTGCTGTGAAGTGATTTGGGGACGTGGGTGGCTGTTATTATTTCTTTGGTATTGATTTACTTTTTTATAGTTTTTGATCGGGTTTGTTGTCAGATCAGAATGGTATACTAGATTCCTAGATTTGGATGATGCTCAGACGAAGCTATATATTCATGAGAACATAAAGAAATGCACGATTCAATTTGCTGCCTAGTGAACTGTGTAGATACAAGAGAGTATCGTTTTCAGCAATGGCTTAGACTGTGCCCGAAGAAGCGATCTTGATGGTGCCATCGGTCTTCCCAGACCGATCTAAGCTCTTGCTTTCCATCTTCTGGATAATGTCCTGGCCTGAGACAACCTCTCCAAAGACAACGTGCTTGCCATCCAGATGAGGGGTTCTCACAAACTAATCTCGTTAGAACGGGACATTGTCAATCTCTCTTCGCATGGCTTGGACTTACAGTGATGAAGAACTGCGAGCCATTGGTATTAGGTCCAGCATTCGCCATAGAGAGCAAGCCACCCTTAGTGTGTTTAACCTGGAAGTTTTCGTCGGCGAATTTCTCGCCGTAGATGGATTTGCCGCCGGTGCCCTGGACAATGAAGGTCAGCAAGAGTGTATATCCGAATCATAGGGATACTGCGACTGACGTCTCCACGCGTAAAATCACCACCCTGGGCCATAAACCCGGCAATCACACGGTGAAAGGCAGAACCTGCGTAGCCGAAACCCTTCTCGCCTGTCGCCAGAGACCGGAAGTTGGCCGCTGTCTTCGGGACAATATCGTCATAGAGCTTGAATTCGACGCGGCCCCAGTTCTCCACTGCCACAGATTAGTATCTCGGATCAGACTTGGCAAACGAGGAAACTTACCCTGGCCGCCAACCTTGACGTACTCAATATCGAAGTAGGGATTGGCCATGATTAGATTCTTTCTTGAAGGTCAGAAGATGGGGAGTAGATCTCACCTTGAACTCGGGGGCGGGGTAAGGAGGTGCTCGGATCTATGGACATGCAGCAATGAGGTCATCCGGGGGTTGACTGGCACAATGTAGGACTACCTCTCATTCTCAGATTACTCAGTGAGGTTGGTACCCATTATATGACCTACAAAGATGTTCGAGATTATCTTCTGGCTTAACAGGAATCATTTGACTGAAACTCTGGATGTCTCATTGAATATCATATTGAAATATGAAGATCTGAGATGGTCACAGACATCTTAGCCAAGATGCTGCCGTCACAAACGCAACGCCGATGGGCACATGTGGAAGGGCGCAAAGGTTGGAAACATTGGCCAAGGAACGAAGAGCAAGGTATGCAAGAAGAGGGAATGAAAAGGTGATAGAATCGTCCGAAGGGGATTCTCGCGTAGGATCCCTCCCTTCTATTCAGAGACTGGTGCTTCCATGCCCGGATCGACCTTCTCATCGAGATCCTGGTCTAGGGCCTCGGTCAGGGCAGCTAAGGTCTTCTCACACTTGAGATTGAGACGCGAGAACTGCTTCTTCACAGCTGGGACAGACTTGCCGGCATCTTCGGAAACGGCAGCCCAGTCAATCTTCAGTATAACTCAGTCAGTATGTTTTATGTCCCCATGCAGCTGGTAAAATATGCTAGCGGATCTGTGACAAATACTTGCCTTCATGCCGTTGGACAGTGTGATGCACTTCCAGAGAAACAGAAGATCTTTATTAGCCCCAAGGATCGATCCTTTCATGTGTGAGATCATGTTGGGAGACTTGGCTGGAGAGAGCTTCGAGACTCCTGACTCGACAGGCTTGTCGGCACTGGCCTTGGGGGTATCGGGCTTTTGGGGAGCCATGATGATGATTTTGATTGAATTGAACTTTGCTTTTATGGAAACGATCGAGCGACGGGATTGTAGTGAGAAGGAACGATCTAGAACGATGAGGGACAGTTGAAGAGGAAAGGTTGAGGACGCGAGCTCAACTGAAGTGATCGTTCCGTTCGTTCATGTTGGCGTGGAAATAAAAATCGTCTATGCGTGCTTGAAAGCTCGTCTGATTCGAGAATCTAGGACTTTGCTTCCGATATAAATTCCTAAGAAGTCATCATGGGTTCAGCCCCCATCTCTCATCGGGAACGGCAGCTCAGCTTTTCATTGCATATATGTACTCTACTGTATTCAATGCCTAGAGTATATTATGACCGAGTGCATAGAAAGGCATAGGATTTCGTCTAGAAAGACCTCTTCATTGCTGATTAGTTGCGTTGTGTTCTGCGGAATATGTGGTAGAAATCTGGCCTGGGCCGGGGTTCTGGAGACCCGAAGAGTGAACAATAGCATTGCTATGCGTACATTCCATTCAGCCAAGATCAGTAGCATACTACATTCACATATATATGTAGATCATAGCACATGCATATATGCGATGTAGGCACGGAGTACCCCGTAGATGTAGGTACGATGTAGGAACCAGGTGCGTTTAGGCCCGCTGGAGTGCCAAGATAGGCGGGGCCCCTTTTGATCTGATTAGCGCGATAAGATAAGCACTGCCACACTCGGGATATTTTCCTTTCTTCCTCCTTGCATCCAAGGGGATTCTTTCAGCTCATTCATCCCATTCATCTCATTGCCCGTCATGGAGGAACATCTGCGGAACAGTCTTTCCAACCATCCCCATGTGTTTCAGAGCTTGCAACACAGCAGCTCGCCGTCACACCGATCCGACCGAGTGACTCCACTTTCTATTAACGAGGGGACCACTACCGCCCTTGACCACGAGCTCTCCATCATGCAATCACACCGCAATGGCAGCTCTAGCGATGAAGAGGGCCAGCCTCCTCCACGCTACACCCGTGAAAATGATCCTTTCCAGCTCGCCTCGAAGCTGAAGACCGAGGATGAGATCCGACAGATGAAAGCCAATACATCTCGGAAGCGGGACTCCACCAATGCCAAGAAAGGCCGGAAAGTGACAAACATAGTGCAAGATTCCACCCGTCTTGGACAACAGGCTTTCATTACCAGAAAGCTGCAAGGATTCTACGAGTCTCAAAATGAAAACATCGAGCGTATGCTGAAGCCTGTTGAGGAGCACCGACGCGCCGCCCGCGAGTTGAGCGTTGACAACCGTCTCAAGTACCGAATCGCTGTATACGGCAGTTTTGCTGCAAACATCGTTCTCTCAATCATTCAGGTGTACGGTGCCGTATCATCTGGATCGCTATCTTTGTTCACCACGATGGCCGATGCCGTCTTCGATCCCATGTCCAACCTGACGCTTCTGCTCTGCAACAAGGCTGTCAACCGGGTTGACCCGCGCAAGTTCCCCGCTGGAAAAGCCCGCATTGAGACTGCGGGCAATATCTGCTTCTGTTTCCTTATGACTGCTGTCTCTTTTATCATCATTGCCTTCTCCATTCGCGAGCTAGTAACAGGCTCTGATAACGAGACCCAGTCTTTCCATCTCCCTTCCGTTATCGCCGTTGCCGTTGCCTTTGCCACCAAGTTCGCCCTTTTCCTGTACTGCTGGGCCTTGCGCAACCAGGTCTCTCAGATTCGCATTCTCTGGGAAGACCACCGCAACGATCTTTTCATCAACGGATTCGGTATCTTGACTTCCGTCGGCGGTAGTAAGCTGCGCTGGTGGATCGATCCCATGGGTGCTATTATTCTGTCTGTGCTGGTCTGTGTGCTGTGGCTACACTCCGCGTATGGCGAGTTCCAATTGCTTATCGGTGTGACTGCCGACACGAATATGCAGCAGCTCATCACATATATCTGTACGTTGATTAATTCCCTTTTCGCTCCTCCTGATCTTCTAATAGGTGCATATACTGACTTCTTCTCCAGCCATGACCCACTCTCCTTTGATCACCGCCATCGATACCGTTCGTGCCTACACCTCTGGCCCTCGCCTGTTAGTCGAGGTGGACGTTGTCATGGACCCCGAGGCATCTCTGCGAGCTACTCACGATGTCGCCGAAGAGCTCCAGATTAAGCTCGAGTCGCTTCCCGACGTTGAACGTGCTTATGTGCATGTAGATTACGAGACTACCCACAAGCCTGAGCACTGCCTGAAGAAGGAGCTGTAGGCTTTGCTTGGCATACCACTTTTGGTTTCTCATCTTGAGTGAACAAAAACACGACGTTCACCCATTGCTAAAACCATTTCCAACGTTTCTCTTATTTGGAAGGGAGTTATGTACTCCCAAATGATGTACTAATTGCAAGGAAGAGCGAAGAAATCCTCAATTCCACTCCTACCTGTCTTTGCTGATATGAAGTTGAGAGCTCGGATGTCCCGTCTTTTCCGCTACGGAGAATAGAGCTCTATGCGACTTACGATGTCGGTTTCATATTCTCCCTGTTAAAATAATTACCATACAATCGCTATTGAACGTGGATAATGGACCACGGCTTATAACTACCAGAATGAACATAAATCCCTCTGCTATAAAATGACGTCTTAAAGTCCGATCCCCAAACGTAGCTGAATGGCCTCGTTCTGTAAGAGGTTACGAGCTTTCGGTCATCCTCTGAGCAAACTATCATTGACGCACGAAGCTAAACACAAAAAGGTAGACAGAAATTAAATCGAACTATCCAGGTACACCCAAGGCCTGAAACTCAAGTATAGAATAGGCTACGCTGCTGGGAAACTGGGTATACACGAGTCGAAAGATCGTCAATTAGAGTCCGCGACATTAAATCATTGCATCAGTCACAGAAAATGAAAAAATCTATGGATCGTCTCATGAAGAAAGCAGATACCAGATTGTGGCATTAAGCAAAGAACCTCCCAAAACCCCCAGTGCATAAAAAACGAGCTCTAGGAGCAAGGTTGACAGGAGAATACAAAACGAGCGGAAGGTGAGGAAGGGGGGGGGGGACAAAAGGGTATCGTTTCCCATAAAGGTGAGGAAACTACATAAGAAGTGAAATGGCACGTTTCAAAGGGGGCAATAGGAACAAGTGTGATATCAAAATCTAAACCAGAGAACGGAAGTGAACTAAATCGATTGCTCAAAGAGAGCGATAGTCGAGCAGAAGTTGCTCTTGTTCGGCCTCTCGTGAACCAAAGGCTTGCCATGAGAAGAAGTAACCATGTTCACGGAAGCCTTGGTGCTGAGACCGTACAGCTTGACATCCGAGCAGTCGACCTCGACCATATTCTCCTGGCAATCCTCGGAGTTGAGGCAGGACTGGGCATAGTTCTCGAAGAAGCTGTAAAGACCGGCGCCGTAGACGTAGACGTCTGAAGAGCCGAGGACACGCAGACCCCAAGCCTTGCGGCAGGAATTGGTCTTGCAGTTGGCGAAAGTGGGATCGTTCCACGAGTCTTGTGGGGTGTAAGGAACCAGCGCAGTGGGGTTGGATTGATAGTAGGGAGTCTCGGTCTGGATAAGACCCATGAAGACATTCTTAGCGCTGGAAACCTGGTAGTTGTAGAGCTGGTGGTGCTCCGAGGAAGTACCCCACAGCCAGACAGGATTCTGAGACTCAATGAGCACACCGCGGCCGGTGTAGACATTGATCTGGTTGTGATCCTTCAGATCAAGCTCGTGGTCAGCAGTCCAGAACCATGTGTTCTCGAGGTAAACGCTGCCCGTCTTGGTAATGTACAGCAGCATGAAGGCAGCCATGCACTCCTTCTTGGGGGTTGTATCCTGCTTGGGGGTCTTGGGGCAGGTGTCGCTCTGGAGCTCGGTGCCAGCTGCGCCACCGATACGGAAGTGAACATCCCACATACCAGTGGAGCCCTGGGAAGAACCAGCGAGATTCCACTCCATGAGAATGGCACCAGGGGCGGGACCCTTGGTAGTGATGATGAGGTCACTCATCTCGACGGAACCAGTCTCGCCCTTCTGACCAACCTGGAAGAGGGGAACGGGATTCTCCTGGTCGGCAAACTGCTTGCCGTGGGCCATGAGCATGGGCCAAATTTCACCGGTGATCTTGATATTCTTGGGAACCTTGATGGTGGAGGTGATGACATAGGCACCGTGATCGAAGTAGATAACCTGGCCGTCCTTGTAGCTGTCAAATACCTTTTGGATGGCTGCCGTGTCATCAGCAATTCCATCACCCTTGGCACCAGCAGACTTGACGCTAATGAACGAGGAGGCTTGAACATCCGTGTACAAAGGCTTGGAACGCTCGAAGATAGCACCATCCTTGAGGAGGCTAGCAGGCTTGGAAGAAGTTTTGATGGCACTCTGGGTGCGAGCAGAGGTAACCGCGTGGTGAGGACCGCAAGTGCTGGGGCTGCTGCTGCCACCACCGGGGTGTGAGCCGTGGCCCATTCCAAACCCGCCGATAGTACTTTGGGGAGGCGCAGCGCTGAAGGTGGCAGGGATGGCTGGCTGGTGAACAGAAACAGCGCCCGAGTGCAAAGACCCAATGGGCACAGCAGAGATAAGAGGAGCGTCTGTAGAGGGGCCAGGCGCAGGGGTAGGTGCTGCCACTTCAGAATCCTGAGCAGAACCTCCAATCATGGAAAGGACGTTGTCCAATGCGGGAATTTGGCCAAGAGAGGGGATAGCAGAGCGATACGTGTCGGCGCTATTCACGGGGACCGGAGATGCGACAACATGGCTTTCACCAGGTCCCGGGGCGGGCGATGGGGGAGAAGCAGAACCAGAGGTGGCAGTCCGTGCAGGTGCAGGAACTTCGCTGCCCATGCCACTAGCACTGGGAAGGCCGTGGGAGGCAGGGCAGGCAAGCATAGTCTCCGTGACAGTTTCAACAACAGTAAATATCTCGGGCTCGGACTCGCTAGCCCGCTTGTGGATAGTCTTAGAGGGAGTGTAGGTGTTGCCCTGAACCCAGTTGTGAACAATGGATCCACCAGCGAGGATGGTGTTTCCGTCAACACCTGCGACAGCGACCTTGGAGCCGGAGAAATCGACGTTGTCCAAAACGAGATCACCACCACCAATGGGGATGCTCTTCTGAGTCCAAGCAGTGACGATACCAATAGGGGTGTTGGTGAGCTTGCTGTCCAGCATCAACACGGAACCAACAGTCTGGTTGGAGGGCGCATTAGACATATTCAAGCCAACCTCGCAATTGTTGATCTTAACGGACTTGAAAGTCCAAGCCCAGTTCCAGTTCATGAAGATAGCAGTCTGGCAGTCATTGAATACCAAGTTACGGGTGGTGAACTGCTGGTTACCGAGGAACATGCCGTAGTTACCGCCGTTGAAGGTCAAGTCAGACATGAAACCACCGGAGCCGTTGTCCATGAAGACGCCCTGTTGCCTGTTGGCTTCACCACCGCCCTTGACCATCTCAAAGCGGATGTTCTGCAAGCTAGTAGCCTGGCCAACCTGCCAGTGGATACCAGCACCAGAGCCTTGAGGCATGCCGGTGAGATCAATGACCAAGTTGCGAATGGCACGGAAGAAGTTGTTCTGGTTGGTGAACCAGTTATCGCCATTATCCTCGTAAGGATCGGAGTCAATCACTGCCATACCAGCGAACTTGGGCGAGGCCTTGATGACGGGCAGCTCGACAGCATCACCGACGATCTGCGTGTAGTAATACTGCTGAATAGGCTTGGATACAACATAAGTACCGGGCGGGAAATAGACGATGGCGGGAGTGGTAGTAGAGGAGTCACACCCCTTGCCACAGCGACCACCAGAGGAGATCGCCTTGTTGATAGCAGCAGTGTCATCGGTAGATCCGTCACCTGGAGACATGATACTCAGCAATATGCTCCGAGAAAGAACAGTTTGGATTAATCACTCACCCTTGGCACCGAACTCCTTCACATTGCGGAAAATCTTGTAGTCGGGGCTTTTGCCGAATGGAACGATTCCCTGGCGCTCGACGTTGCCTACCCAGTAGCTCGACGCAGGAGATCTCTTTTCAGTCGTGGCCAGCACATTGTTGATAGGGGTCACGGGGACGTTCAGGGGCACAGCCGCGACCAAAGTAGCGGGCAGGCCAAGCAAAAGAATGATATGCGCGACGAAGATCGCGATCGAAGGGTGCAAAACGGCCATATTGACTATGGATAAGGCTGAACCAGCAGCGAGGTATGAAATGTCTCACAAAAGATACCTGGGGAAGATAGTTCAGCAACCAGCACTGCAGAATAGATTGAATCCGACGCTTGACCAGCAGCGAAGGAGAGAAAACAAGAGGTTTAAAGAGCGAGTCTCGCCGTTGCACCGAAGGCGCCTTCCAAAGGATGAAGTACCGCAAAGAATTGAAGTAATGAATTGAAAACAGGAGTAAGGGATGAATGAAAGAAATGGGAAAAGAGAGAAATAGAGAAATAGAGAAATAGAAAGAAAAGAAACAAGGCAGCAAACAAGGATATGAATATAGTATCACCGTACCTCTAATCGCCTCAGGTTGTGACCCGTCTGACAATGTCCCCCCTGTGCAGCCAATCAACCACCTCGGCGCCCTGAAGAGCACCGCCGTCCACCAATCGGAGACCCGTGCGGGCCTGGGGATAGTGAAGCTTGAAACGCAACAGTCGGAAGTTGAAACGCTGATGATCAATGACCCGAGTGTTGCAGGTTTGCCGAATACCTGATTGAGGAGTCGGGCGAAGAAAGGGAGATAGATGTTATTCCCAAAGATGTAAAATCGAGCCAGAACTCGATGGCATACAGTGACCTGTTCTCGACGGGGGTTCTACGCGCTATATAACCTGTGGAGATTCATATCCAGGGTGGGCTATCCATTCCATCCATCTGAGATTGTTGTCGCATGGACGGTAGGGGTCTATTTGGCAGTTTTTGCATGGCAGCTATGCGCAAAGGGGAGATAGCATTGCAAAGCCTCGCGTATCACCATGCCTTGATCCGGGTGGAGCCTGTAGAGCAGGACAATCCGATGCTCTTCACTCAATGTGTTGCCGATTTGCATCTCTTTCTTCGGGGGCAGAATCCCTAGGTAAACTGCACACAATTGGCCAGATGCGACTCCAATTACGCGCCCTTTGTTCTCAGGGCTGGGACTTTTCCAGGTCCCTGATCCCCCGCGGCACCCCCGTCGTCAGGGGCGTTGTGGATAAACATTCCGGCCTGGGAATTCCTAATGACGAACAAGAGCGAAGTCGTCAGAGGGAACTGACACATCTGGAATTCCTCGGAGACCTGAGCACTGGGTTATGAGGTGCCCAGACCTGAAACACCCAGGGAGTCACAGCCAAGCGCCCCTGAGACCATCGGGGGTTTGACGGTCCCCCCGAGATTGGGTGTTGGATTTTCGAGTCTCGAGTATTTCCCACGTTCAAATTCGATTCACAAAACATATTCGAGTGGCAGTGCTCCTAGGGTGTTTAATCTAAATTGACGTTCCAAAAATAAACAAATAAACGGGGGGCCAACTTGCCGCCTAATGCAGAGCCTCATAATGTACACGCGTAGATCCAACTCTACGACTTTGTATGAGCTGACACGGCTATATATTGTCTATCGAACGCGTTTTTTTACACCAATGGGAACCGCGCGGTTCGTTTCGTCCCAACTGGACTGATGGTGACGGGCTGATGGCGTGGGACTAAAGTCTAGCGCATGAATACCTAGGTATGGGACATACGGGCCAAGACACGCGCTAGTCTACGGACGCCTTCGATCAAAAGGCGTGGATCTTCCCATGCAAAGCAAAGTCGTAGATGATCCGCAAATGCACCCGCCAGCTGTGAATCTCCTGGAACCTGGAAGACGTTGCCGGGAGAGACGTGCAATTTTTCCTCGCTTTCCGCCCGTTGAGCGACCTCGGCTGCAATTAGTGGTGCGGGGAGACCGATCCACATGAAGTAGCCTCCGGCGGCGGCAGCGGGTGCTGGCAAAGTGACCCCCAGCGGGACGAGATGCTCCTGGATCGCCGATAGCAGCGTATGGTAGCGCTCGGCGTATTTGGGTTGGAGCACATCATGGATGTGAGTCTGTATAATGCGCGTGGGAAACATCTGGTCGATGATAGCGGCGCATAGCTGAGAAGGAGCACCGCCCGATCGCGAGGAGCCTCTGCAAGGGAAACCCAGTTAGTCTGAAGTTCATTATTCAACAGGGATCATCCAGGAAGACGACTCCAACAGTATACCCCATACGTTTGTGATAATCCATAAGCAACCTTGTCGGACGCCTCGGCCCAGCCGGTGCGGGCCCCGGGCCCGATCAGCTTGCTAAAACTGCCATTGCTGATTGCGTGTCCCCATTCGTCCTTGGGTCCGCCATCCAGGTAACGATCCACGTCGACGATGCGCGGCATGCATGCGCGGTCACCGGCAAAGTTCTTTCCCTCGGGCTCAGGCGACCATTGAAGGAAATCATACACATCATCCGTGACGATGAGGGCGTCATATTGGCGGGCCAGACGAACCAGCGCCTCCCGCCTGCGCAGTGACATAATCTTCCCAGAGGGGTTCGCAAAAGTCGGCACGGCATAGATGACATGCTTGTAGATTTTGCGCCAGGGCTTGGGCGGTTTCATTTTCTGCAGGGAAAGAGGGGCAGTGTCAGTCCAGGACTCAATTCACAATGGCACGGTGGCATGGCACGGGGACCTCGTATGCCAGCTCGGTCATGGGCCCAGGACTGTCCTACCGGCTCTGTATTCCCAGCGATCTGGGCGGTCCCTTCCGCAGCGCGCAATCCGCTCTCCAGCGCCGCGATGTCGACCCCTTCGTCATCTTCGGGCACCCCGCGTAGGCGCCCGGCGAATCCGGCGTCCTCTATGATGCGCGCAGCTAGGTGGTACGTCGGTACCACCATCCACACATTTCGTGTGTAGACAGGGTCTGTGAAGGTTTGCAGAATGCATGCTAGGTTCTGACTGGCCCCGCCGGTGATGCAAATGCGCTGGGTTGAGACCGGGTCACGGGGTTGGTAGAAATCGGTCAGCCAGGCGGCAATATGAGTGCGAAGTGGCTCATATCCCTCATCGGGGCCATACGCTAGAGCCGGGTTTGCGATTGAGGGGTTGGAGAACACAGCCGTGGCGGAGTGGCGGAGATCGGGAGCGGGGAGGAGGGCTGGGTTGGGCCAACCGATTTGAAGATCAATTGGCTGTTCGGGGGACACAGAAGTCATGGCGAATGATACGAGGTTGACTATGGTGGATCGTCGTGATCGTGCTCAGGGAAGAGGTTGAAATCAATAGTTTGGTGCTTAAGAGCTTAGCTTGCGATGTGGCAACGTACTCAGCACCGATGGCATCCGAGATCGGGAGCCGACTGGTTCCAGGGGAAACGGACACCGGAACCAGGATTGGATGTTTTTGGAATATGGTATGCATTAGGAGATCTCAAGTCATTATTGAGGCTGAGTGCGATAGTTCGAAGCATCTTGCCCTTGTCGCTGCACTCTGGATATATATCGATGAGGCATGTCATAAAAAGGTGTCTTGGCAATACTAGACTAGTATGCACTTGTATACGGAGTACAGCCCCCGACTTGGTGCCAGGGTATCCCGGATCCCAGCGGCTTTCTGATCGTGGGTTCTCGAGGAGATGCCATTGGCGGATGTCATCTCTCCATGCAGATCGATTGACAGACAATCTATATTGAAGATGTGGCTCATTTAGAGCTCTGCGTATGGCACGCACCGTGTGGCATGGTGTCATCTCCATCTGGTCGTCATATCTATATATATCTTTCATCTGCAATCTATATTAGGCCCCTGTAACAGCCGGATATTTCCCACATACCACTTCCACCAAGTAATTGTGATCTGTTTGACGTCGAATTCTCCGACTGATGTGTAAGTAGCTAGGGATTTTATTGGGTCCACCTCCAAGCCCTGCACCACGGTCTATTATTGGCAATAAGGAACCGGATCGAATGGTGGTCTTTTTGGTATTGTAGGAACGTTCATGTATCGCAGGTAAATTAAAATAGGGCGATATTGTCTTTTGAAAAAAAAAAAATCCTAAGTAACTTCTCCTGATTCCCCTAATCCTCACTCTCTTTTTTTTTTTTTTTTTTCTTTCCTTTTCTTGATACTTATTGGCTTTGGTGAACACATATCATCCATTCCGCGTTTTTGTCGGGTCGCCATTCTTCCAATCCCTCCTGCCGATCCATTCCCTAACCCCTAACCCCCCCCCCCCTCCCGTCACTTGCCAGTTACACACTTCATTCCTCGCTCTATGCGGGCTTGACCTTCTCTACCTCCGGGCCTCCTTCAACTCTCCTCCTTCCACATATCTATAACCACCCAAGATGCTGTCGGCTCCCGTTAAGTCGGCGAAGCGCATCTCGTCTCTGTTCTCCCTGGGATCTAAGGATCGGGACTCCCATTCCTCGCCTGGATCGTCGCCGGTGTTGAAATCATCCGACAGCAACAGCGACAAGCGGCGCAGGAGCAACTCGAGACCTACTCGCCATGTCTCGACCCCTAATGCGGTGTTCTCTTCCGAACCCCGAACCATGCCCGATAATCTCGATTTGGAGAGCCTGCCTCCGCCACCTTCACTGCTGGCGGTGAATCAAGAGTTGGCAAGCAGCGCTCCGAGTTCTCCTCTGGGTCGGCCGCAGAGTAGAGGTCGAGACATGAGCAGACCCTCCAGCTCGGCAGGGTTGGCTATCCCGGGATCCAACCCAGACTCCCGCCCCAGCACCCCGTCCAAGCGCAGAAGTTGGATGCCTGGTCGGTCGCGGGCGAACTCAATGGATAAGCGGCCAACACCTATGCTCCCCGCCGCTTGGATCGCTGGATTGGACCAGAAGGTGGTTTATGATCTTTCTCCATTGTCGAGAGGAGAACAGGTACGCACGAAAACCTCGGTCCGTGAGGAAAATCCCGCAACTGACATTCGAATGTCGAGTTTTAGATTCAAGAGTTGTGGAATGAGCAAGGTGACACCTACGTATACTTGTTCCCTCAGAATACCGGCCGCTCTCCATCTTTCAAAGTCGATTCCACTATATTTGCCGAATCCCCCTCACTGACCTACCTCGCTCGGGGCAATGACGGTAAGAACGGGCTCGAGCAGTCAACACGAGCGTTATCTCTCAACCCGATCTCCCCACCCATGACACCGCTGGACCGTTCGCCCGAGAATGATTTGGATAACGAAAGCTCGGGCAGCCAACGAATGGCTTTCGAAGATACGCCAGATGAAATGCAGGAGCTCCATCTCTACCTCCCGATTCCCCTGAACTGTGATGTGTCCAACCCTCAAGCACGGCTCACCCAGGAGGACACAGAGACTCTCCTTCTGTTCCGTAATTTGTTCGCATTTCTGCTAGGCCAGTCGTTGATTGCCTCGCCCAAGTCAGCCACTCTCTTCTCCATTTTCATGGACGTGGCAGTCCTTTTGGCCCGTTTTGAGTTCTCTAACTTGGATGCGTCCAATTTTGGTGAGACTGCCACATCCAGCTTCAGTAACTACTGTGAAGAATTGCGCCTGGCAGATGTTCGCAAAAGCCGGGAGAAGACCATCGAGGCCATCGTTCTGGGCGAACGACTGCGCTACTATCCGCTATATGTCGAGGGCTTCGTCCATGGTGTTGGAAAACTGGACGAGCTCAAGCAACTACGCAGCCCTAAATATACCTTCATTCATCCCATCACGCAAAAGCGCATGGAACGTGCGTTCATTGATCTTGACACTCGTCTGCGCGGTCTCTATGGCAAGCTCGAAGATTTCGACTTCCCCTCTGTTTTCTCCGGTGTTGCCAACTCGACCACATCCGAGGAAAGTAAAGTGGTGCGCTTCAAGTCCTGGAAGACGGGATTCCATGAATTCCGTCGCTTCACTATCCAGTACTACCGACAGAAGTATGGTTCGTGGCCGCCCAAGGCACGGTCCAAGAAGAACGAATTCGAGGAGAGTGGACTCAACCGTCTGCTCCTCTTGGACCTGTACCATGACTTCACCGATCTCTACGACTTGATGGTCGACCGCACCTCCCTGACAACTCGCACAATTGATGTCTCGGGCGCGGGCAATGACTCGGCAGATCCCTCCGACCCGAAGCAGATGACGGTTCGTGCCTTGCGCCAGGTTCTCTCTGAGTACGACCGTAGTACTCCGCCTGTGCTTCCCCCCATTCCATTCGACATTCCCCAAATGCCCTCGCTACAGCCCTTGCATCGCAAACCGCTCGATGCCAAGAAAGAGGCCAAGCAAAGCACAAAGAAGCTCAAGAGCTCGGACATCAATGCCGTTTTGATGGGATCTTATACCCGTGAGGCTATGCGCCCCACTCCCTTCATCGAGAGTTTCATGCAGTTCGAGCGCCGTTCTGCCCACGGCAAGACTCTTAATGACATTCTGGACCTCCGATGCGGCCAGTGGGTTTTCCTATATTCAGTTATCCAAGCCCTTCCCATGCTCGTGGTGGACGTCCCTGATGTCCACTTTAACGATGGCGTGGAGTACTTCCTCTGCATCGCCCCACGTGGTGGTGCTCCCTGGATCCACAACGACACGAAGACCGCCCGCAGTTGGTTTGGAGTTGCCGGTGGAGCTGGTGTCGTCAGCCTACCATCTGACGTCGTCATCAACGGAGTCGAAGGTGTATACCGCCGTAGTCACTGCTGGCAAACCGCCGAGCAGTGGGCCGAGGCGGGCTCTCTCATTGACCCTCCCATGATGGAGGATGCCACATACGACGATGAGGAGTCCTCGATCTCATCACCATACCCGGGTCATCACTCATCTACCGGATCTTCCTCGGAGCACCAACACAACCCTTTGATGGTTCCCGGTGGCCTGAATCCACCTCCTGCCCCCATCCCACGAGCCCGCTCACCGGCTGCGGCCCAACGTGCTGAGCATCGTCACTCATTCTACCCTGGCTTGGAGGCCTTGCCTCTCCCTGCTGGCATCGCCCCCATCGAACCTCCAACTCGTCCCATGAGCCGATTTAACCCGAACATGAGTTTCGATGATATCCTCAAGGAGGTCCCGAAGAAGGACAAGAAAAAGCATTAAACCGCCTTTGCCTTGTTTTCTTTCTATATCATCAGATTCCAAAAGACTGTGCGCTGGACTACCCACAATATAAACCGTCTGGCGACTCTGACTTCTATATCTGTTGACTGTTTCCTTTTTCTGTTGATAGGCGCATTTTGTGACATGAACTACCGGACTGGATCGGCGTGATGCACAGGGAGGCGGAACCCAAAAAGTAAGAACTTTTTAATTCACTGGGGGCAGCATGCATGGAGAACCACATCATAATTATCAGCATATCAGCATCAGCATCTCCGGAGGATGGACCTTTCTTTTCATTGTGACATTTTCTTTTTTTTTTTTCCCTCTCTTTCTGCTTTTGTTCACCCTTCGCCTCGGATTCCCCTTGTGTTCCGCAGTTTGTGATGCTGGAGGCCGCCCAATAGAAATGTAGATTCCAACATCTGTACAATGAAGTTTTTTCTTCAGAACATATGTTTTCCTTGTTCATTGCATTGGGTTTTCATTGTAACCGTTGGAGTTAGTCCCAGATCCATGGGTTCGGCTTGAGTTACCACGTTCTTAATTTTGACACACCCCGGACATTTGACCTTGGCGTCGAGGTATATTTTTTACGTCACAAAGGCTTCTTTGTTTCTCAGAATTAAAGAAACACAAGCTATGAAAGCGTGCAACCATGATGTCGAGGGGAAACCACAAAGACGCAATACGAGAAGATCAGCCACACAGCCTCTTTTCGTTCAACACCGTCGGTTACTAAATCCCCATAGGATTTAGGGGCTAAATGAAAAGAGTCTTCTCGCCCGCAGATCTCTTCCAGACCAGGCAAAGGGCCATCTGCTGTCAATTGAGCTTGATTCAAGTACAGCTTTGTCCTAATTTTCCCAACCTACCATCACCCAGTCCTGGAATTTACTAGGCTAACGAGAACCAAAAAAAAAAAGAGACGAAAATCCCCATTAACGCACCCAAAAGCGCTGAAAAAAATGGAGTGATAATACCTTCCCCCACACTATACCCTCTAACCAACCCCAAAAAATCCTCCTCGCACCTCTCCCACCATGGCACCCTCCAGCATAACCAGCGATAGCCACGAGCGACTAGAGCCACGGCTCCTCCGCGCCGCCGAAAGCAACGACATCGAATCCCTCAGAAACGTCATAGCCCTCGCCCAAGAATACAACCAACTCACCGACAATTTCCTCCGCATCGCATTGATGCGCAGCGCCGAACGCGCCTGCCTCACCGCAACGGAATACCTCCTCTCCCAGGGCGCCAAGACAGACGTCCCCTCCAACCGCGCCTCGCCTCTCCTTCGCGCCGTCGAGCGCGATCACTACGAAATAGTGCGCGTCCTGCTCGACCACGGCGCCAGCCCGGACTCCGCAGACAAAGAGGGCCGCACGGCGGTCATGACCGCCGCGTGGAAGAACCACACGGATATCCTGCATATGCTGATCATGCGCGGCGCGGACGTGAATAAGCGCGACCTGCGCCGTCGGAATGCGCTGCACAATCTCGCCGCTGATAAAGACCGGCGCTGGGGGTGGGGAGATGAGGTTGTGATGAAGTTGCTGGGGACGGAGTGTCTTATCGATGGTGTCGGGGGACAAGATGAGCTGGGCCGCACGCCGTTGCACTGGGCGTGTGCGACGGGGAATTGGCGGATGGCGGAGATGTTGCTTACGCGGGAAGGAGAGGGTGAGGCGGAGGGGGCAGGAGCGATGGGCCCGCGGGCGGAGATCGATGCCGTGGAATTGCGTGGCAAGACGGCGCTGCATATTGCCGCGGCTCATGACCGCGAGGATATTGTGCAGTTGCTGCTTTCGCATAATGCTGATGTCAATGCTGCCAGTGATGGTGGGTGGACGCCGCTTCATAATGCCTGTGATAAGGGTTGTGAGAGTATTGTGCGGATTTTGCTGGGTGAGGGAGCGCAGATCAATGCGCAGCTTTTGAATGGTGTTACGCCGCTGCATCTTGCTGCTCAGGGGGGTCATCGTGAGGTTGTGCAGTGTCTCCTTGAGAGGCCTGATCTGAAGCGACGGGTGAGGGATAATTTTGGGAGTACGCCGTTTCTGCGCGCGGCGCAGTTCAAGCGGAAGGATGTTGTGCTGTTGCTTGCGCCGTTTAACAATGTTGGGAGTCTCTCGGAGGATGTGAAAGAGGCTTGTAGGGCATTTGATGCTACTGTTGTTGATTTTGGCAACTTTCATAATGAGAACCGGGTTAAGCGCATGTCGGTGTTTAATCTGCTTTATGGAAGAGATCGGGAGAATCCTAGAAAGCAAGCTGTTACCACTATGCCGGCTGATAGTCGTGGGGCTGATTTCCGCTGGATCCATTTGCCGGCGAACAATATGGCGTGGGTGGAAGCCCTCCTTACCAAGTCTTTCATTGAGGAAGGGGCTCATGATGTTGATGGATTCAAGGGTCTGGAAAAATCTTTCAACTATCAACATCGGGGGCAAAGGACTCACTCGCACTTTATGCGGCCATTGTGTCAGAATACACCACGCACAATGTTGAAGCGATATGAAGAGGATACCTCAGAGGAGGCTGCATCTGATTCTGGCACCACAAAGCCTATGGATAACGCTACCCGGAAGCAAAAAAGCCCAGGAAGCAAGATTGACCGCACGGGCTCCTACTTCCACGATGAAGGCGCAGACGGCTCTCATGGAAAAAAGGGCAGACATAACCAAAAGCGTGGAAAGTCGGGCAACACACCAGGTACACCCAAGCCGGAGACGAAAGGGAAGACCCAGGGGGGACCGGGCGAAAGACAGGCGAGGCCATCACCTCTCCCATCATCGAATATGTGTAAAGATCCCCATCCCCTGGTTTCTGCATGTAATGTCTGTGTGTTCATGCCATATCTGCACTTTGAGACCACAGAGCGGAGACAAAAGATGCAGGATGCAATCTCACGAGCGGAAACGCTGGACTTTGTATCCAAGGGCATGAAATTGGTGCGCACGAGAGATGAAATGCTCATCGATGCGCATCTAACCTCCTCAGCGACCTCCCTCCATGTCCGTCGAACATTGGATCAGTTCTTCTACCCGAATATTGATACCCAGAGCCGTGATCAGGATCAAGTGGTATACCGATACCAGACGAAAAGTCCTGGGATGGAGTCAGACCCCAAGATATTCATGGTCGACCAATTGTGGATGTGGGTTCTAGGCACGAATCTGATTGTAACTGCCTTCCCACAAAGATGGGATCAGCCCAAGAACGACCCACTGAACGTGCTGGATGGAATTATTGAGGACATCAACTCCAAAACCCGAGACCCGGTTAGATCTGTTTATGATTTAGCAATGATAATCACCAATCGATGCTCGGGAGTCTTCGATCGACACCGTCTGGGCGACGAGGAGTACCAATTCTTAGATATGTTCGAGTCATCCATTGGTATAGCAACGGACAAAGAAACTGTGCTTTTTAACCAGTTCAACCATGCCTCTGGACAAGCCTCGGAATGGCTGAAAAGCCACCGCAAGTTGAACGGTTCCTTCAGCTCTCCTCCTAAAATCGGCAAGGCGGATAGCGACGGCCAGCCCTGCGACTACTGCGACGAGGATGGACAGCCATTATTTGTTGACAGGCTTCTGGACATCGGTCAGGAAACGAACCTGCTCGCCGAGACAAAGGATATTCGAGATGAGCTGAACATGATCCGGACAGTCCTAGAGCACCAGACAAACGTACTGCTTGACTTCCAAGACGTTGTCTGCGAGACCTACCAGGGCCAACACCGCTCCCAGTTCGAGGTCAAGAAGCGGTTCAAGGACCAGCAGCGCATGATCGACATGCACCTCAAGGACATCGACCGCATGGATAAACAGGCTGAGCGGATCTACCACTCCATTACGGATTTGCTCGATCTCAAGCAGAAACACGCCAATGCTTTCGAGGCCCGCTTTGCCCGTGATCAAGCTGCTGGCACAACCCGCCAGAGCAAGACAATTATGGTCTTCACCATCGTCACCATTGTCTTTTTACCGCTGTCGTTTATCGCCTCCATCTTCACAATCAACCTGAAACAATTCGAGAATTTAAGTCTCGGTTACGTGGCGAAGTTTACCTTTGGTATCGGCTTTGCGATCTCTATCCCACTCGTCTGGGTTGCTCTCACGGTTGACGACATAGGTGGTTTCTTCCGTGTGGGCAGCCGGCGCTGGCTGTCCAACCGGAGGAAGGCCCTTGCGAAGAGTGAACGTGACGAGGGAGGACTCCGAGCATTAGAGATGGAGAAGATTATAAGCTTGTCGCGCATCCGAAGGAGTATGGATGGTGAATATGGAGGCAATCTGCTGCCTGTTTCTACACGGGGCACAGGTGCGTCGAGGCGACCAGGTTTATATGCCAGTCAGTTGGGCGATGGTATGGGGCGCAAGAGTTACGATTTGCGGTCTAGTCAGGACTACAGATCACGATGATATATGATTTATGGCTCATGATTGATTGGCTATTTTATCTTCTGGGTGGTTGTGTTTCTTGATCGTTTTGCTGTTTTGATTATTAAACGAAAGCTGGATATACCCATCTCTATATAGCGCTAAAAGCAAACGAATTAAACACCGTGACAACAAGAAACAGCAGCTCTAAAGACGCAGGCGATCGATGTCTATAGCTGCATTGTTTCCGTATACTCTTCGTCTCCGCCCTTTCCATCTCCCAAGATCTCAGCGGGATGATACAAGTTCATCACAAGCATCGCAAGCCACATCAATAATGCATCAAAGATATACATGAACACCTCATGGGTCATGATATACCCGCTGTAGCCTTGTTCGTACTCCACCAAGCGGAAAACCGACCGTACCAAGATCAGAAAACTGACTACATACAGTCCAATCATGATAGTCAACCAATTGCGCTGCTTCCAGCCATCGCCGCGAGTATTGTCACGATCAGTTTGCGATCGAGGAGTCGGGTGGCGCTCGATACGGAAGTGGAAGATCGTGGTGACAATGACAAAGAAGCCGAAGAAGACCAGCTGGATGACTAGACCGGCGATTGTCACGTATGAGCCCAGGTCGTGCATATCGCTTCCTGCGGACATGAGTCCACCGCCTATTAGATGTTAGAATGAAACCTTCATTTTATCATTGTGATGCTGCGACTCTGCTCACCACTGCACTGCGTAAGAAACGAGATCACGTCTCCGGCCACGAATATCTTGGTCACCCACTTCACTGGTACTATGCTGAGGCTCTCGGCGTGCAGATACGTCACCGTCCGCCCCAGGACCATGTAGATTGACGCGGCGTATAATGGCGGCGCGAGCAGAATGAAACACGTCTGCATAGCGTAAAGGGGTATACCGGTGAAGTTGTTATACGATGCCGCTCGGCAGATGTATCCTATAACCTGGACTTCATGATTTTAGCCTTGTATTCGTTTGCGCTGAAACAGGGGCAATTGACATACAGATTCCTCCGATCACAAAAGGAATGAAATACCAGCATCGTGACTTAGTGAGTTGGTAGGTATGGTGGGCGCTCGAGACACTGAAGAGAACGATAAAGATAATCGCTGCAGGTAGAGAGGGATTGTACCCGTAAATATTACGGTCTTCGGACATTTTGCAACGGTCTCCAAACCCACATAGAAGAATTTTGAATTGCATAGATTATTGGGGTACACAGCTGAGCTTTATATGATAGGCTACTACAGCCACAAACTGCGACCATGCTACTGAAACAGAGATGTTCTGCGATCCACTATAAATTAGGCCACCCTTTAAATCCCAGTGGACTGATTCGAGGGCTCTTCTTCTAATCTTAGGAAACTTCTTGGCTCCGTGCAGCTTTGACAGGCGATGTGGGGGTGCTGCGGCTTTTCTCCGCATTCGTTTCCGTTTCCGTATTCGTATTCGCATTCGCATTCTGTCGTATCCGCCACCGTATCCGCATCCCAATAGCTTCATGTTTCCTACCCATATCATCTACTATATCGTCTGGATCACATAGTACTTCCCCGGTCATGGGCCCACGAAGATCACGTCGCAAGTCACGCAATGGCTGTACAGATGCAAAACACGACGACTCAAGGTGTCCTGGTATCCAAGAAGTTGCAAGAAGGCTTGCAATGCTTGCCGTGGAAGGTAACGATCAAGGCAGTGCACGGAATCGCACACGAGAGGAGCATAGGGAATTGCTAGCTTTGTCGCCGGGGGAGTATGAGCAGAAGATGATTGAGTGGGCTTCTAGTGTTCTTGGTCAAGGGATAGAATAGAAAGACAACCATGGCGTCGGAAATAAGTTTGTGGCATGGAATAAATGATAGTGTTTCGTGGAAAGAGAGCGTTGAAGAACGTAGGCAGGAATATTTAAATAGGAGTCATCTAATACGGCCAGTATAGCACAAAGAGTATCTGAACAGACAGTCACTGTATGCCAGATTCGTCGATCTAGCTTCATAGACAACCCCTCCCCATTTCTCATTGTCTTATTATATCGAGACCAACTAGCCTGCGCCGGGGTGGAAGCTCCATCGCTACTTGTTCCGTTTGTTCTGCAGGAAACACCAGCACCCCGCTCTGAAAACCCTCTTTGCCTGGGATTCTCAAGACGGAAATTGATTGGTATATGTGGAGCCAGAAGCGTTTTCATCATAGGCGTTACGCCTAGATATCTATCACCAAAGACCAATAGTTGGCATTCATCATCCTCCGATTTGAAACGGGCGCTAAATTAATCAATGAAAAACCACTCTGCCATTCAAAGTTACAATGAAATCAACAAGACTATTACTTACCCATGCGTTACCGCGCGCGTAGATTTGTTTCAATTCATCGTTTTCTACTTACATGGCGTCGAACGCCGAGGAGCATAGTGCCTTTTTGTCTATATAAACAGCATCTGTTTCCAATTACAAAATTTATCTCTCAACAAATAAACATCCAGATTCCAGATTCCAGATCGGAAAGCAGCATTCTACCCTTCATCAACATGCCAACCAAAGTTTTCATACTTGTCTTCGTTGGTGAACCTCTCGACTACACCAAGTATCGCCATACAGCTCTCTTTTTTGAGTTTCCTAATGGATCTACATGTGCGATGCATATAGAGGGAGCACCTGGATTTTTCGAATTCCAGCCACTCGACAATTACCGCCCTGAACAAAGTCGAAGGCTTGCCAAAAAGTTCCTGGTGGCGGAACTCCAAGATTCAATCAGTGAAGTCTCTATCAGAGGAGTCGTTTCAAGAACCCCAGTGAAAAATAGACCTGCAGACGCGGATTGGAACTGCCAGAGTTGGGTGGCAGATGTCCTTACCCGGATGGTGAACAATGGATATTTGAATGCGTCTCAACGAGCATCGGCCATTAATCAAATGACCGATGTGTGCTTGGAAGCCACAGATGAGTAAGGGTGTTGTGCATACCGCAAAGCGTCGCATTGCCGGTAAGTAATGCATGACGAAAGATACAAGCAGGCTTTCATTGCTTACATGGAAGTTCTAGTACTTCGATCCAATCAAACAACATCAGCGGTGCTTTCTGCGAAGAACGGACGGGGAAATTTACTATTTGTATTTGAAGGTTCCTTGAACATTCGAGAGTAGATTAATGATTTCTTGCTTGATTGATCCTTATCCTAAATATCTGCATGATATCCACAGTAGTAGTATTCGCTAATGACGTAAGAGACGAGCTAGGAAGGACATGCCTATGTATTCTCTCTCGAACCGGGGTGGAAGAATACGTGACAAATATTCTGGCCAGTCGGGCATCGGCTTCAGTTGCCGAAGCGCCTGGATATATTCCCAGTGTTCCGGATACCAGCCAGCATATTCCCAGTCAAGGATAGCTGTGACCCGGCCTCCTTCGACAAGGATATTACGCGGGGAGAAATCGGCATGAGTAAAAACAATCTCATGGTCATCCATAAGCGCAAATTTGGCATAATGTCGCAGTATATCTGGTGCTGACTTGACGATATCTCCCAGAATAAAGTCGTTGAACTGCTGCTCGGAATCAAACGGACCTCCTTCAATCGATGCAATCTGTCCAATTACAGCTTTGCCTCGATCAATAGCTCCGATATAGCTACCCTTCAAGTCGCGAAGTTGATCTATGTAGGAGTGAAGCTCGGAGGCGATGGAGAGCTTCTGATCGGAGTCTAAAGTATCCCATGCTTCATCGAGTCGCTTGCCAGGCATGTAGTCCATCACGATAGCCACGACTTTTCCATCTTCCCATTGGATATCATGGACTTTGGGCACAGGGATTGTCGTGTTTGTCGCAATGAAATGAAGTGTTTGGGCTTCGTGGGAGCGGAGATTGCCCGATTTCACGACGAGATTGTTGCCGACTCGGATAACCGTGCGACCGCACAACGAATGAAGGGTTGTTCTTTCTTGACCATTCATTGAGTCCATTTTTGATAAAAAAATATCGGCGTCTTCTGTTGCATATCAGAGATTCTGAAAAGTGAGCAGATCTATGCGGGGTAGAAAGTGAATGAACGGCCGGACGGAGAGTTTAAGATAGGAGCGCTATCAGGCTATAAAAGGGGAAATTCGATACGGGAAAATGATGATCCGACAAATGGCCTTCCCTTAATCGTGCGCTCACAACAGAGTCTCTTTAGCTTCCTTTCCACCATAGGTGACATCATAGCGAAAGGCCAGCCTCACATATGGGCGCTCCAAAGCGACGCAGGGACAACAAAGTCCTGTCTGTTTTGTTGGAATGAAGAGCTCGCGCGGGCGTTGATTATCGATTTTCACCGCTTTATATTGAAATGTCGGCTAGCTCCAAAGCGATCACGAGCAAAGACACAATTGTTGCGAACAGAGTCAGGAGATAGAAATCGCTTACCTGTTCTATGAAAGAAGCGGTATTCTTAGTTATATTTCAATAACGATTGCATACTATATAATAATGAAGCGTTCCTACCACTAGCACTGCGCACTTCAAACTCTTCGCCAGAATAGACACGTCTTTCACAATACCATCTCCCTGACCCACGTCAGCATCTAGTCGCCAGATTTCCGGGGAGCTGTAGTCCTTAGAGAATTACCCCTTTGCCCCTCCATTCCATTCGCTCTCCCTTTCTCATCTTTAAAGTTCGCTTTCTTATACCCAATAACTCTCTCTTTAGTTGGCTCCCTACCTCCTTTGCTTTCGCCGCCCAGTCTTGCGCACCATTAACAGGATCAATAGATGAGGTCTTCCGCTCCAACAGATACGACACAACCTTATCTAGACTGAAAATGTGTTCTGGCACCTTAGTAGCAAAGTCTTTAGCAAGACCCTCGATCCTCTTAACGTCGGATTTCTCCCCGGATTTCTAGTGGTCGACCGTCTGCTTAAAGACGGTGTGAAAGAGTTAAGTGGGAATATTCTCATCCGCGAGCTTGAAATGCACTTTTTGTTAATATACCCCGGCCGAATGAATGCTTTGTCTAGATTTTCAATGTGATTAGTCAGTGTGAATGTCGCAGGCTATATAGAGAGTATGCTTGGCCTTTAGGTGCAGATCAACTCGACCATCGTTGCGAAGTCTAGATTTTCCACCATAGATTAGAGTAAGGTCTCGTTTTTCAAGACTTCGTAGGCAGATGGTGCGCCCCTTGACGGGTGAGCGGGGTAATTATTTGTTACGAATATCTTAGGCGTTCAAAATCCAATAAGCTTTTTCCTACCTACCCCTTTGTTTTCGTACCACTAAGCAGACTTTGCGTGGGTATCTGTAGAACTCGTACGATACGCATATTCGATATTACGGGAGAGTCATAGTGCGCATTAAATGGCACGAGTTCACTAAGGCAGAGTGTTAAGGTAACTGTTTGTCAAGGCAGTACTTGTTGACTAGGTGAATAATGATACGAGAGGGATACATAGTTAGAACGAAGGGTATTCGATTCTAATTTGGTTACAAGACTGAATCTTGCCTTCCCTATCCACATAGGTGTCTCCCTTTTATAATTTAGTCTCCCCGCTTCTTAGGACCGGATCATCTTAGTTCTATCCCGTTATCGTAGGGTATTTAGAGGGGTCTCCTCTGTCTAAGAGAAAGGGAGCCTAAGGTAAAAATAGTATAATAAAGAAATACCGTAATAACTATCCCCCTTCTCTATAAAACCCGTCCTAGGGTTTTAGGTTAAATAAAGGGAAGTATAAGTTATAAGATAAGAAGGGTTCTTATCGAGTTTATCCTTTTCTCTATCTCCTAGAGCCTCGTTAGTATAGCTATAGTAGTAGCTAACGGGCGGGATACTAACGATCTAATACCGGAACTAGAACTAGTCTAGTACCTAAGCTACTTACGTTCTAACTTAAAATCCTTTAATACTACTAAGGGAGAGGTTTTCTTTATCTTCTACTAGTATAATATAATTATATCTATCCTTTATAAACGATATTATATAGATAAGAAGACTTATAATATAGTATATTTTTAGGCTTTTATTATAATAAATCTATACTTATCCTATATAGGTACCTATTAGTATAATAAGAGATACTTAGGATTTTTCTATTAAGAACTATACCTAAGGTAGGATTCTCCTATCTATAGGATTAGTAACGCTATGTCTCTTTTATCTTTTCTACCGAAAAGCCTATCTTTGGGGGCTAAATTAAGGACTCTGATCCTTAGTATATAAAGGGTATAAATAGTAGGAAAAGGTAGATATTATCTAGATCTTTAGATAATTTAATACTTCTATAAGAGATCCTATTCCTAGTATTATTTAAACCTATTATTGAACCCTATATACTATATTATACCTCTATATCTTTAATAGGTTATAAGCCCGGCTATCTCTAATAGCCGGAATACCTAAATTATATAGTATAGTCTATTTACTATATTTATTAGTAAATATTTACTTACCCTTATATACCTTTTTATCTAATCTTTACCTAGACCTATATATATAGGTCCTTACCCCTAGGATCTCTCTCTCCTTCTTATATATATCTTACCTCTTATTTTATATCTTACCTTTTATACCTATATCTCTCGATCTCTTATAGATCTACCTATTTTTTTATTAATTTTATTATAACCCTTATTACCTAACGGTCCTAGCGAGATAGGGGGGTATCTAGTATACTTAGTGCACCCTATATACCCTACGAACCCTCTAACTCCGACGCCGACCGACTAGACGAATTAGGGTCCGATAATAACTATAGTAGCGCCTTAGGCGAGGGTAGTAATAACGAAGGAGGAAATAATAGTCCTATAGCTCCCGCTAGTACTAGTAATATAGACCCCGGCTAAGGTCTATAATATCTAAACCCCGCGGATTAACTAGCTAGAGAACTCGAGTCGACTAAGTATCTCTATACCTAGTAGCCCTAAGGATTAACTAGGTAGCTTATAGCGGGTAGACCCCCCGCTAATATCTCCGAGTCTATCGAGACTAATATATAAGTCCTATTAATATAGATTAATAATCTAAACCGATTTAATTAAGATAGCTCTATATTCTCACTACGTAACTACTATACTACCCTAAAGAATAATACCCGAGAAGAGGAAGAAAACGCCTTTCGATATCTTAGTTTTACTAAGGACCTTAGAAAAATATTTAAAAGAAAAAAAGAATATAAAGGACTAAAACTTATAGGATTAAATAATTACCGTACTTAGGCCGCTAATATATAGTAAGTACTAAACTAAAACCTTCTCGAATAAGTTATCGATAGTAAGATAGGATTATTACCCCTTTTATATAAGAAGCACTATATACTAAATATATAGAAAGGAGTAGCCTAACTTACTATCCTAAATACTATATACCTAGACTTAGTAAAAAATATTATACCGCTAAGCCCTTTAGAATCTAAGTATATCTAGTAGAAATTATAAAATTAATATAATATAAAGGATATTTTTACCGCTAAATAAGGCGTTATTATAATAAAAGTACTATATATATCCTATATCTATAATATTAGAACTCTAATCGAAGTATTTAAGACTATATAGACTAATAAAACTATTATACGTCCTTTAATTAAGAGTCTACTAATTAAGCTATAAGAAATAGACGAACTTAAAAAATATATAGAACTTATAGTATACCTCGATAGCCTAGAATAGTACCTATAGAAGCTTAACTACGATAAAATAGTTAGTAGGTTAACTAACTAGCTAGACTAATACCTTTTTAATCACCTATATAGCGAACTATAAAGAGAAAAAGATAACCTTACCGTTAGTAAAAAGATAGCTATAAGGACCTTATCTATAGAAACTAGTAAACCTATAAAACCGTAAAGACCCTATATATAATAAGGACCTCTAGGATCGGTATATATATTTTATAAAAAGAAGGGGTACCCCGCTAAAAAATATTAGCTAAAAAACTCTAATTTAGTATCTAAATAGACTATAGAAACCCTAATTATATAGGTTAAATATAATTATAAGATATAAAACTTCTTAATTAATATCTTAATTAATAACTAGATTTATAATATAGCCTATAATAAATATATAATTAGCTTATTAGACTATTTTATATTAGGTACTATAAAACTATTAACTACTATAATTAAAATAGCCCTAATAAACTAGCTAGTCTAAGATATAATTAGAGATATTAAGATTATAGTTAACGATAAGACTAGATAAAGGAGAGATCTTATTCTTATTAGGACTATATATCTCCCTAAACTCCGTAGTAACCTTATCTCGTAGCCTAGGCTCACTAACTATAGGATTATAGCGATATATAGAGATAAGGTTATTTTCTAGAAACTAGATAGTAGTATTCTTACGAAAGGACTATAAAAGGGTAAAAATTAGATACTAAATATTCGATATATATACCGATACTAGACTCTAGATCTAGAAATATTAGTTTTAATAATAGTATAGAAAATAAAGGGTATCGGATATCTAAAAACTTAGGCCGATACTCCTATTTCCGCCGAAAAAACTACTTACGGATACCTAATTTTTTAGGCTAATAATATAGAGGTTATCCTAAGAGACCCCTACCTCTAGCTAAAGGGCCTAAGTATATAAAAATCGGAAAACGCCGTAAGTTTACCTAGCTAACTAGTAAAAGACGCTATTCCGCTAAAAAAGATAATATCTCTTCTACCGAAAAAGGGACCCTTTTCTTAGATAGAAAAGATAGAAATACTCGCTACCTATAGAGTAATAAAGATATAGAAGATAAATTTATCTAGTAGCTTAAAATAATAGTTTTTAGAGACTACCTCGACTTCTCCTAGCGAGACTCCTCCTAGCGAGCTACCTACTAAACTTAAAAAGGATAGGGTTAATATCGATACTTAGTATTATAGACTATACTATATAGGGATTAAGCCTCTATAGGAAATAGTAAAAATTATAGAAGGTATTAATATTATAGGCCTATCTACCCCTAAAAGACCCTATAGTTATTACTAA